GAAAGATTAATGCACATATAAACTTTTTGTTTTTTCAGTAGTTTTATGTTTTAGCACACACATCATCTAATGTAGGCTTAAGTCGGCTTGTTGCACGTGTAGCACCACCAGGTTGGGACGTTTTTATTAAGTACAACACGTTTTTGAGAGATAGATTCGATTCCGAACTCTTCTCTAATAATCTGAAAACAAGAGATCATTTTAAAAAAATGAAGGCTCGTGTGAAGGAGATGTTTGCAGTGTTGTAATGAATTGTATTGATAAATCTGTAAATAGGGATGCTTACTTTTAACGCGGTTGTAATTTACCGAACGGCAAAAGTAGAAAAAATCCGAACATTTTGAACTGATTAAGATCTTTAAATTGTGAAGGTCTGAGTACCTGGACCTCTTAGAAAACATCCGAACATATCTAAAAGTGAAGATGGGTCAATTTGAGTCTCGTTCTCCGAAGATATTAATAAAATAGTTAAATGTTCGGAGTTTTTTTAATGCTGTAAACTGTTCACAATTCTAAATCAAGAAGTCGCTCGTATTTCTGTCGTATCATGTTGCCGAAAATCAGTGCGCAGAATTCATGGTGTTGTTGTAAAATGGGCATATTATCGTTTGAAACCCTCTCTAACGCAATTTTATTATAAACTAACACCTTAGGATTAAACTTTTGCTCGAGGAATTAACTCATTTTCATCAACAAATATTAACCCATCAGGTTTTCTACTAGTTAACTAACGTTTAAACCTCAGTCCATTGTCGTTATCACTTACTACTATATCCAAGTGAGATATGGCTCTTGCCTCAGCACGAGCCAATAATATCAAAACAAATGGTAAGAGCGTTTCTAAAATTATGTCCTAAATCGACGGAGCGTTTCGATGAAAACAAGCGATTTCTCGAGAACAAATTTGCATTTGGACTGGGATTTTAGGAAATGAGAATATAAGAGTTTGTGATCTACTACTACAGAAAGATTAACGTTTTCATATAAATACTAGTTTAATTCGTAATTTGTGGTCGATTCGCCAACTTCAGCTTCGTTCGATCTACACTACGGAGCTTTGATTAAACAAAAACAGTTTTCCACAAGAAGTTGAATAAATGAGTTGTTCATCGAATGGTACATAATATGCCACCATAAAGTATGATATGTAAGAGAAACGAGTGAAACAATACTTACGGTCATAGTGGGATCTTCATTAGCCGCCATTTTATTTCGCTCCGCAGCGTTTCCGCGTGAATGAAACGCTCCGTCGTGCATGTAAGAGCGTTTGGGTTGGACACCGTGATAATGGATAGCTAAGATGTGTCGTTACCGTGTATTGAAACTAACATGACCGTTACTGTATCATACATTTCCAGTTACCTTCCCTTAAGCAGTGGAAGATATCCTTGAACTGTGGCGCCCACGCATGATATATGAACAAATTATCATATTCCATAGTTCCCATGTCACATGAGTCTGATTTGGTTCAAGTATCAAAGAACTACGTCAACTATAAAGTAGTTTGATTCGATGAAAACTAAAAATATCAAAACCGACACTTCCCGTCTGCCATCTTTGATACGAAGGTGACGGCCATGTTTGTTCGGGTTTTGTACCACTGTTCCGGGTATTACGTTCATAGTTGGTTTAGCTATCTCAAGCACATGAAAAGCATTGCATTTTAGAACTTATATTATATTCTTCCTTGCAACAAGGGTATATAGTATTTTTAGCATAAACACACCGGAATAGCCTGACAACGGTAAAGTCAGATACCGTTGTCACAAATGGCGGACATAACCGTCGCTTCAATTAGGTTTTCATGAACTGTATGTTTAATAGAGCACCTTGACTAAATTCCTTTGTAATCAAACAAAGTGTCTTAATACTCATTGTACAGTTAATAATGTTCCACCATTGACGATATCGAAGACGCTATATTGTGGCGATTCACGACCCAATTTGATCGAAATTGGGATTTCATATGAAACATCATCACAATGCATGCACAGAATTAACGACGATAAAATCCCAGGAAATGAGGACCAAGTGAAACAGTTGAAGCGACGATTATGTCCGCCATTTGTGACAACGGTATCTGACTTTACCGTTGTCAGGCTATTCCGGTGTGATAAACGAAGTCCTTTGAGGAAGGATGGTTATATCTAGAGAAAAGCAGATTGATAAAAACCTTTTGGATGTGTCTGGTTGAAAATAATATTCCAAATGTAGTGCTTTCCAAACTCATCAGAAATTATCCGCTTTATAAAAGTTCCGACACCTTTCTCAAATACATCATCATGCCCGGGTCATCATACAACGAGCGAACCTGTCTGTGGGGAGCAACAGCCGTAAAGTTCCCATCTTAGTGACATCCAACCGTTCCAAGCCTGCGGCGAAAGGCGTACCTTCCGTGCAATAATAAGACTTTGGAAATCATGTCTTACGAGGGTGTTTCTGTCATTATTGCCTATAAATCGCTGGAAAACAATGACATTCTATTAGAAGAGGTGGTCGTGTATATTTTTGTTTATGATCACGGGGTGCGTTCGAATTATTTTGACAACTGGTTGGAGCATGCCATTTTTCTAAGAAATATCAATAATTATCACAATTTATTTTTAAGTTTAGGAAACAAGGCCTTGGTGGAATGAAGCAGCCACAATGCATTGAGCCTTGGGGTTAAATTCTTTTCACACATTGCAAAATATGTTCTACAAAATCACCTAAAAGATACGAAATCATTAAAATAACATATTTTCAATGAAAATTTTTGCAAGAGTCAAGTTGGCAAAGCATCATAATTTCAAGCTGTGCGTCCAGTTAACACCCTGACAACCATACAACAAATGCGTATATTGGTTATATAAGGGAATGCAGTTACGTGAAATAGCATGTTCTGATTGGCTGAAATTGGACAAACCTTGCATGTGTGAATGTTGTTTCATTTCCTATTCAGCATATATTTCCGCGGTTTTTCATATTCTCATTGAAAGCCCATGCTTATATACAAAAACCAAAAGATAATGAAATGTTAGCATTGATCTAGCTATTACTAGTACTTACATCTAAATACTGGAAATTTGTACCATCAGAACTATATGAAATATCATATAGTTTGGTCCATTGATTAGCGATGGAATCGCGTCCTTTCGTCGCAACGCCCGTCAATCGCATCGTTGAACCAAAATCCACCTTTATTGTTAATTTAATGGGATCTGTATCTATGATTTTACAATAACAACCTTTTCGTTTAAACCATGAAGCAGACGTCCACTTTTCATTTTCTCTTCATAGCAGCTTTTTGCCAGATACATATTCGTTTACTCTATATACTGTAGGTCGACTAGTACCAAAACTTTTTGTAGGAGGTCCCCTGACTCCATTATCACCTAGCCTCAGATAAGTGATTGTTTAAATCGAGCCCCGTTTTCTAAAGCGTGAGAATGCAACAGTCCCTCGACATAAATGTTCACCTTTGGTAGTGGTGGATCTCGATACTACTTTTTCTTGCAGAAGCTTTTCCGTTTGCATCTACCGTTCTATCCAACATTCTATTAGATCACTGACCACGTACATCATAAAAATCTGTTTTCAGTTAGTTGAGGGCTATCTGCAGTCGCAGTACTCATCAAAAATAAACCGTCGATCGTGGCATGTTTCAACAGACCGTCATCCGCGACCATGAATTTTCGATATGTTTTATCAAAATATAGCATTTACATGGTTATGTAGTAAGTGCAGTTCCAGGAGAACTCTTTATATATCTACAGTGAATCTTAAAATGAAAAGAGGGACGTCTACTTTTTCAATTTACAAATCCAAACTTGATTATAAGTAATAAATGTGACGATATTTATACTTTAAATAATAAAATAACTCAGCAACGTTATGAGAATCTATATAACAAGGTAAGGTATCTACGCGGTCTTTGCTTTCCCCTTTAATCTTCAATAATTATATAACTTCTATATAATTCTCGAAATCGTTGTTCCCTCTTCAAAAGAGAAGACGCGAAAATCTTTCCTTATAAGAACAAAATATTTCCCATGATGCAGTTCGCGGAGGAACAAATTTATACTTCCTTATTTTCCCTCATAGGTTTAACATGGGGATTTTCACACCTATTTTTCAAACGATATATTCGTTCATATTCCCGTACGAGAGTACAGAAAAAATTATTAGAAACGATTGATCTCTCATTAATCTTAATATAACAGCTATTTTTTCATTGTATTAATTCATAGCGTGGTGAAAACGATGATTGAAAAGTGAGAAAATATTCCGGAAAGAAGGTCACGTGATCAGTAGACTAGTCGCCATATTGGAAAAAACAATTCCATTCGACTTTCAATACTTTCATGCCAATCTTACCGCACTACAAACTGCGACATCGATGCAACAACTGAATAAAAGTATTCATCTTCAAATTACATTATAGAGTTACGTTGAAAACCCACAAAAAACTGAGCAGTAGACCAAAGAAGACGCGTCGCTATTATATAGGTCAATCTGTTCAGTGGTCCGAAAGCAAATCTATAGTACTCGTTTCCGAATTTTGTTGTTCATTGTACAATCTTTTATTGATTAAACTCGGTATACTGACTATTAAAGCAATGATAAAGAAGAATACTTACGATGGTGTCATTGTTTTATTTAGCGTGCCGGTGTAAAAACAAAATTGAGTAATTAGTTTGATTTAGAACTTTCGTGTCACGCAAATAGCTACGCGAAATGCATAGTGGGAAAATATTGACCAATCAAATTTTGTCCTTTTTGAGTGCTTTTTCAGTGCATATTTGCGAACGTTCTGATTCAAAGAGCGAACCGCGTACTAGTATTTTTCATTTTACACATTGTTTTCATTCTGATTCTTTTCACTCTAATATAAGTATTTTTCTCTTACCTGCAACCACTGATTTGTGTTTAGCGCACCTACATGGCAAGCCCATGCTTCCGGAACTGAATGCAGTCTCGAACGAGCTGGGTTCGTATGTATTGCATCAAAGCTAGAAGAGGCAGAGAGTGCTGAGTCAGGGACTGTTGGTATCAAGCCATAATTCGAATAACATCCTGTATATAAAAACATTTATGAACAAGAATCTAAATATCTCGGGTTATATTATCCACCATCTACAAGTTGAGAAACCAAAGGAGAAGAAACATTGATTTAAAGGAAATTTTTCCTTGAAAATATCGGACCGAATCTATGTCTATGTGGGATTGGTGAAAAACTATAGGCCAAAAAATGAAATTGAAATTATTGGCTCAGATTGACGTACTAACCGACAGACAAAGGGCTTCTCTATATACCTACTCGGTCTTAGTTCGATGAATATGGGTTCTTTCTAAGTGACATATAGTACTCTGAACTTACTGTTTATTCAAAAAGATTATAGATTATTAAATCTCAAATTTTCTTTTGAAATCTTCAAAAATGTTAACTAGAAGTATGATTATTTCAATAAAGTTAGGCCATTGTATCATAGAATTATACCTTACCTTCTCTTATGTAATGATCAACATCAAAAGATGTAGAGTTAGTTGGCCTGTGTGCTACGCATGGGCCGAATAGCTCACACGAGTATTTGAATGTATCATCATTAACTCGTCTTAGGTTATACGAGTCGCATATATCAGGTATTGCAGAACAGGTCGCCTCACATCTTGTATTCGTCAAAACTTTCATCGACTTCAACGAATTCCCCAGTCTCTCGGCATTGGGAGTTTCTTGTACGACAACGTGTGCGGTTGGTGTTTGGAAAGATTTATCGCTACATTTACGCTGTCTGCTTTGACAAATGAAATGAAGAAAATGATAATGACATTTGAAAAAAATTGCATCTTCTCTCACTCCCTTAATATACCTGTATTCGTGACTAACTAAACATAAATGAATGCTTTTGTGCAAATAGCTCCCTGCTAAATTTATAAATAAATCATTATTGATGTTAAAGTACTATCTCGCCTATGTATCTGGAATCCGGAGTCACGATCACGTCAACACGAAAATATGAGAAACATAGTTGTTTCACAGTAAAGTAAATGAGTGGGGGTTACTGGCTTCAATTTTTTCATCCCAGAGTATTAAATTATATATTGTCTTTAAAACTGAAACTCAGTTTTCAATTATTGCGAACGGGAGAGTTCAATAACTCTATTCTAAGAAATAAGCATCATAGGCTACCGACTTATACGATTTTATTCTTTTCAAGCGAAGGAGTTGTTTTTCTGTACTCTTCCGAAAAAACATTTTGATCATCGTACCATCATTTAAATGTCTACTTTCTCTTCTAAGCTAAGCTTGTACTTAGAACATGCTCAAAATGCTCTCGTGGTCGTCACGTTCTACAATTAGAACGAGTGACAACGTACTAACGACGAGCTGGACATACTACGAACGGAACCGTAGTACTACTAGGGACGATTTTGCAACGAGTTGAACTGTCTGAGGACGTATTGAGAACGAGGTAGAACTAATTGCAAACGGGTTTAAACTGATTAAGAACGTATTAAAGACTGCTTATGAATGAGTAACACCCCAGTCACATTTGTCGCACGGCGGCCGCAAGTCGACCGCAGATCAATTAAATCGATGAATTTCTGCGGCGAGCGTAGAAAAACTACGCTCGCCTTGCGGCCTCCGTACGGCGTATGCAGATTTTTACAGGCCGCATGGAAGGCGTAGAAATTATAACTCGGAGTTATAATATTTGTTCATTTCTGAGGTCCCCGTAGAAATCAACTGGCTCAACAAGATTGAATCATTATTTGTCAATGTTTCACGATCACTTTTCATTTGATATTACATCCTAGCACTATGAATAACATTTATGAATGTAAATAAAATGAAAAAAGTATTATTTATCGACAGAAATTTAAAATTCACCGTGCGGCTGCCGTGGGAAATGTGACTGGAAAAGTATGAGAGCGCAGAAATTCCACGGCGAGCGTAGAAATGTTACTGGCCGCAGAAATGATAGACCGCAAGGTCGCCGTAGGAAATGTGACTGGGGTGTTAGCAAAAATATAGCTATCACACCAAACAAGTTACCACTGCGTTCTTCAAAACTGGTTTTAAACTGTGTGCTAACGGAATGAACGTAGCTGCAACTTTCTAAGGACTATTTACGAACTTCATGAACGTTCTCAGACGGGAAGGTGATTTTAGAATTTTGAACTGATTCAAAATTCGATGGCGACCATACCGTTCTGTGATCAGGTCATGATGACCTTTAAGACTAAGGGACGCGTTATACGACGTTGCACACCGACGTGGTGCGACCTGAACGAACTGCGAATGAGATGGACGTATTGAAGACTGTTTATGAACGAAGGAGCTAATTATTTTAGACATATTTCCCGACCACAGCCAGATTGAGCCCGTTTTACGACGTTTTCGTAGGACTGGCAAGAATGGGTAAGAACTAGGTTGGTGTGATAGGGAGGTTACTAACTACTTCGTGTAGTACTAACATAAAAGTAAACCAATGGAAAACTTATAAATGAACTAGGGGAAACTTTTTGACGATGAGGAACTGATATAATTACTAAAATTAAATCATTAGATTGAAAGTGTGATATCACAAAAATATACCTCACGATAAATCGTGTCAAATCATTCTTCCTATACTTTAACCGTTTTGCGGTAAAAGTTATTTTAACTTCGTTTATTGGTAGCTTTGTGGCTTTGTTTTTGTAAATCTAATAAGTATGCATTCAAGTTGGTTTTATTGTTCATTCATAATTTATCTCGATCTATTGTGTACGATGTTTTAGTTTTATCATCAGCATGAAACTATTTCGATATACTGAGTGCTATTGTTCTAGCTAATGTAAGTCATAATCATCTTCGTTCACTCGGCTTGGGTTAAGGTGCTGAGAGGACAGGCATAAGATTGACACTGAGGAAAATGTCCCATCACAGATGATTTAAATATTAAATAGAATCTAAATGGATGAACAGGAATGCTGTGAATTCCAGTCGAGCTTATTGTGCTACCATCTTGAAAATGTATTTCACCAGGTAACGTTTTATGAATATCCATATTATTATGATGTCAATGTGTTTAAAAAGCCAATTCTGAGTCTAAGCACCCTAATGCGGGAGATGTGCCATATCTTGAAATGTATTTCTATTGATGTAATACCGTTTTCACAACTTCTTATGGAAGAATTTTCGTAAAAATTAAAGTAAACCTTTTATTTCATTAACAAGATACTCTTTAAAATCAACCAAACTTTCCTTTGTACAATTACAATATTTTGAGAATACCTACACATTGTATATATGTCATCGGATAGAGGTTACATTTCATTCTGAACATATGATACCGAGAACAAAAGAAGTGTCTGATGTGTTTTCTAAAACTATATATTGAAAAGTAGAGACATTTTTCAAATTAAATTGTTACCATTCAAAAGATGATCATTAAATTGACGATGTGTAAAAATTTCAGAATTTTTTGATGACCGGTTTAAGAGAAACATGTATTCAATTCAGTTCGCCATATGGATACCAATTTTTGGTGGATTCAAGTCAGGGCTGTATGAAGATGAACGGTTATATATGACATTCAGCATATGATCCCTGTTGCCATTTAGGTGTTGATTTGGCCAATCTAGTGAGTCATGTTAGGGGGTGACACCATTTTGCTGAAGCCACTATATGGCACAACTAAATCTCATATGGCAACAAAGGGCTGCCCAAATCTTCCTTAGGATGATACTGTAACTGTCATGAATAGTGTCACTGAGTCACGCATCTGGTCGATCTTGCCTGTAGTTCTTGGAGATCTCCTTCAACATGAATGGTTGCCTATGGACTTCGAGGCTGGATTTTATCTATCCCACATCATTTGAGACTGATTACTCTATCTTTTATGAGTACTAGTATCTACAACTATTTTTGATGTTATGAGTATTGGCTATTTTTGATGTTATGAGTATTGGCTATCAAATGTTTCAATTTTTCTTCAACATGTATTGTAATGACTTCAGTATGAATGAAATGTCACTTGGTGTTCTGGTCCTGGATTGTGATATTGGTTCACGATTGGAGGGGGGAGGGTGATGTTAGACATTGTTTCTTTTCACGTTAGATCATGGTTTTGGGATATATAGGGTCTACTTTTCTTATGACAGGTTTACACTTACAGTTTGCTTTTCTTGTTGGGTTTCTTTAAAGTTTTTAGTCACCCTTCCCGGGCTTTTGCGCTTATATATTCATCTTTTCTTCTGAGTCTGCCAAGCTTGTGAAGGAACGCCTTTGCAATATTGTACTATATTGGTGACATGACGAGACAAAATAGAAACTGCAATGGTATGGTTCATGTACTGTTAGGAATGGGTTGTCCTTTGTGTAGTCATCACTCGAGGACAACCATAAACAATGAGACTGTTAAACAAAGTATGTCAACTAATAGAATAATCAATTGTTTTCATCAAGTTTTTCAATTGTTTTGATGTTTCGTGACACTCTGCACAAGGGGTCTTTTATTGCTCATATGTCGGATGAATGGAGCATGATAGAGACTGAATAAAGCGAACAGAAAACCTGCCCCCATGACAGAGAGTTAGTTGGACTAATGAAAAATGTATAGTACAAGGCTATAGTTACTTTCGAATTTCAAATAAACGTTAATACAAACATCATGCCAATTCATGGGAGTACGTTTTCAAATTAATTGATGGATACTATGCCAAAAGGGCGTATCTTTTTTGCAAATATGATACCCTGGACCTCTATCCCTGGATATGGTGATACCTAATACACCATGGACTTAAAGAGATCTTGAAAGACCATGATTACAAAAGACTACAACTATTTAGACAAAATAGAAATAATATCATAATATTATTATAGTATTATGATAATGATATCATAATACAAAAAAACAACAGTATTTAGGGTTTTATATTTTTTGTATATTTTAAATAATTTAAATAATGTACAAGTATATTAAATATATAAAATATGATTGTATCACAGGATCAGCACATTTCTTCTCTTGTTTAGAATCCTCAGTATTTATAATTTGATATGTTCAATGCAACACTGATTGAAATATCGGAAATATGATTCTCACACAACACAGTTATAAACACATTCATGCAACTCCAGTCCAAGAAGTGAAGTTTGGGTTGGTTGTGTTGTCTATTTTGATGATTAGATGGCACAAGCATCGCAATTGTCGTCTGCTAGAAGAGAATGAGTAACACAAGATACAGTCATTGAGATCATTCAGTTTTTATGCTTTCGTGGCAGCTGGTTTTTTGGCAGCCTGTTTTGGCTTAGACCTTTTGGCAGCAGGTTTTTTGGCGGCGTTCTTAGCTGCAGGTTTCTTTGCAGCAGGTTTCTTAGCTGGCTTCTTGGCAACTTTCTTGGCCTTTGGTTTTTTAGCGGCCTTGGGCTTCTTTACCTTCTTCGCCTTCTTGGGTTTCTTTGCCTTCTTTGGTTTCTTTGCCTTTGGCTTTTTCACTTTCTTCTCCTCGCCTGAAGTTGAAAAAAAGTTACCTGTCTTGAAAGATGGATGATAAGAACGTATTTACTGTTGAATTTTAAAATGTAGCGGTAAAAATGCAAACGAGGAACCAATAATATCAGCCTAGAATGTGAAATCATCGTCTGTTTGATTCTCGTGGGCCACTCTAACAACCCCAACAATAACTCTCTTTGAGCCCATGGCATTAGATAAAAAAAATCGAAAAATGGAAACGAAATCTTTTATCAAGCCGTTCATTACCTTCATGAATGATATGATTTTTACAATTTGATTGTGAATAATTTTTAACTTACCAATTCTGAATGAGCCGGAAGCTCCTGTGCCCTTTGCTTGTTTCAGGCTCTTGTTGCTGACTCCTCGTTTTAACGCAAGTTTCAGTTGGGCATTGACCCGTGTGATCTCTTTGCCTGAAAATTTAAGAAATCAGTTCGATTATTCAGAACTCTTGCCACTGACTCCTCGTTTTATTACAAGTTTCAGTTGGGAATTGATGCGTGTGATCTTTTTGACTGGAAATTAAAAAAACTGTGCTAAGAACTTATGGAGGGCTCCCAGGGTTCCAACTCGATATTCTGCCATATATGGAGATGCGGTGATTACAAAATTCGAATTCAAACAACCGCCATTTTGTTTATTTGAATAGTGATTTTGGTCTTGATTCCAAACAGATAATACCCTGCGCGCAGAGTCTAGTTATAAGATGAAGATCTCTTTTTAGAAGCGAAGTCAAGTCGAACGAATGAAAAGGGTAAATAAAAACTTCCACAACACACAAGAAGTGATCGAGATATTAGTTCAAATTTTTGGACTGTTAATTATGAATTTATAGTCAGTTCTAATGTCAGAAAATAACGACATTCTGACATTTTCATTGTTGGAAAATATCGAGTTGCGTCCCTGGGAGCCAATCCCCCTTCCTATGAACTCATTTCACAAGACATGCTTAACTTATTTTCGTTCGATATCTTCAATGATCATACAGACACGAGATTGTCGTTGTCTTTGATGCAATATGATTTCTAACTTCCTAATTGGAAAGTAGTTTAATAAAGGATAAAAACAATGTAAAAAGTAAAGACTATATAATTATTTGTTTTTAATGACCCACTTTTCATGTTTTGCAATTATCAAATGAATACTAAGATATTTATCGACAGTGTAATTGTTCCTAGGATTATTTAGAATCATTATAAATCATCGTATTCCCTTTATATAAAGGGCAATAAATATAATATACATCAGTCAAATGTAAATTGCAGCTTGAAAGTATTGTCATGGCTGCCTTTGACACAAAATTATTAACTTACCGACGTTATATTTCCCAACTATGTATTTAAGAATAGCTTGGCGCGATGAACCTCCGCGTTCCTTCAGTGCAACGATAGCTGCTTTAATCATAGCGTTATACGTTGGGTGCACTGCTGCCTTTTTGGGCTTTGCGGCCCTCTTTACCTTCTTTGGTGATTGCTTGACTGCGTCAGACATTGTGTTCTCGATCTAGGAGTAGCGATTATCAGAAATGTTCGAAGATACCCGCCTTTAGGCTTTTATTCACATTGCGCGGACGTCAGAGAACAGTGTTCCGATTTAAGCGGGGTTAATCCAAAAATGGTGACCGATTTTTTAATCTGTGTTTGTAACCTTATTTTGGAATGTTAATTCATTGTGAATTAAGATATTTTACAACTTCAAAAGCTCTGAAATTGTCAACAAGTTACCAAATCATGGATAAATGGTTTGTTTTGGTACGAAAAATGTAAATTTGAAGATGATAGCTTGAGTAATTCTGTTGAACATAATTTTTTTGCAACGAACTATTACATTTCAAACACATTTCCATCAGTGATAAATTAACAATTTCTTGCTTTTTTGCACTTTTGTGTAGCTTAATTATTGCACTTTCCATTACATATTAAGATTAGCAATAGATACCAATGGAAGTGTAGATAATTAAAGTTGCTTATGGGTAACAAACACAACAAAAATCAGTGACCAAGTTTCTATTGAGAAAAGAGGCGCGATACGAATCTATTCTTCTATTGTGAAAAATATTGATTCTCGTGTTTATGTAAATAATACGTACGATATTGTAGAATACAAACATCAATACAGGTTAACATTATTTTTATAGCTCAGCTCAAAAATCGAATAAATTTATTTTAATGATCCCGGCCTATTATTTGTGCATCATTAGAATAAAACATTTATTTTTTACTTTGTATAGGTGAGCCTTGTCTAGGCAGAGTCTTTGGTCTAGGTAATTTGGCCATCTTCACCTGACCAACTTTCTTAAATTGGCTGGCATGCGCAAAGATTGTCAATCATGGGTTTCCCAATGATTTAAAAAAGCATTTACATGCAGAATGTCACACTCTGCCATTTGTTAGAGACGCCGATCTCCAAACAACCGCCGAACACCAACCACCAAAACAAAGTTGGAGAAAAATGTCATCACTTGTGGTGGTGACATAAATATAAAAGATAGGGGCAATCGGCTCAGTCGTTAAACTTAGCTACATGTAAACTTCATGTCTTCACTGTTTCGATCTGATTTAACATTAACTGTACTATCGTTTTGGTGAGGCAGTCATCTTCCCTTAGTGTTAATCAACAAATCCAAATTCTTCTATTACCAAACCTTTTTAATAAAGAAGATACTCCAATTAAGGACATTAAGAAAGCCATGCTCCAAGTTTTGCCCATGTTCCAATAGATAAAATAAAATGAAGAACAAAAATGTTTCTCGATCATCCAACAATTACTCTGTGTAACGTAAACATCAAACTAAGATTGCAAATAGACAAATATATTTGTAATAAGGTAGTATTAGGTACAGCGGGAGCAAATCGGGATTTAAAATAATAATCGGGAGGAGGGAAAGTATCGCAACAGATTGCGGACAGTCATATGTTGGGTTTTGGCTATTTGCTGAGGATTTAAACAGGTGCATATGTTAGACAAATGCATTACCTTCAGGAAAAGCACTCCTAGAGATGATAAAATAATTTCGACTTTGAGACAGGGAAGATGCAAACAACCCACCTACATGTTTTTTTCTGAAATGTTTTCCTGATTTTCAACCCTTTCCACCCCTGCTTTTTAATTTTTTTGCATAAATATGTTGTGTTTTGACACACAGTTAACCGCTTTAAATGAATAAGTGATTCCTTCGGGGGTTTAAAAGATATCAATAATGGGTGACAAAACTTAGCTGAAAGTAATGGATCGCATGAGTTTTCCCTCTGGGAAAATAACATATAGGAAATATTGTTTTCCACTTTATCTAAAAGGATTCACTTATTCCTTTTAGATGATAAAGTGCATTTCAAATATTAATTGTTTGACATATACGAGACCAATGTTAATGCTACCAGGGGGAATCTGACCTACAGGCCTTACAATTTATACATGTTTTTTTCTGTTTTGAAAAATTCGATATGTGATGTATATTTTTAGTTCTTCAAAGAAATCTACAAATATTTCGGTGCGGTTTGGTTGCTCATGAACACCAATGCAAGGTATGTAGAGTGAGGTTTCCATACGTTATGTAAAAAATGATCGAAAATAATCTTATACTATTAAATTGAACGGAGGGGAGGGGAGTGAACGGAGGGGATGGGGTTGATGTGTCTATAAGACATGATAAAATATCTTACTGGACTTTATCCATCAATGACATTTTGTAATAATAACGTTACTTAAAAGTATTTATTACAAGTTCGTTGCTTGATTCATATCAAAAACATTGACTTTTGCGCGTTGGTTACGTTGCTCCTTTTAAAAGATCTCATATTGAATCAGTTCAAAACATATTTTACCATACCGAGCGCCTATTCATTAAGCAATTCAATATTTATCTTGGAAAAAATAATATTCCAGATTTGTTGAATATTTTAGCAGAAACTGGCTACTCCCCCACCCACTTCCATTCATTTGTCCGATCATAGGGAGTGATATTCCTTTGTAGATTAATGAGTTTGGACTTTATTTCACAGAGTGTCGCCCCCCTCCCCCACAAGTACAAAAATGGCATAAATGGTAAACTACATAATTTATACATTTGTCATAATGTACTGATCACTTTATTGAAAAATGAATTATTTAACAATCGAAAAATCAAGCAATAAGATGGATGTATTAAAAGTGAGCTTGAATATAAGCTGTACCAAAGACGTCCTTGGCTGTACTCACTTGTTTGGGACACTCTGTATATTTGAACCATACGTTTTGACAAAGTAGTCTATTGTAGATTCTACTTTATAAATAAAACATCAGTAATATTATACAGTTTAATTTTACATTTATGTTATATTTTAGCATATTTTGTTTCTTCATTTACATGGTATTTACTATACAATTAATAAAATGAATATACATTTAATACTATTTTGTTCATCTACATAGTATGTACAATACAATAAATAATATAAATGCAGTATAACTGTATTGCATATACTGAATCTGTAAATGCACATAAGGTTTTAACTTCATTACTAACAAATGACAGATAAGTTTTCAAGAAGTTGAATGTATAAATCAATAATTATCTGTTAAACTGACAATTTTTTCCCATTTCAAAGCTTCTGTTCAGTAACAGTTTCACTAGTCCAGCATAATAAAATCTCAATCAATTCTAAAACAAAACTTTTGATGAAAATCTAAATAAATGATAAGTTTCATGTTCCTTTAAACGTTCATGTAAATAATGTTCATTTTAATAGTCCACTTTAAATGTTCATGAAAATAATGTTCATTTTAATAGTCCACTTTAGATGTTCACTAAATAGTCCACTTTAAATATTCATGTAAATAGTCTTCTGATTTTTAATCAACTTCTTCAACAGTTGGTCCACTGTTGGACCCACCGTGGCTTGCTCCTTTTTGACCCGCTGATCCATGGATTTTAGCCATAATAGGAGAACACGTCTTTTGGAGATCTTCTAGCTGATGATCATACTCTTCCTTTTCAGCAAGGCTATTAGCATCAATCCACGAGAGCACATCTTTGCATTTGTTCACAACAGTGTCACGCTCATCAGGTGTTAATTTAGCTTCATTCTCAGTTGCTGCACTTTTGAAGTTGAAGGCCATAGCTTCCAAGTTGTTTCTTGCTGCAACTCGTTCCCTTTGTTTGTTATCCTCTTCTTCATACTTTTTAGCATCATTCACCATTTTTTCGATTTCTTCTTGGGAGAGTCTGCCTTTTTCATTTGTGATACGAATGTTGTTTGATTTACCGGTGCTTTCATCTTTGGCAGTTACATGGAGTATTCCATTAGCGTCAATGTCAAAGGTCACCTCTATTTTTGGCACGCCTCTCGGGGCTGGGGGTATACCTGATAGTTCGAATTGTCCCAGAAGATTGTTGTCTTTCGTCATTGCACGCTCTCCCTCAAACACTTGGATACTGACTCCTGGTTGGTTATCAGCATATGTTGTAAATGTTTGAGAATGCTTCGCTGGGATACGAGTGTTTCTCTCGATGATTTTTGTCATCACTCCGCCAGCTGTTTCAATGCCCATTGAGAGTGGTGCAACATCAACCAATAACAGATCCTGCACTTTCTCATCTTTCACCCCAGACAAGATGGCTGCCTGGATTGCGGCACCATAAGCGACTGCCTCATCGGGATTAATGGATTTATTAAGTTCTTTCCCTCCCATGAAGTCTTGGAGCAATTTCTGTATTTTGGGAACTCGAGTTGAACCCCCTACCAGAACAACATCATGAATGCGACTCTTATCAAGTTTTGCATCACGAAGTGCTTTTTCAACTGGCTCCAGAGTTTGACGGAATAAATCAGCACAAAGTTCTTCGAATCTAGCTCTGGTGATCGCAGTGTAGAAATCGATACCTTCAAACAGAGAGTCTATCTCAATGCTTGCCTGTGAGCTGGTGGAGAGTGTACGCTTGGCTCGTTCACATGCTGTGCGAAGACGCCTCATTGACCGTGCATTGTTCGATATGTCTTTTTTGTGTTTGCGCTTGAATTCTTGTACAAAGTGGTTCACCATTCTCGAATCGAAGTCCTCGCCACCAAGATGGGTATCTCCAGCTGTAGCTTTCACTTCAAACATGGCACCTTCATCAATAGTGAGAATTGAGACATCAAATGTTCCCCCTCCCAGGTCAAAAATAAGCACATTCTTTTCACCATTCATGTTCTTATCGAGCCCATATGCAAGGGCAGCTGCAGTTGGTTCATTCACAATTCGCTTGACATTCAATCCTGCAATATGACCAGCATCTTTGGTAGCTTGTCGCTGAGAGTCATTAAAGTATGCTGGTACAGTAACTACTGCTTCATTTACTTTTTGACCCAAGTATGCTTCCGCAGTTTCCTTCATCTTTGTCAATACCATAGAGCTGATTTCCTCAGGGGTAAATGATTTTGTTTCACCCTTGTATTCAACTTCCAATTTAGGTTTTCCAGCATCGTTTGTCACTTTAAATGGCCAGTGCTTCATATCGGACTGCACTGAGTGGTCATTGAATTTTCTACCAATTAAACGCTTGGCATCAAAAATAGTGTTTGTAGGATTCATCGCAACTTGGTTCTTGGCAGCATCTCCGATAAGTCGCTCAGAGTCATTAAATGCAACGTAACTTGGGGTGGTGCGGTTACCCTGGTCGTTAGCAATTATTTCAACCTTTCCATGCTGGAAGACAGCAACACAGGAATATGTGGTGCCCAGATCAATGCCAATTACAGGTGCTTTGCTCGACATATTCAATTTCTGAAAACAAAAAAGATCAAATTAAATTAATATGTATAACAGAAGCAGAAGAAAATATGTAACTTTTTGGTACCTGTAGTCTAAAAAAGGTTGAAATCTTAAATCAAGATCTTCCAGAGATAATAACATTAGGCTATGTGAAAATAAATAAATATGTTACATACACTGTACCTCGTATTGATTTTTCTATTTAGTTGATAAATCTGTAGAAGTTTCCTCCTTGTATTCAATCAGTTTTCAGAATCAAATGAGATTTGATGTTGCGATTTCAAGTCACTTCACTTCTTCTTTTCTCCCTTATTTCCTTGACTTCGAGTTTTTTTCTGTTGTTTGAATGCAAGCATTCTACACCTCGAGTATATATACCAGACCGTTGATCTCTTCTAGACATTTCTAGATCGTTTCTTTTCGAGATTCTTCGTCTGGTTGGATTATTTACATTTATGTCAAGAATTATGGAGAATCCTCCAGAAAATGACGTCATTTTTTGTTTACAAATGAGAGCGCCATCTTTAGCTCTAATTGATTTTACACTTCATTACCTGATGTAAATCTTAAATCAAACATCAATTATTTTTTGTAGATTTAGTTCATCATATTGATACAATATCAGGCTTTTGCCATGAATAAAACAGCATAAATAAATACAAGCAAGTGGAAATTCCCTTGTGGCCCACTTACCTCGTTATGAGAATTAGGTCATGGAGGTGTTTTCCAATTTAAAAGTTTCAAACTTTTCAAAAAGTATATCTTTTTTTAAAATTCATGCATTGTGACTATCATCATGTCCCAAAATAATAATATTATTAAAGTTGAAGGCCGAGAGATAAATCCTGCCAAAGTTGATGGACCATCAGATGTATTTTCAAGCGCTAGTTTCCAACTTGCAAAATCAAGGTCTCTAATTTTTAGGTTTTTCACAACATATGACAAAGAGGATTGGCTGCCAGAATGCAATCGCGATATCTTCCAAGAATGAATATATTGTTATAATATAATTGTCTGACATTAAACTACCTTTAAATTCATAATCAGCAATCCAGAAAAATTTAGCTTATATCTTGATCTCTTGTTGTGATCACTTCTTTTGTTATTTGTTACTAATAAGACCGAAACTCGCGATGTCAACTGTTTAATTTCATGAATCACGCACAGCATCCTTCATTTTGTAAAATATTGGGGATGAGTATGTGAACCGAACAAAACAAAATAATGATCAAGATTGCATTCTGGGTCCATCATCCTTGGGTTTTTCAACCTGTTTCACAACTGGGAGAGCACCTATGCCACCACGCAATTGAAATTGCAATTGAGCAAAATTCTGATTCCCTTTTGGGGTTAGTTGTTAGTGCCATATATATATATGTGCATTTAATTTTTTTTAGGTGGCAAGAAGACAACGATGCTAACATATGTGTTCTTTGCAATCAGAAATTTAACCAGATACGACGCAAACATCATTGTCGTCAGTGCGGCAGAGTGCTCTGTAGTAAATGCTGCTATGCAAAGGTATGTACAGTTATATATGCATTCAGAATATACTCATTGTTCCATAACTTGTTACTTTGACAGACATTAAGGTGCTATGGAAGTTAACAGGAAATGACAAAACAGGAAGTGACAAAAATTTTTGCATTTTTAGACATTCTTTGAACAAAGATAACAGAGTTCTGTTTTGACCTCCAGTCAATTCAACTAGTTCCAAATACCATTTACAGGTCCAGGATCACAATGTTTATGGCCAGAATGACCCTAAACATGAAGAAATAACCTTTTCAGCCCTCTGAAAATGTGACTGAAAAATAGCTAAAAGACGGAGGTAGGAAAGGTCACTGAATAGAATCTTTCGAATTTTTCAGAAAATGTGCCCAATATATTGCTCTAAATGATACAATCTTTGAAAATTTGATATCATTCATAGAAAAAGAAAAAAAAATGAAAAAACTGATTTGAAAAGCGATCTATTTTCCTTTTTATGACCGCCATTTTTGTTTCAGACAATTTTCTAAAATTTCAAAGATTGTATCAGTTAGAGCATTATATTAGGCACATTTTCTGGAAAATTCAAAAGATTCTGTTCAGTGACCTTCCCTGCCTTCCTACTTTAGCTTTTTTTCAGTCACACTTTCAAAGGGCTAAAAAGGTTATTTCATCATGTTTAGGGTCATTCTGACCATGCACATTGTGATCCTGGTCATGTAAATGGTATGTGGAAATAGTTAAATTAACTGGAGGTCAAACCAGAACTCTGTTATCTTTGCTCAAAAAATGTCTAAAAATGCAAAAAAAAATTTGTCACTTCCTGTTTCGTCATTTCCTGTTAACTTTCATAGCACCTTAAACTATGTGTTTTGTAATGTACAAAGCATAAAAGGTACACAATCCCGTAAAAATCACCTACATGTAGGTCAATGGACTTAAGATAGAGCCTGCATTTTGAAATAATTTGCCAAAATCTCATGATTTTTACCCGATATTGTGCAGATTTTACCAGAGAGTGCTGTGCTGTTTGATTCCTACCTGGATTATGTCAGTTCTGTAAGAATTATGATACATGTTAATGCTACAGTTTTATGTCATGCACTATCATCTATGTTTTGTTTTACTGTTTTAAAGATGCCGCTGCCTCAGTTAGGCTACGGAGATGCTGAGCGTGTGTGTGATTTCTGCAAGCCTGTCTGTGAACTCGTAACCAAGGCTAGATCACCAATGCTGGTATGTAAAGGAAAACTATGCATAATGCAAATTATTGTCAAATAATTTAATTTAGGGAGCCTGCTGGGAAGTCTTTGCTTACCTAATGTTCTCATTCCTCGTTAGCCTTTTACAATATAGGCCTTTCCTATAACCAATTTCCGACACCTCACTGGCAGCTTTTTAATCCTGGTGCCAATCAGCCATTTTTGATTTGTGGTAAGCTCCGAATATCCATCGACATCGGATTTGGATTTTGTGCTGCTATACCTTAAACCCATAGCATGCTCTTGTTTAAGCCCATTTCAATGCAATATTTGGGTCTGTGATTAAAGAAGAAAATGGTCATATTGACCAACTCTCATTCAAAATGGCTGTTTAAACAGCTTACTTACAAGTATAAATCAAAATGTCAGGTACCATATGAGGGAGAACGTATTGCATCTAGTGATGTATTGATGTAATGCATGAATTCAGAAGTCAATAGGTTGATATGCAAAACCAATAGAGAAAATATTTGGATTTACTACTCATTTAAAAGTTGTTGTAAAGGCAGGCCTGTAGCAAGGGGGGGTACCCTGGCCATAAAATCTTTCAAAATCATGCAGTTTTTCACCATTCTGAGCACTTTTTAAGTGATTTTGGCCATTTTTAGACCAAAATTGTCACAAGTGAACCCCCTGGAATTTTTCAAAATGTGAACCCCCTTTGCAAATACGGGCCTGAAAGGGATGCAAGCTTACCCTTAAATAACAGAAAATATCTTGATCCCATTGAATGTTGAATAACTCAGAAACCCTTGGTCCAATATTGTTGATACACATATATGCCTAACATGGAAAAATAAAGATTCATTTGCATTTTAAGACACAACATCTTGCTTTATCAAGCTTCGTTCATGTCCTTAGAATGTAGTGTTTGAGAGTGGGAACCCACGAGTTGAAGCAAAGACACAAAATAACCAGTATCTTTTCATTGTGTTTATAGTCATATGAGCTAGAAGGTGCCAAAGGATTGTCTGAGTTTGTACGAGATCCTGATGGTGTGAAACGTGTGGTCGAAACAGGAGGTCTACAAACATTGATATGGCTTGCCCGACAAGGGGACGAACAAATGAGGGTGAGCATGCATATTTGAACATGTACATGTGCAAATTTTATAGAGGTGGCTTATCAATTCAGACAATTTTCCTACAGAAAGGCCACAATGCAATTAATATGGCTTTGTGTTCACTTTTAGGGAATCATACTATATTCAAACACAAGCCTAGTTCTATTTTATTACAAGGCCACATTTTTTTGATGTGTTCGATTAGGACTAAACTTTGAAATAAAGTCATATTAAAATCAATAGAATATTCCTTATTACTTTCGGAACTGATGTTTCCATTTTTATTGTGTTTCAAGGTCATGCAATATGTTGTAAGTGCAGAGGTTTTCTTTATTACTGGTTCCTTCCCATTATCTGATATATTATATGCAACATTATTTCCTATTTGCTTTTATTACAGGGTTATATCATATCTGCCCTGCATTGCCTGGCTATGCATACATCACTACATCCAGTACTTGCAGAATCTGGTACCATCAAAGCTGTTTGCAGGTACACTGTTCACTTCATATAACATGTCAATTTATAGAAGGTAGATTCCTGCAATGAGAAATTTCATGGAATTCCCATGATGATAGTTCCCAATAATTTACACATAGCTAGGCAAGGTGTGTCCAAGGTAATTTTTAGATTCTAGTGAAACTAATGAAACCAATCAGCTGATCACTTTCATAGTTGAGTAAAAACCTATAAGCCGTATCATAGGGAATAACAAGCCAAATGCTTATATAGGTCAAATGGTAAGTGTTAAATGGTTGTTGTCAAGGTGACAACACATAGGGAATAACAAGCCAAATGCTTACATAGGTCAAATGGTAAGTGTTAAATGGTTGTTGTCAAGGTGACAACACATAGGTAATAACAAGCCAAATGCTTATATAGGTCAAATGGTAAGTGTAAAGTGTAAATACCATTTAATCCCAAGACGCAATGCATTGTGGCTGATTCATTCCACTCAGGCATTGGATGAGTCCAGGCCTTAATCAATGAAATATATAATGTTTTTCAAAATTTTACATGTTGTGGTAGAATACATATTTCAACACCAAATTAGCTCAAATTGTGTTCACATGGCATGTCCCCAAATATATATTTTTAAATCTGAAAGTTGGATCTACCTCAAGGATCTCACAAGGCATTTAGTCTCTAAAAGATCACCACAGTTAACTTCAGGCAGAACCACCAGAAGTGATGACATATTGTTATAATCTCCAACTTTTTTGTGGATGGTATTTGGCGGTTTGTTGGTGTTTGGTGGTTTATGCACTTTGCATATTGATGCATTGAATTATCATTATCATTGCCATAGCCTGTCTTTGTAAAACTGTATAAAATTATGTTAAATTCCCAATAATGCCAAATACGAAAAATAGACGCAAAAAACTACAAGTAGTTGGTCAAATAGTTTATTGTACCTAACTAAACTAAAACAATAAACTACAATAGAAGTTACATAATATTATAATGCGTTAATTAATAGATGTTACGTAATAATACAATAGAAAATACATAACAGTACATTGCATTAAAGTAGTTACATAATAGCATATAATATTATGACCTCCCAGTCCAGTACACCCTAATTCAATTAAGGGGAGGGTGGGAGGGAGCATTAGCTAAAAATAGTACATGTTTAGTGCTTGGCTGCAGTAGCTGAAGTGATTAGATGATCTAGACATAATTAAAAGTTCATGACCTTTGCATGAACTGCAGAACCAGATGGCAACCTCTATAATTTAAATCTATTTCAACTGAAATTAAACTTAAATTCCCAATAATGCCAAATACGAAAAATAGACGCAAAAAACTACAAGTAGTTGGTCAAATAGTTTATTGTACCTAACTAAACTAAAACAATAAACTACAATAGAAGTTACATAATATTATAATGCGTTAATTAATAGATGTTACGTAATAATACAATAGAAAATACATAACAGTACATTGCATTAAAGTAGTTACATAATAGCATATAATATTATGACCTCCGAACCCAAACTTGATGTTAAGTAGAAGTAGTAGAAGGTAGGTTAGTTGAAAAAGATTTTGCCATCTCTACTTTTGAAGCTACAGGTAATTCAAGATAAACCTTATATGCGTCTGACTTCCAGTCACCTAGAATCTGGATGACATTAGGGGGAAGGCCTCTTTGTAGAGCCCAAGATGCGCCTCCCCTCCTAAAGGAATGAGGTGAAAAACAAGTACGGTCATAACCTGCCTTAGCTAAGCATGTGCCCAGGAGAGATGAGAACAGGGAGGGGGGAAAAGGTTTACCTCTGGGCAAAGTAAAGAGGGGGTAGTCTGGGCTGGAGGGGAAAGTAATAGCAAGGGCAGATAGTAGTGCAGATACTGGGCAAAGGGGGTGGCCTTTGATCTCAGTAAGCGGCACTTGCAAGATTCTCTCTCCAGACTGAATAGTCTTTGACCATTTCACATTAAGTAAGACCCCCCAGGGAAAAAATGTTACATCTCTCCTGCACAAATGTTTGCTCTTGTCAAACTCTGAAGGTAACACATTAGATCTCCTAAACAGGCCATAGAAAGCAACTAAACAGACACCCCAGAAAACCACATGAAGGGGATCATCCATATTTAGTTGCTTCCTAATGTCCAGCAAATGAGTTGGAGTAATAGCAGATTTCCTAATTGGTTTCCTGCCTAGGGTCTTTGTGAGACCCAAAATGATGGTGTCCAGCCTATAATTGTTATTTAATGGGTTTGCATAACCACTTTCCAAGTGGAGTAGCCTGACAACATTAAGATACAGTTTCACTGATGCTGGAGTAATGACCCCAGCTAATGAAGCAACATAGCGGTCCAGGTGTAATTGATTAACTGGTACTGGGTTGTAACCCATATTGTTACAAAAAACAAGATATTTTTGGAGCTGGGCTGCATATGTTGATCTGGTAGAGGGGGTGTAGCAATTCATGCGTAGCGTAGCGATTGTGTTATCCAATTCTTCTTCCAGCTCAGCCAGTTGCGGACCTGCGGCAGAATGGAAAACAGAGAATTAAAACTCATGTGTGGTATTAAGTCCATAACAGACATTCCTGAATAAGGGAAGCGCCCAGGGTATAACAAGGCTTCCAAGGATAGGAGGGCATGGGGTTCATGAAGTCTGGAGATTGTATCTGCCATCACATTATTTAGTCCCTTGACATGGTGTGCTCTTAGATCAAAGTTGTAAGTCACTGATATCCAGAACATATGTCTTAGTATATCCATAATAACAGGATGTCGAGACCTCCCATAGTTGATCACTGCCATTGCAACAGAAGAATCGGTTGCAAGTTGAACCTTCTTATTTGACCAAGTGTGCCCCCATCTCAATACAGAGAAGTATGCAGAGAGTATCTCCTTATAATTGATATGGTAATCCTTAAGAGAAGGGGTATCACGATGGAAATTTATATATGCCCAATCTCCATCATAGTATAAGCCTGCTCCAGTATTGCAAGCATCCAGCTCGACAGTCACAACTGGATTGTTGTCCATTATTAAAGATTTTCCATGGAATGTGTCTATGTACTTAATCCACCAGTCTATGTCCTTATAGAATTGAGTCCCTAGCATGTATTTGTGTTTGCTGCGTTTGAGTGATCGTATGGTATCCAGGATCCGTTGGAGGAAATGCCTACCCCCTTTGACGACCTGGGTTGCCCAATGAAGTTTACCAGCCAATGATTCAAGCTGGGATCTAGCGGCGCGTTTTTTGCTTGAAAATTCGATGAGTAATGCTTTCAAGCTATTTAGATTTTCCTCTGGCAATGTCAGTTGCATTTTTATAGTATCAATGTTTATGCCTAAGAAAGCTAGAACCTGTGTAGGTCCTTCCACTTTTGACCAGTTTATGCTCAGACCAAGGGACCTGATCAATCCAATCAATGTGTCCCTTGCTTCTTGACACTCCTTATATGTAGGGTAAACTAGGCAGAAATCGTCGAGATAAACAACAATGTTTTGAAATCCTCTGTTGATCATCATACGCTTAACAGATTGCGTAAGTCTGTGGAATATTTCTGGAGCTTTCCGTGCTCCAAACATGAGTCTCTTGTCTATCATATATGTATATGAATTGTCACCTCGAAATTTCCACTTAAGGCCAGTATACAGATAATCACTGGGAGATATCGGCACTGATCTATACGCTTCTGATAGGTCCACCTTACATAAAAAGTATCCATGCTTAACTAAAGCAGTAACTTCCGATAGAGATTGATACTTAAAACTGTTTTTTGTAGCGTAGTCATTTAATCCATTTCCATGCGGCATAGAACAATCATGAATCAGCCTAATCTTGTCAGAGTTCTTTTTTGGTATTGCCCCCAGTGCACTAGTTATTATTGGTTTATGGGATACTTTTTCATATCTTTGCTCTTGAAGTTCCTTAACAATCTGAGATTCCACTTTAAAATGAGCCGGAAAATCAAGTGCTGATCTATAGTTATTAGTCTCTACTTGAACAGGATTGCTATTTGAGTCAATGATTTTAAAACCACTTGAAATTCCATTTAGAAGAAAGTCCTTATCTGGGTCATTAGCTAATTCATAAGTCCATTTATCCAAACAATTTCCTAGAGGTGAAGGGGCTATAGGTGCTACTGCAGCGACTGTTAGTTTTTTTGATGGGTTAAGGCAGAATGAGACTCAGTACAACCGCCGTACAACCTGCCTCTAGACAAACGTGACGGTACCTGCAAGTAGTTCCATACTTGCATTCTCCTTTGTTAAAATTCCTGCATATTTGTACATCCGGCTGTTTTGCAGTCTGTTTATTCCTTGCTTGAGTTGATTTCATATTTGGTGGTTTTAGCCTCAGGTGAGTTGTGCTGAGGTGGGCTATTTCGCTACCCCATTGGAAGCCTTGTATATACTGGCGCCTCCTGTATTCCTCATCATATATTAAAATACTTATCCAATCAAACTTTTCACAAAATTCCATTATCTTTATATGGTGTTGGAGATAGGAATGTACATCTACTTGGGGAGAATGCTCTTGCATATGTAACAATATCGCCAAACTTGCCTGGTTCCATTGTGGGATGGTGACACTGGTGAGGGTGGGGCGTTTAGCAGAGGACTTGAGAATCAGGCTAGAGCTCCCCGCTATAGCCATCACTTCCTCTGAGTAATCCTCCTTGATAGACAGAGCACTCGAGATAAAATCCACAATTTTAAGGTGCTCACCTTTCCTTTTTGGTTCCACTCCACTGGCCTGGGGACTTATCCCAAGTTGTTTCAGCATTTGGTCAGCTGACAGACCAGCCTCATTCTCCTTATGGGTAGCTTGGTACTCCTCCCCCCGAGGGGCACAGTCTGGTGATATCCCAGGGCCCTCAATGTCTCCTTTAAGAGCTTTAAGTCCCTTTTCTAGGAGGCGGAATTGCCCTAAAGGCTTTAGTTTCATTGCCTGTAAATCTTGAGGCACTTGCAGTGTAACGAGTGCCTCAATAGAGTCAAATCCATTCGCTTCAAGTGTCCTCATAGTTTCAGATGTAAGTTTGTTACTGGCTTGAAACTCCTCCATGGTTTTTACTATTATTTTTATATTTTTCTCTGTTATACTTTGTCTTAATTAATACAGAGAGCATTAGCTAAAAATAGTATATGTTTAGTGCTTGGCTGCAGTAGCTGAAGTGATTAGATGATCTAGACATAATTAAAAGTTCATGACCTTTGCATGAACTGCAGAACCAGATGGCAACCTCTATAATTTAAATCTATTTCAACTGAAATTAAACTTAAATGTACAAAACAAAAACTAGATATCATTTTTCACAACTGATTGAATTTAAAAAGATGTATATATGAATTTATAAAATAGATTATTATAAAATCTCTATTTTATTTTATCATTCTAGCATTTTATCGAATGCAGATGCGGAACAAATTTTGATTGACGGAATCAGTTCACTGATGATCTTCTGTAAATCATCAGACCTCAAAACACAAGGTAAAAAATATTCATATTCGTTTGTTTGGCTTAGTGTATGTTCTTCATTATACCATAGAATCCTTGGTTACTTTAATAAGATAATTTTATTAGAAGTTCATGCAAACCATTCATAAGTATTATAAGTATGGCATGTAAATAATAGTAAGTTATTAGACTCATCCATGTACCGTACATGTATTTCAGCTATCAAAGATGGCGCCCTCCATCCGGTTTTAACACTTTGCAATCATTCCCAAGATGCCATAGCTTTGGTGGCACTGAAGACCCTAAGCCTCATTGTTGAGCATGCAGGAACACATACTGCTATTATCGAAAGTGAACGTAGCGCTTTGCCTAAAGTACTTGCACTCACAGCCTCAAGTGATGAACAGGTATGCTTTTTGTAGGCATTTCTACTGTGTTGAATCATGAAGATTTGTGTGCAATTAATTTAACATTTTGTAGGCATTTCTACTGTACAGAATCATGAAGATTTCTGTGCAATTAATTAAAAAATTTGTAATCATTTCTGTTAGACAGATTCATGAAGATTTATGTGCGTTGTTCAGGTTAGAGTCAACAGGTATACATTATGTAGGCATTTCTGTGAGACAGAATCACGAATATTTCAGTATGCACTTAATTTACCTGTTATTTTGAGCAAGAGTCAACAGGTATGCACTTTGTAGGCATCTCTGTTGTACTGAATAACAAGGTGGATGTAGTGTGAAATGACCCAGCCAATTTTATCAGGTTTTGAACAGAAATATGAACAGAGATAAGAACATTTAATACTTATAAGGAGATACTCAGGCGTGGCAATGTTTTAGTCAATCTTGATATTAAATTTTAAATGTTCAAGAATTTACCTAAAACCTAATGACCAGCTTTTTACCATTTTATCATTTTGAAAAATGTTAACATTTGTGTACATTAAATTGAACTGTTTTACTAGGTAAGAGTCAATTGTCCTACTTTTTACACAAGTAACTTATTAATTACTCCATTTTTGAGTAAAACATCTGTTATAAGAAATAGATATTCATTGAAGGGAGGCCAACATTCAACCTTATAGTGAGGTTTTAATGCTATATATACATATGGGGGTACATGTATGTTATATTTGGGTATGTTGTCTGAGATTTGCTCTGAAATAAATTGCCATTAAGCATCACCCTGTGCATTCACGAAGAGAGTGTCATAGGAGCAGGAGATCCTTTAGGTATATTCAATTTAAAAGAAATGGGCAATCCTGAAACTTATTTTCCCTCCTCCTTCCCTTAAAATACTCACAATTTTTTCTACCTGTATTGATCTCCTTTACTTTTTAAGGCCCCATACTCCCCCCCACCTTCCCCACTGACAAATAATACACATGTATTGTTTCTCCCGTAATTACAGGTGCAAGAGGTCAGTCTAAAGCTGCTTGCTCATCTCTCAATGGGAACTGACTATCATAGACAGAGAATAGTTCAGGTATTTTCAAGTACTTTTTTACTTCATATTGTTCAGATTTTGTACCTATTTTCCTGTATGAAACATATAAGCATCACTTAGTATTTATTAACATGTTAAAGGAGGATTTCACTGCTGGGAAAGAAATTTTAAAGGTTCTATGTAGTAACCATAGCTACATGTTCTTTGAAATGTTGAATTGTGTAATCTCAAATTGATACTCATTGACAGGAGGATTTAACTTCTGGGAAAGGAATTCTAAAGGTTCTATCTAGCAATCCTAACAAGATTCAAATGTTGAGTCCCATAATCTCAAATGAATAATAGGTTATTAACATTTTTACATTGTAAAAATAGGAAATCTAAAAATGCTCCATTGGAATTTTGAAATTAACTGTTTTTGAATCATTTGCAGGAGGATTTTACTACAGGGAAAGGAATTCTAAAGGTTCTTCGTAGCAATCCTAACAACATACAAGTATTATGTAATGCAGCCTGTTTGGTTGGGAATCTTGCAACCAGTGAACACTCCCAGGTAGGACTTCCTCTTCTTACTGACTTGGGTAGAATGTCGATGTCATCTTTTTGGGAAACTGAATTATTATTATCTTTTATGTTGCTTATTGCCTGTATCTGATCATAAATTGAAATAAGAATCAGAATCAACTGCACCATCATATGCAACCTCAACTAATTATTCGCCTTGAAATCTGATATATTTGTCAAAGATTGAGACAGGGATATAAATATAATGTTAAGACACAAAACTTGCCAAGTTCTATTACATAATAATACAAAAAATTCTTCTGAGCAAATGAAGGTTTAAAAAACACTGTGTTATTTGTTGAAGCCCAAAATCAGTAAAATACTTACTTTTTGAATGAATTTTGACAAGGGGAATCAGGAATTTGTGCTTTATGTATTTTCTTGTTTTAGGGGGCTCTGCAGGAGGTGATTGACCCTTTGTGTTTAATGTATTCTATTGTTTTAGGGTGCTCTGCAGGAGGTGATTGACCTTTGTGTTTAATGTATTCTATTGTTTTAGGGTGCTCTGCAGGAGGTGATTGACCCTTTGTGTTTAATGTATTCTATTGTTTTAGGGTGCTCTGCAGGAGGTGATTGACCTTTGTGTTTAATGTATTCTATTGTTTTAGGGTGCTCTGCAGGAGGTGATTGACCTTTGTGTTTAATGTATTCTATTGTTTTAGGGTGCTCTGCAGGAGGTGATTGACCTTTGTGTTTAATGTATTCTATTGTTTTAGGGTGCTCTGCAGGAGGTGATTGACCTTTGTGTTTAATGTATTCTATTGTTTTAGGGTGCTCTGCAGGAGGTGATTGACCCTTTGTGTTTAATGTATTCTATTGTTTTAGGGTGCTCTGCAGAAGGTGATCAACCCTTTGTGTTTAATGTATTCTATTGTTTTAGGGTGCTCTGCAGGAGGTGATTGACCCTTTGTGTTTAATGTTGGGTTCCCATACAGAGAGTGTGGAATTAACAACACATGTCATCAGAGCCATAGCAAACTTTGCCAAATACCCCCAGAATGCTTGGAGACTGGTAAGTGATGCTTTTAAAATTGCTTTTAAAATGGATGTGGTTAAATGTTGATTTTTGTAATCATGACATGGAAATCAAAACATTGCTCTGCATGCTTGAGATTTTGATGATGACTATGGGCTGCATTGTATTCAGTGCTGTATGACTATGGGCTGTATTGTATTCAGTGCTGTATGACTATGGGCTGTATTGTATTCAGTACTCTATGACTATGGGCTGTATTGTATTCAGTGCTGTATGACTATGGGCTGTATTGTATTCAGTGCTGTATGACTATGGGCTGTATTGCATTCAGTGCTGTATGACTATGGGCTGTATTGTATTTAGTGCTGTATGACTATGGGCTGTATTGTATTCAGGGCTGTATGACTATGGGCTGTATTGTATTCAGTGCTCTATGACTATGGGCTGTATTGTATTCAGGGCTCTATGACTATGAGCTGCATTGTATTCAGTGCTGTATGACTATGAGCTGTATTGTATTCAGTGCTGTATGACTATGAGCTGTATTGTATTCAGTGCTGTATGACTATGGGCTGTATTGTATTCAGTGCTGTATGACTATGAGCTGTATTATATTCAGTGCTCTATGACTATGGGCTGTATTGTATTCAGTGCTGTATGACTATGGGCTGTATTCTTCTTACTCAGTGCTGAATGACTATGGGCTGTATTGTATTCAGTGCTGTATGACTATAGCTGTATTATATTCAAAGGGAATGGTGCTGAACTCTACTTTGATGTGCTATTCCTTTCTTTCAGATACCATACCTTGCTCATTTTACACGCAGTTGTCTCAAATCGGCAAATAATGCCTTAAAATTCCAAGCGACACGCTGCATTCTTCATCTTCTTCTCCATTCAACGAATGAGACAACAGAAGGATTGATGAAAGAGGGCGCCGCTGAATTGTTAAAGGGTCTTGTTGAAATACCTGAACTTATGGAATCTATGCATAAGTCGATACTAAAAAATGTTTCCGAGAGGTGCCGTCCTATGTAGAGTTAGGTTTAATGAGATTTCTATTGTTATATGAAATAAGCCTCCATCTGGGGAACGTTATCCTGCACAAACCATGATTTCATTGTTGACCAAGGTTTACCTTTGAGGTCAGAAAAGGGCCAAGATTGTTTTGTTAGTTAGAAAACTGATGATGTTAATTCTAGAGAAAGACTGGGTTGATTGAAAACCTCTCATTGACCAATCAGAATATGTCTTTGAACCTGGAAATAGTGAATCCAAGGTTTGTGAAATTAAGTAAATTCAGTGTTATAATGAATGCTCTCATGTTCAAGATATTACTTATATCATATAGAGTATTAAATGGGTTCAATATTATACAAAAATATAGATTGCTTTTAGAAGATGTTTTATACATTATAATAACTATTATAAAAAAAACTAGATGTACATGTTATTAAATGTACATGTATATACATATATTATACTATTATATATATATTACTTTTATATTATATGGTCTACTGTTAATATGAATGTGATTAGCAAATGAATGATATGAATAATGATAATAAGCCTGATCAAATGAGGAATAAATGTTTCAATTGATTGAGTTTTTAACTGTCTATAGCATCTTCTTTGAAAATTATGTCAGTTGGCTAGGTTTACTTTCAATATTACATGTTTGTTGATATGTTGTTTGAAAAAACACAGAAACATTGAATTACGAAGAAACATTAAACGAAGAAACATTGAATTAATCATATACTAAACATGAACAAATTGTGTGATGAATTGAATGATTTTTATGTCACCAGCAGAAGTGGTGACATATTGTTATAATCTCCAACATTTTGTGGTCAGCGTTCGGTGGCTGTAACAAATTGCAGGTGGTGACATTTTGCATGTTAATGCCTTGTTTTATAAAAACTGGATGATGTACTGAAGATAAGGAGTGCCAACTCTAAAAGTGCAATTGTAGTGCAATTTAATTAAAATAATGCTGTATTGTAATAAAATGTAATAACGCTACAGGGTGGCCATAATGTAAAGATGTAAAACTACAGGGTGGTCCTGTATTATATGTAAGAAAACACATGTGTATTTTGATTTTCCATAATTGTAATTTGCGCTATAGTGTTCGTTTCTTACAAATAACTATTCAATTAGACAGGCTGTAAATATTGCATTTCATGAAGTTTAGAATTAAATATTGAAATATATTTAGCTAGCCTGCATTGATTTTTGCAGTGGTTGATTGATGTATCAGTATTATATCATTATAAGTAAATGTTACAAATATACCTTGGTCAAATTAGCTAAACACTTAGTTCCATACATGATGTGTGACACATTTAGTATGTTTAGTAGAATGTATCATACATAATACATATCCGTCATTATGTAACTTATATGGTAAAATTCAACAATGAATACTCAAGAGTTCCATTGAGAAAACTTCTACATTTATATGTACACTTTGCTTCCATGGTGATGTTACCATGGTGATTTCTCTTTCACTCAACAAATTTTTAATGAATCATGGGAAAATGTCAAAAATGCATGTACATTCTTCATTCAGTTTGTGATCTACCCATATACATAAAACATACTGAGATCATTTTTGACATTTTCAGGTAATTGAAATTAATTCTCAAACCTGTAGTATGTCCCCTAACTTGTTTAAGCTGGTAATAATCATAATAATGACAGATGAGGATTAATGACAACATTTATACTTTTGATATAAATCTATGCTTTATCTGTCTGTTGAATATTAAGACATCAATATTATGGACACCAATCAGGCCCTATCATACTGTTAACTGTTTGTGGTAGTATAGCATAAAGAGGGGGCTAAACACACATGTAAAAAGAGGCTCTTGTTGAACCTATGATAAATACCACATGGAAACTAACACTATGATGAGATCTTGACTTTGAATAATAGTACATATTGATTGTTATAGTCTCCAACTTTTTTATTGACAGCTTTCAATGTCTTTAACAAATTGCGGGTGGTGATATTTTTTGTATGTTAATGCCTTGTATTGTATTATTATGTAATTTATATGCCATCAAACAAAGAATGTGAATGATAGTGCAGTTTAACCACTAACGTGAATGATAGTTCAGTTTAATGATAGTGCAGTTTAACCACTAACGTGAATGATAGTGCAGTTTAACCTAATACAAAACACCACTGAGACTAACGTGAATGATAGTGCAGTTTAACCTAATACAAACACCATTGAGACTAACGTGAATTACAGTGCAGTTTAACCTAATACAAACACCACTGAGACTAACGGGAATGATAGTGCAGTTAAACCTAATACGAACACCACTGAGACTAACGTGAATGATAGTGCAGTTTAACCTAATACAAACACCACTGAGACTAACGTGAATGATAGTGCAGTTTAACCTAATACGAACACCACTGAGACTAACGTGAATGATTGTGCAGTTTAACCTAATACGAACACCACTGAGACTAAAGAAGTGTTCTGATTCACAGATGTTTATATATTCCAAGCTTTTGTAATATGGAAGTCTCTAGTAGATTTAAAAAATGGGACTGAAAAAAGTGTTCACATTGAAAGGTATTCAAATTAAAGAGGTGTTTGTATATACATGTATTTCTGTACTATTACACAAACTGTAATACATGTACTATAATATGAGTTCACTGCCCTACCATAATAAGGGGCATGTTCGTGTTGTGTTCCCTGATGCCAGGCCTTATATGGGCATATGAAAGCAAGCAATATAAAAAAGTGCAATGACATAAGGCATAACTTGGGTGGCATTTATTTGATTCCACAGGAACATGGAAGACAAATAAAAATTGAAGATATTAAGGTCAGATCCTTTATCATGTGGATCGTGTATCATGATGATGTGAACTGATGAAGGTGTGTGATTCCAATTGTGATTTCAATATATATACATACATACACTTATATCAGGTATACTCAAAGGATATTATATATAAAGTTGCAGCAAATGATAGAAACCATTGAAGGTCACTTATTGTCCCATTTGCCATGTTTGTACAATATTTTTTACCAACAGCATTATTGTTTATTTCTTAAATGCCAAGACTTTATTTCATGATTTTGATTTTATAGGAATATATTTGACAGCATGCTGCCTGGTGAATAGCCTTATATGTCTCAATTTTCCATTCTCATGAAAGGACGATTCTCGGTTTGGAGAACAGTCTCCTGGGCTAATTTTTTTTTTCATGAAAAATATAGAAATATTACCCAAATTAAATTATGAATATTCAAAAGAGGACATTTAAATCTACAAGATGTAAAAATAACAAATTGGTCTGAAGCAGGGATAATACTCAATTAGACCGATTCAATAAAATACAAGTCTTGATTTGGGGGAAAGAAGTTCATCAGTGTACTGCGCTAATATATTTTTGTGAAAAATCTAAAAATATTACCCAAATCAAATTATGACTGTTCAAAAGAAAACATTCAAATCTATATTATGTAAAAAATCAAATTTGTCCGAAACAGGGATAATGCTCATTTAGATTGAAGAACTTCGTTCTCCAAACCGAGAATCGTCCTTTGACATTTATGCATTTTAAATCTTTAAAGAACTTCTTTAGTAGACACTGAATTTGAGATTATAAGGGAAACTTAGGATGCCCTTTGTTAAGACTGTTTCTTATAAAGTGAACCATTTATCATTTGCTGCTACTTTTAAGGATGAATTTCATTATGTATACAGATATCAATGCTCAGATTAGACAGATATTAGCTAATATATTATTATGAAAATTATTATCAATAATCAATGGATGAAATATATTATGAGTTAGGACTATGTGTCTTTCTAAATAAAATAATTTGTTATATGTTTATATGTCATGTAGTTTGATTTTTGAAGGTCAAAGCACTATCATCTAATTTTTTACATCATGGAATCTTTTTGATTTGGACTGTTTCATAATTTATAAGCTAGTTCTTTCAGGATCCAACACCACTGTTTTATTGTGGAAAGCCATATTGTTTTTGCAAACTTGCCACCTCTCTGAGTGCAAAACATTATGTTTACAAATGTTTCATGTAAGTTTGAAATATTATTCCACAAGTCAAATTAGAAACTGGAAATTCTAAATGAACTATGCACCACCATTGACCATATAACAAACCGACCAGGTTATACCCAGGCTTATAATTTCCTTTATTTTCCCATAATGAGTGTCACTGACCTTAGCCTCTCCACAAATTTTTAAATATCACAGATGCGAGTAGAAATAATCTTGATTTACGTCATTAAAAATTCACAATTCAGTCAAACTGATGTCATATTTGGAATCTACATGTAAAGTTATATTTAGAAATGTGGTTTTGAAAAGAGTTTATCAACTTTGAAAATTTAATTTTCTTTGAAAATGTGACTTCTAGGTCGGGGAGATTCCCCATAGACCCCATGTTGTAAAACCACAAAAAGTGAAATATCTTTTCTTGTGTTGGGCAGATAATATTTTCTTTTACTGGACATATTTTAATTTGTATAACTATCAGATACATAAGGGTAATATGACAAGTGAACCACTAAAACTGATGCATATTCAAGTTTAAGGGAATTTTATAGTACCCTGCCATGTTAATTCCCCCGAATCAGCCACCTGGTGGCGAAACTGGTAACTACCTACTCGCATCTGAGTAATTGAGACCAAATAACAGCACATCCCCTGTCTGTTTTCTGACCATGTTTTAAAATCTGTTTAACCTTGTCTTCGCAAATGCAACTAACGCCTGTCGGCTACCGGATTAACCTACTATTTTATGGGTAACTGATATAAATATGAATAGTACACGCCACTATTCCATTCATATCTAAATGATTTGGTCATAAAATAGTTGGATAATCCAGTAGCCAACAGGCATTAGTTGCATCCAATGGGATACGATGAGGTTATATACTAATGGTTGATTCTGTATATCGTGTTTATACTCAAGTGAGTATACATGAATGATATATTCACGAGTGACCAAGAGAGAATAATGATATACAGAATCAACCATTATATGAGCTTATTATCCCACAATAATCTTTAATCAATAAAAGGTTAATCTAAATTCAACAGTTGTATATCAAGTTGAAGAATTGTATATGCTGCCCAGGAGACACTATCCAGGAGTTGCATATTGTTCTCAAGAGTTATATAGGTAGAGATTAAAAGGTGGATTGGATCGAGTGGATTGGATTCATGTAAAAGGTGGATTGGATCGGGAATCTTCAAAATGTGGAATTTCTTATAAAAAAATTTCTGTTGATCTCCCTCTAAACAATTTCCCTCTACAGTATTACAGGTCCCTTTTGAGAAATCAGAACAAAGCAATGACAAATACATACTTCAATTAGTTCATGGACACTCTTAAGTATTTAACCGCTTTCCCTTGTAAATCAACTTTTGTAAGACATAGATCTTTAAAAAAAGAAACCTGTCATTCAAATTAATTTGTGAATGTTCACAAAACATTTCTGGTATGTTCAGTTTGGATTGGAAACAGATGTTATGGATCTTCAAACCAGTCTGCCTTATGATTTATGAAATGTCTCAAATTACACTTGGAATGAATAAGATCGTGTATCAGAAAGCGGGTACCAGGTCATCCTTCTAGCCCACCCAAGCAAAATAATATTACATCTTTAATTTGACATTGTGCAAGTGAAGAGAGCACCAATCTTCTTAAACATGTTAAAGGGAGATAAATATAATTTTTTTTGGAAAATGCATATTTTGAAGATAGCCAATCCAATCCACCTTTTACATGAATCCAATCCACTCGATCCAATCCACCTTTTAATCTTTACCGTTATATACGATAAGTGTTGGTTTTATATTGCAGTTATACAATGCTATTATATCGTATAAAGCACTTAGGGTGGGATAAACACCTGTATATAGTGAACACCTGTGAAGCCACAAAATATGTTCACTGTTGGTAAGTGTTCACTACAGAGATGCAATTTTATAAAGGAGTCAGTGAAGTACGAGCTGAAAAGCCTAAGGGGTGTTCGTTAGACACATGTGTTCACTAGAGAGAGGTGTTTACGAAGACTGATTTACTTGCATATCATTTAACAAGAATAGTCAGATCAGGTAGAATTTTTAGTTTATTTTTATTGAATGATACAAAATGATAGGAGTAGAAAAATACATGTATACTACTGCTAAATCATATGTGTATATGCTAAATATGTGTATTGTACATAGCTGTTGGAATCAAACATATAAAATGAGACAGAACCAAATGTTCAATATTGCCACATCAGCCAGTCCAGGGACAATGAAGGTAAATATACCAATGAAGCCCTACATGTAATTCAACATAGCACCCATTTTGGAAACACCATCTTGTTGTCAGTAAGCAGTGTATACAATGTATAATATTTGTTGACCCATATAGATGGAGTATCATAAGTTGGTTGTTCCCAACTTCTTGTGTACAAGAAAATAATATGTAACAACAGAGTCGCCATCTATATCCTCCAATGACCTTCACATTTGGTTCTTTCTCATGCTGTATGTGTGGAATTCATAGCCTGACTTAAACAGCTAATTTGAGTAACAAAATTATAAGTAGAAATTTCATCATCAAATTTCTGAACATTTTTAATATCATTGCAATTTTAATATCCATTTTCTCAAATAAAACATACAGTGAGGTTCTGTGAAGAAATGAAATGAACAATACCAGACAAATATATGACATTAATTAGTTACATCATATCTAATGTAAATACATATACATTTTGTATTCTATATCAAAAACAAACAATACTGGAGATATAATCAAATACCCTGATAAAATACACTACCCCTATAAAATACATATAATTCTCAATTAAAAATATACATGACATGTATTTCATTTCCTTTTCAAAAGGATTTTGATGTGGACTAATTTTCTCCAGGAAAATTGTCGAAGATTTGGTCATGTCCTCTTAAGCCAGCACCCTGTTTCATAACGTAATATCCTTATATGGTATTAGAAAAATACTAAGATTTATTCAAAATTTTGACATTGTACTTCAGTATTTATGCAGATTAAAATGTACTTTACTTTAAAGGATACATACAATTGTATAGCATCATCTACACTAAAATAATCTTGATTATCCTTCTCAAGTTAAAATGTAGCATTCTCATTTCCTTGGTGGTTTAAAACCATAATCCTCTGACCTTGGCCCTTTCCCGCTTATAGCTGGGCGTGGGAGGTAGTGGTTTCCGCTCCTGGATTTGCTGTTTTTTGATTGGCCATTTCCACTGTGACCTTTTGGGTCAGTGGACTTACTCGGGTTTTTGGCACTAGCCCGCGGTAGCTTGAACTGGTAGTCGTCGTACTTCTGGTAGAAGTCTCCCTAAAATATATTCATAATTTAATAAACAATAAACAGGAGTAACATAACTCTATATAATATTTAGAAAATATTTAATGATAAAAAGCCATTAAAACACAAAATTTCACAACCTGCCATTTGTTACAGATGCTAAAACCAATCACCGAACATTGTCCACAAAATATTCTTCTGTTGGTGACATAAAAAGCTGTTAATAGAGATACTAGTATGTTAACAATGAAAAGAAATAGAGTTACAAATACAAAAATAAATGAGAAGAAATGCTACACAGAAAAATGATTATTTAGTAAAGATAAATACTCACACCAAGGTTAGAAGCAAAGCAAACACAAGACAAACATGTAGACTAAATAAAAAACATGTAGACTAAATGACAAACATATAGGCTTAATGACAAACATGTAGACTAAATGAAAAACATGTAGACTAAATGAAAAAAAACACGTAGTGTAGACTAAATAAAAATCTAAGTGAAAAATGTAGTACAGGGTTAACTAGGAATAACACATAATGATAAAGGTGGTGAAGGTTAATAAAAAAAGAAACAAAAAATGCAAGCGGAATTAAAAAAAATACAGTAGGCTAAATGACAAGCAAGTACGTACATGAAGAAGTTTAAATAATCCTAACATATATCCTGCCCAAAGGTCATGGCTTTCTTTCAAGAAATATGTTTTTTCTTGGATTCATGTAAATTGGGTTCTCACAGAATGGATAATATTTCTTGCATTAATTCAATGCTGTCTTCAGTATCTAACCAATAGCCAATAAATGTACAACTTTAATTTTAACTCTCACTGCAAAGTCTGATTACAGTTAATCCATTTTTCAACAATATGGGGAAGAAAGTCTTCTCCAAAATGGTTGAAGTCAAAAGCATTCAAGTTCTTCATTGTTAGTGTAAATGACCAATGTGGATCCACTCAGCACAAGTGATTCTGATCACAGAGTGGCAGGGTGAGCTCCAAACTTGCAAATATATGACGAGGCAAACCAAGCGACTGTGTTAATAATGAATGAAATGTGAAGTAAAGCCAGAATTCCAAGAGGTAGAGGGTTAAATGTAATATACAGTGAAACCTATAAAGTGAAACACACTTGGAATTGCAAACCTGCATGACAATTGCTTCAATATTCCAAAACATCAAAATGTTCACATTGGAAGATGTTACTGTATTTTTGTGTAAAGTTAAATGTTAATAAAATTAATGAAATATTTATAAAATAATAAAAGCAAATATTTATTTCTGATGAGTTACATAATCTTTGATTATATGAAAAACATGCACCATGAAATATAGAATGGACGGAACAAAATGGTTGTCAATTTTCAAAATAAATCTTATTCATACAATATTTTGGACCAGCCTGTATATTGTGTTGAGTTTCCTTAACTATACAAAAACACACAAGACAGTAGAATACCAAATGTCCAAAAAGCCCATGGAGAACTTTCTGCACATTTTGCACTTTACAAGCCCGAAACCCTAAAAACTGAGAAATATTAAAGCCTAGTACCTCAAATTGCATCTTGGTCTTATTATGTTATCTTAGTATGTTATGTTATTCCAATAGGTTTCCCAGGCTTTAACATATCTGAGCTATATACATAAAAATGACTTATATATCAATTCTTTCTTACTCAAGTTTACAGTCTTGTTTATCTTGCTGAAATATAGGTTCATACAAGCATAATAAAAATAAAGTCAACAATTACAAGAGGAAAGTATCACACTACAGCACCAATAATAATGTTAAGACCTGACTCCCAATACGGTCTCTTTAGTTTCAATACAAGACCTCAATTTGTGAATAGAAAAGGCCGAAATTATATTAAGAGAGTAAGTTCTTAACATCAAAAGGGCTGATTCTGTTAAGGAATAGATTATAAACGTAAATTGAGGAAACAATTTACAAATGTTAGTATCGTATACACCAATACAAGGTTAGTACTCCCTAAGTCACACAGATTTCAAGAATATTAAATGAACAAGTGCAATATTTGAGCAACAGAGTTAGTTCAGCACAAGCTCAGCCAGATGGCAAGAAAAGATCCACAAATATGTGTTATAACAATGAAATAGCATTAGCTCTGTAAGTGTTATAATCGAGTAGATTCAGTTCGTAAATTCAAAATCACTCTTGGCTCTACCTCCGACAAGTAAACATGGCTGATCTCCTTCCACACTCGTTTATTCGGAGGGGTTGGAGTTTGCTCGGGAATAGGGTGTTTGCCGAGATCATCGTCAATGTATCCACCATTGTAGTTAGACATCTCACGATTATACTGGCCATGCCCATTGTAGAGTGACTCTCTTTCAACCTTGCTGTTTTTCTTCTTCCTATTTAAGAAATAACAAAACAAGTTAAGTTTCGTTGTTTGTTTGTTTAAGATTTCCCTAAGTTTATTTTGAATATTTTCTATGGTTAATAATTATATTTAATTTTGACAATAATAATTCATATTACACTTTGTTGTTGAGCCTGAGCATAACTGGCTCTCTCTTTTAAGAATATTCTGTAACATCTAATGTGAGCATTTACTGCATTAACATTCACATGTAAGAAGCAAAATTTGTTTTGATAATAATAAATATTAAAAATTGTATATATTGTGTGGTGAATCTTACATGCTGAAGGTGATAAAAATATAAATATCAAAAGTGGTGAATCTTACATGCAGAAGATGATGATTGCAATGATAAAGATTACAGCCACCACTGCCCCAGTAGCACCAAGAGTAATTCCCACAACATCTACAGCTGAAAACAGCATGAGAAATATCATAATACAAATGTATACAATCAAAAATGTATTCAGGAAAAACAATTATCAGCTTTAAATTAAACGGGGGATATTTTATTTTTCGTGATTTTATAACAGATATTTGGGGACATTTTGAAACTTAATAAACATTTTAAAACTTGACATTGTGTGATAAGAGGAAATTCTTAAATTCTGAGAATTCTTTCTAAACTTATTCTCAATTTGTCTCTCTCTATCTACGTCCTTTTAAAATGAAAGTAGAGTGAACTTACATGACTTTGTTGAGCCAACTGTTGAACATAGTGGGTTGCCATCTTGGTCAATAATGCAAGACTTGCCAGCCTCACAGAATCCTGTGCACAGGTCTAAAACAGAGAACATTTCTATATAATGAAGTGTACATGTTTATTATGTGAGGTATATATTTACAGGTATATATTATGTAGCATACATGTATATTATGTGAGATATATATTTAGAGGTATATATTATGTAGCATACATGTATATTATGTGAGATATATATTTAGAGGTATATATTATGTAGCATACATGTATATTATGTGAGATATATATTTAGAGGTATATATTATGTAGCATACATGTATATTATGTGAGATATATATTTAGAGGTATATATTACATGTATGTAGCATACATGTATATTACCTAGTGTACATGTACAATCAATAGTGTACATGTATATTATGTAGCGTACATGTTTAGTGTAAAACATTCTATTCCTACTTAAGCACATTCAATGCACTACCATAGACAGTGGATATAACATACATACATTTTCATTGAAAATTCTTTTGAGTTTTAAAACCTGAAACATTTCAGTCCATTGTCCACTGGGGGGTATCGTGATGCAACAACACCGTGTTGTTGCATCAAGATGGCCAGACTTCCGGTGATAGATTTTCGTACGATGTTTTGTTTTCCCAATTTACACCCATTTCTAGGACGAGTTGCTCAATAATTATACACATGCAGTTAGCGCATGATCTATATTTTAAAAAACTGTCATTGGTATACATGTAGCATCATCAAGAAGCGATAAATTCGTGGTTTTAATTCCTCACTATTGATGCAACAACACCACTCTGTTTCTTATCGATGATGCAACAACACCAATGGGCTGATGCAAAAACGCCAATATAATGTATCATTGAACAACAAGAGAAACTGTTTTATGTTCTGTTTACAGGTGTAGGTCGGGACATGAATAAAACGTGTGAGTCAGTGGTCCATGAACGAAACGTATTTTGTTTGGTTTCTTTGTCTACATCACACTTAAAAGGATATTCAAGGCAAACTAAATAAAGTACAGAATCCCCGGGAGGCAATCTCATTGATATTGTATTTGAAAAATAAAGATTATACATTTTCTAAATTAAATGCCCTTGATTTACCGTATGGAAATTGCTTACAAATAACTAATATAATTTTGGAAAGACAACAGATACATGTATCAGTCATTTTGTGTTGTTAGTACCTCAATTGAAATACTCAATTCTGATTGGTTGATGAGCGGGCAACAAAATGTATTGTTAGTGTTGAAATACTCGATTCTGATTGGGTGATTAGCGGTCAAAATTATGTATTATTATATACCTCAAATGTATTCTAGATGCTCATTGGCTTATTCATGGTCACATGACATGGAATAGATGAACTAATTCCAGTCAAGATGGTACAACGAAAATGGGACTTCTGCGCATGTTAAAATTTTTCGTCAAAACTCAACTTTTGTTCAAGTTGATACGATTGTCTTTCGAACTAGAGACTTACCTCATTCGAAAGATCATAAAAGACTTTATCTATACTGAAAATCTTAGATCCAAACATAGTAGAATACGCCGTCAGTCCGCATTTGATTTTTTGAAGTGACTTTCGTAGATCGTCAGATTTCTCCGACTGATATCGGGTTATCTCAAATTGGTTCGTTTATAAATACGAATTTCTTTACCGTTGTAAGGCGCATGCGCAAAATTGATTTATAAACGTTATTGGTTGATGGTTTTTCTCCTGAGCATGCGTGAAGTCTGATAAACTCTTATGACGAAGGCCAAACTGCCCTAATTGATGATTTGCGATCACCGAATGGATTCTGTCTTTTAGTGACGTCACAATTAGGTCACCCAGCTTTAGATGCTTGATTTTGAGAGATTATCTTCTATATTTCGTGCTTTATTGATTTATTTTTCACGAAAGCGTTCTATTTGACTAGATCAACATTCATGCTAAGCACATACCAAGTCTAAGGTCTTACTGACATGATTTAGATAGCGGTTTAGCGCCCCCCGATTTTGACAAAAACGGGGGGCGCTTATAGGCATCGATGTTTAGTATGAATTTCACCCAAACTTCGCATATATATAGACATACTCATGATCTAGTCAAATCGGCATACCTGGTAAATATCCGACCCATGGTTTTTATATAAGAAACGACAATATTTTTAGCTCAAAACTGCCACGTGTCCGCCATTTCGTGATTCCATCATGTCTAATATCATTTCTATATGACGTCATACCAATAAGACGAAATACGTGACAACAGTATCCATAAACAAAATTCCTGAATTCTGATCGCAAAAGGTCAATTCACGTCACCATTCTAGTCAATGGGCAAAAGGGAAAACGCCTGACTTTTTATCTCGAGTTATGGATTTATGTGGCCTCACTGGCCTATCTGAGGTTCTAAAGCTATGTCTAAGCTACATCTTGAAAAAAACGCAATAGGGGCCAATCATCTACTTTTTGAAATAATTGGTCAATTGTGACACTACCCCCTCTCTCTGCCGACACAATTTGAAATTCACAAAAATCAAGGCAAAATTAATGCGCCACTTGACTCGAAATTTTCCTTCAGATAACCCAAATAAACGCATTTTCAGAAGAAATGGCATGTTGTCATTGCAAAAAGATGACAACTGTGCCTACATACTAGCTTACTGACTCGTCATGATCACAATTGTGTTGGGACTACATTTATTTTTGAATACTACTTTTTTCTATTCAGCGGAAGTGACGTATTAGGGCATTTGGGCCTAATAGCAACATGGTTGGATGATTTCTGGCTTGAAATTGCGTTTTTCCAATTTACTAGAGTTTTTCAAGTTGTTTTGTGCAGTTTAAGAATATTCTGACAGCAATTATGAAAAATATGGCTACTTTATTACCCCTGGGGTCATTTTTCCAAGAACCCAATGGTTTTCCTTTAAATTTGACTAGTTTTTCATTTACATCATGAAATCTACTGCCTGATGGTGACATTTTACAATGTCCTGTCAAGAAATTGAGTATTTCATTGCATATTGCGATTTTTAGCCAAAATCACTGAACCATGAACCAGAAAATTGGGCAAATTTGGCCAACTTAGGCAAAATTTTACTAAAATTATCATTTTTTTTTTGATATTTTATTTCATTCAACAACCTCCTGATTTGAAAAATGATGGCAAATTTGATCAGATTTGACTCTGGCCTAGAGAATTGGGACTTTTGAGATAGTTTTAGCTCGAATTTGGTCATTCAGAGTGGACAAATACATCAAAAATTGACACTTAACTGACCAATCTCTGACTGTACCCCTGATATGTACCTTCATTTTTTACTAGAAACCAAAAGATGGAAAATTCAATCTTTATTATGAACAGCAACTCATTGGCTTCCCCATTTACGACAACATATGACATCTTGGGGTTAATAAGGACGAAATTATGGCCAAATATCGTCAAAATCAGTGGTTTTGGGGGTAAAAAGCGAAAACTGCTGATTCAGCAAAAACTTTAAATTTGTTCATGAAAATTCCCCTTTTTGCCTACGTCCAGAATATGTTTCGTACTAATAAACTTCAATTCTGGGAGATTCTGAGTAGTTTTTAAAAATTTTGGTCACTCTCACATGTGACTAATAGGCCAAACTGCCCTAATTCACGTCACCATACTAGTCAATGGGCAAAAGGGAAAACGCCTGACTTTTTATCTCGAGTTATGGATTTATGTGGCCTCACTGGCCTATCTGAGGTTCTAAAGCTATGTCTAAGCTACATCTTGACAAAAAACTCAATAGGGGCCAATCATCTACTTTTTGAAATAATTGGTCAATTGTGATACTACCCCCTCTCTCTGCCGACACAATTTGAAATTCACAAAAATCAAGGCAAAATTAATGCGCCACTTGACTCGAAATTTTCCTTCAGATAACCCAAATAAACGCATTTTCAGAAGAAATGGCATGTTGTCATTGCAAAAAGATGACAACTGTGCCTACATACTAGCTTACTGACTCGTCATGATCACAATTGTGTTGGGACTACATTTATTTTTGAATACTACTTTTTTCTATTCAGCGGAAGTGACGTATTAGGGCATTTGGGCCGAAGACCGGAGCAAACATTACTAGCTCTCAACGAAATTCCAAGATTCAGATCATTTCGCCGTGTTTGCTAAGCGTGTATACGTGAATGACAAGCTGTTTTGAGTAGATCAGGTACCTGTTTTAGACACAACATTGATTTAGCTTGACATTGATGTGCACATTGGCACTTTTGAGCATGTTAATACAAGTTTTACACTCTTAGCGCGAGACGGGTTTTCGAAAAATCTGTTATCTGATTCACTCGATTATCGTATTGATATGTATTTCTGCTGACATTACAACACCACATCACATAGAATTACGATGCAGAATGATAATAAAACACAAAACAACTTCTAAATTCCACTTGTTATTTCACAGGAGGTAAAAATGCAAACTGCCTAGATTCTTTGTAAGGGTCGTCAGACATCGGATTGGCCGCCATATTTGAAATGAAAATATCACTAAATAGAGGTCTGCGAATGTCTCAACATTTCGACTGATTCCCTGGAAAGTCCTAAATCCCTGCTTTCAGGGAAGATGAATTGTACTAATCACCAGTTAGGTCATGTGACCAGTCAATAGTACGTTTTATCTTCCCCCAAATCTGAGATTATAGGAGTTGAAAGGTTAAATGCCTTTAAATGCCAATAAGAACCTGTGAACATTTGATATTGAAATGAAAAGACTTCTCATTTTGTTTTTGCTTACAGAGTACTTATCAGGTATATAATAAAACAAATAGTGACTGCCACATTTTCGGAAAATAGTGTAAAAATTTTCCTCTCGGGAATATCCTGTCAACTGACTTGTTTCCTCGGCCTGCAGCCTCGGGAACATGTCAGTGGACAGGATATTCCCTTGAGGAAAATATTTTGCACTATTTCCCTCAATGGCAGTCACTATTTGTATACTGTTGACCGCTACTAGGTACTGTTGACCGCTGCTTCTGAAAAAAAGTTTCATGACGTCACAAAAAAACATGGAAGACGGACACTTTGAAAAAATAAGTTGGCAAAAGTGTCCTCGACCTCTGGTCTTGATCAACAGTACTTTCAAGGTTTACAGTATCGGTATACAATTTTGCCAGTTGATCTTAAGAGTTTACGCTATCCAGGAGTTGTACATCGTTCTCAAAAGTTGTATAGGATGAGTGTTGGTTTAATGATATTGCAGTTATACAATGCTATTATATAACGGTTATTTACTGAGAGGGATTCAATATTGGTTTTATTCCGAGAGACAATATGATATTTCCCGAGGGCCCGGGATATCTGGGATAACTGTACCCCTATCAATTTACCTTTTTGGGCCCTAAATCTTATCACTTTTGTTTACCTTTTTACTCAGTCGGAGAGAAGGAATCCAAAGAGAGCAATAATTCTACATGTGCGTCGTGCATGATTTCCATTAAACGTGTAACTAAACGGCCTCTCTAATAAAGTCGATTAGACGTTTTTACACGTTGGCTCTCCAAATTGGAGGAAATAAAGAATCATATCATATTATATCATAGATGAAGCAATCATCCTATCACCATAAGCTCACGAATATGGAGATAATATCCAATAGCTCATCATGTTTACCGAGAACGAAACCCGGGGAACGAAAGATGCTTGTCCACCATTTTGAATGATACTAACTGGAGTCAGGGTCATCAAGCTATGGAACAGTGGTTTATGAAAATAGATTGAGTTACTAAAGCTTGCCATGTTAAAGGCGATTGAACTATGTTATAGAACAACGTCCAGTACATTATAATATGTAAAAGCAGGACGTGTATTTTGAATGCCTTGAGAAGAACGCAAATATGGGTAGGCTATTTGGTAACGTTGTTGCAATAGTAGCATTTAAAAATTTGTTCCTCTCGAGATTTACGGTCTTCTGAAATTATACTATTAATTGGTGTTGCTGCATCATTGCTCAAATCTAGAGGAGTGTTGTTGCATCTTCGGTTTGGTGTTGTTGCATCAATAGTGAGGAACTAAAACCGTGAACTTATTGCTTCTTGGTGATGGTACATGTAAACTAATGACAGTTTCTTTAAATATAGATCGTGCGCTAACTGCACGTGTATGGTTATTGAGCAACTCGTCCTAGAAATGGGTTTAATTGGGGAAACAAAATATCGTACGAAAATCTATCACCGGAAGTCTGGCCATCTTGATGCAACAACACGGTGTTGTTGCATCACGATACTCCCCAGTGATTGTCTAAATTGTCCAAAAAGATAAGCGTTCCATTCAGACTTCACTGTATGTTACCATGGGCTTTCAAAAGTTGAAAGCCCAATGATGTTACTTGCCATCTAATTCTCTGTACAATCTCCCTTTTAAGACCACTTGAACATACAAAATGAGTCCTCACAGGATTTTCAAATATACGAGTCCCTTTAATGGGAATTCTGAATAAAAGTTCATGTGCAATGGTAATTACAAGGGTTGGAGTGAAAACAATGTAATGTTGAATGAGGAGTCCTTTACCTGTACATATGACCCCTGTTCCAGTGAAACCTCTATTGCAAACACACACAAAGGACCCAGGGGTGTTCTCACAAACAGCATTTGTGTCACAGTTATCTGTTCCCAGTTCACATTCATCCTTATCACCTATTAGTCAATAATGGGAGGCATTAGTTTACAATGGGGTACTATTAATTAATAATGGGAGTCATTAGTTTATAATGGGCATAATGTGGTTACCGTTATGGGTTATGTTGTAGTTACAAATGGGAAACATACATGTTCATGTCAGTCAATAATTGGGAGCAATTAATAAGGGAGCAATATATGTGTATATGATACATTCAGTCTTCAACATATTTTTAAGTGCTACATGGGAATTTATCTTTAAAATTTCATATTTTTATTGAACCTTTTCAATGTTAGTTTAATTGTTATGTGTGTACATATGTTAAATATACTATACCATCATCCATTTTAGCTACAATTAATTCATGAAGTGAATGTGATAAGGTGAATCAATGGAACTTTTGTCACTCTTTGACAATTACACTTTTATGGCACAAAATGTCCATCATATGTACAGGGTGGGCCCAAAAAAATTGGAACATTTGAAAAATTGAACTCAAAATCGTTATTTTTTCTCTACAATGCACCAAAATTTTACTGGGTATTGTTCAATCACTTATTCATCTGATGTAAAGTTTATAGGTGCAAACAACAAAGTTAATGCATTAAACTAGACAATGTTTGATATGACCCCTTTTCTCCTGAATTACAAGTTGAAGCCTGGGACTCAGGTTTGAAAGGATTCATTCACTTTGCTGTTCGTTTGATTTTGTCCAAGCCATCTTGATTAAAAATTCAGCTTGAACAAACTACTTATATGTTTGCCTTGGAAGATCAAATATATGAACATATTCAACATTTTTTTACCCAAATTGATGGGTATCAAGCATGTCAAGTATATTTTGATGGCTATTGTTGGATATATTACTGATTGAATATTCTCAAGAAAGAGGCCAGGGCAGTCTGTTTTGACTGATAAATGAACCCCATCCCCTTTCTTGTTCTAATATGAATAATATTCTTTGAATATATCAATATATGTATATCAATATCATAAAGGAGTTTCCCAGAACACAAATAATATATCATATTATGTGTGCTTAGAGGTGGTCTTTAATAAAGCCTTGTAAATAACTAGTCGATTTCCCCTCTACTGAAAAGTGGAAACAATGATTTTGTCAGTTTAGTAGCTGTATGGGTTATGCAATCACTCGCCTCTGACATGTTCTTTCTTTCCTACTCTTAAATAAAAATAATGATTTGGGGTATTCTTAAGTTGACAATAACACAATAGTTTTCCAGTAAACCATAGATGTTAATACCTCATGTCAACTAAATATGATTTTAGAAAATGTGTATAGCAATCAACATGATTATTAAAGCTTTGAAATAAAGAATACTTGAAAAAGTAGCGGCGAAATTGACAAGTGTATATTTGAGAAAAGGGGGTCATATCAAACATTGACTAGTTTAATGCATTAACTTTGAGGTTCACACCAATTAACTTAACATCAGAGAGATAAGTGACTGAACTATGCTCAGTGAAATTTTGATGCATTTTAGAGGAACAATAAAGGTTTTGTGTTCAATTAACAAATGTTCCAATTTTTTTTGGACCACCCTGTATATGTACATTGAAGAAAATGAATAATAAAAAATGTAGATTTAGTTTCAAGCACTTTTCTGTTTGTTATTTTAATAATGTATTATTTACAATGTACATGACCCTAGATGACAAGGAAAGAACATTAAATACCTGGTTCACATTGTGACTCTAGAACTGCCCCTTCATTCAAAGTTGTGAACCCCTCAGCACACATGATGCAAGTTGTCTGGCCAATAGATGGCTGATAGGTGCCTCTAGGACAGTTACTACATACTCCAGTCTCATTCAGGAACTTGCCAGCTGGACACTCAACTGAAAGTAACACGTTTTGCTTATATGTATGTTCTGTAGCACTATATAGATTTGCAGACTCTGCCTCCCCCTATGAATCATTTGACATCCTATTATGTAAAAGGTAACATATGGCATATATTTATAGTACTAACATGTGTACAATACAGTACCTAAACAGATAATTGTAGTAAAGTTCACACAAGTTTTACTGACTGACATTCTGATTGTATTTGTTGTGCTTCCAAGGGACATGTAAGACCTAATAAGAGAAACTTATGATTCTTCGCACAAAACATCTGTGAAAAAAAAATTAGAATTGAAGACTTACTGACGCTACAGTCTGACTCTGCAGATGCTCCATTTCCTGGTGTAGTTGTTCCATATGGACATTTCACGCAGGAGTCGAGTTCTACTTGATCCTTATAGGATCCCACCTCACAAGGGGAACATTCCCCATTCACGGATAGCTCTGTGCCAAGGCCACAATTCTCTGCAAGACAGAAATTGTTAAGGCGGGTCAATGTGTGTAAAATAAAACAAAATTACTTGAAGGGGATGCATTTTGAGTCAAGTTTGTGTTTCTTTCAAGACTTATTTTTTTGAAGCTGTGTAAGTAATCAAAATTGGATTACTGTATGAAGTGGATCTACAATGTGTCAAATGTGGGTTTCGAGATGAGTAACACTGTAATCCAAATAATCCAAATAAAGTGCAAATGTACAAGTAATTGAAAAATATGTTGCACAAAATCTTAGGAGGCTTAAACTTACTTGTGCATTGAGACTCAGCAGTAGCCCCTGTACTCAAAGTTGTAGCCCCTGTGCCACAGGGTTTACACCTGAGTTGGCCAGCCTCATTCTGATAGTAACCAGTAGCACATTGTTCACACTTCTCTGTGGCATAGCTGTAGTAATTACCAGGACTGCAAGTACCTAAGATTAAGATAAAGAAAAAAAATTATAACACATTTAAGATTTATTTTCTCCCGACATGGACCTCATCACTTAATTTCTTTGCAAAATCAATTGGAAGACGTGAAAAAGCAAATTATTTGCAGAAATGTTTACAAGAATGTATGTAGAATAAACAATGCCATTGTGATGTGGCCTTGGAGCAAACAATAATATACATGTATATGAATATAGTAATTAAACCCCCCCCCCATATTCATGTATTACTCCTTCTCTAAAATTAAACTTAGGTTGCATTAGAAGCAAGATCCAAAATCTAGTTGTATATATGAATGCATATTTACCGAAGCATTCAGTGCGGTTTGTGGATCCTGTCCCCTGGGTGGTCGTGCCAGCGGGGCAGGGGGTACAGGAATACTGGCCAATCTCTGTGTTATATGTTCCCATGCCGCAACTCTCACAAGCTGATGTAGCATTGTTAAAGAATGATCCTGGTGCACATGGAACTGAAATAAACAAAATATTAAGTATAAGCTATTATCTAATAAAATATCAATAATGTTAATGTTAATATGATGTGTGAAGTGTCTTTTTTATCTTTGCAGGCACACTACACTGTCAGAATACAACTCAACAGAAATTGTACGAGGGTTGATCCAAAACTTCTGCTCTTTATAAAGAATGGAAAAACAGTAAGTTAGTGCAATCATAAAATACCGTACATAACATAAATATAAAGAACTGTTAAAAGGGGCTAGAATTTTCACATTAACAACCTAATAAATCACTTTGATTTGAAAACCTTTTGGCTACATACCACATTTTTTCTCCTGGTTCAAGACCTGACCTTCTGCACAAGTCAATGTATCAGCTACAGCAGCATTTTCAAATGTATTGCCTTCTTTAAGACTGTTAGTAAGAGCCTCTGATGGTAAGATGGTTCCTATTTCTGGGTCTACAACCGTACCAGTGCTAGAGTGGTAGAATGAAATTTATTATCAAATTTTGCATTGTATGAACAATCTATCATAAATGTATATTATTATTAATTCAAAGTATCTGGGCTATAATTTTGAAACAAAACGCACCGTAATCATTTATATTAGTTATCATGACAATTATATATTCTCTTCTATTTTGTTTTTATATATGCGGTTACTATGGTCCTTGTTGTTGTTTCTGGTTGCTGCACATTTGAATTTTTCGTTGCATATTGAGATATTGTCATACATACAATGTACAGAAGAAGGCTACTTTCATATTCATTCATCAAAACATACCCATTTTGCAAGAGATCCAATGGAATGTCAAATTCAAGATCGTATGTACTGAATTCTCCCCCATCAGCTTGCCTCTTCTTCCTAGATCCACCACACTTCACCTTAACATTACTATAATCGCACTCTAGTGAACACAGGCCAAACCTGAAATATATTAGTACTATATAATGTAAAGTGCATAAAATATATCAGAATGTAGCTCATACTTGAGTGGGTTTGAGTATATAACATCGGGAAAATGTATTACACAAAGCTGAAGTGATCACTTCCTTATTGACATAACATCGTGTTGCACCCTGTTAAATATTATGCTAACCTGCCGAAATATTTCCTTTGTCCAACTCAAGCCAAAGAAGCTATTGATACATCCTTCAGGATAAACCCTATATCCTAAATTCTTGGCACATAACCTTTATTCATTTAATATGTATGATAATAATATCCTGAGAACTTAAAGAGTAAGTTATTCCATAAATTACATTAGTAACAGAATAAGCTCAAGCAGAAAAACATGTGCAAATGGAACATTTATGTTGCCACAATACAGTGTTCCACTTGGGACGTGTTCCACTTGGGAGGTATTCCACTTACATTATTCATTTCAGTAAAAGTTAATGAATAATATGCAGAGTTCCACTTACAGAGGTGTTCCGCTTTACAGGTTTTACCAGCTGAATAAACCTACCTTTGATCTAGTTGTCTCATGACAGTGATGAACTCTTGTTTAACCTGTTCTGCTCTAGCAGCATCACAAGGTCCTGCAGATGATGTTTGAACAGATCCACCCATACCAGGTAAAGGAGGGAATAGTCCTGAAAGAGTTAACATCATAAATGTTAATACATTTTGGATCAAATGACATCTAGATAAACAATATACTTCTTGGTGGTGACATAAAATGAGACAAGGCATTAACATGCAAGATGTCAACACCATTTGTTACAGACACCAACCGTTGATCGCTAATCACCAACTGCCGTTACAAAAAAGGGACACCACTTTTTGGTGGTGACATAAAAAATGTCGGATATTAAAGTCAATACACTGCAGTTATAAATTATCTGTGTAAAAAATACACTAAAATCTGGTGCAATTGTTCTGAAACTGACAAATTATACACGCGTTGAGGAGTAAAGAATTCAGAGATTCAGAATTATTCAATATTGAAAATTTAAAAGCATGATTGCATGTACTACCCCATAGATATATTGCATGAGGGTGGAATGAATTCAAGTGAATGGGCTAATCCCTGATGGGAAAAAGTCCCACTCACTGGTGTATACAAAAGGAAGTGAGATCATACTTACTGGTGCATGATGGGAACCTGAAAGGTGTGAACTGTGCCGGGTCCCATGAACCTGTTTGGTCGCATTTGTAGAATGGAGGTGGGAAAACTTCAAAGTCATAGTTGATTGGATCTGTACATTGGACTCGACAGTACTGACCAAAGGTCCATGCTCCACAGGCAGCTATGGCATTGATAGGCTCTGGTGGGATAGCACAGTCAAATGCTGAAATTAGAGTGATATTTTTGCTTACTTTCTTAACTTTTACATTACTTTTACTTAATCTCATAATAGAGAGATTTTGATTTTGCTCATAGCTGTACAATATGAGCAAAAGTAAATCTGAATTCTGTGTTTTGTTGCAAATGATACTAATATGTATTGTTTATAATGTATAGTTTATGATAGTGCTATTCTATTGATCAACTCTATTATCATCCAAAATGAATAGTTTTCAGAATGAGTTCCTCTTTTACATTATTGATTGGACACCAATATGACTTTATGCCTTGTAACACTACAGTTCCAGATTAATGCCAAAACAAGATATGGATTTACAACACATTTTATAATTAATGGCTACCAATAGATGTACAGGTATAGAGCTTGCAACAAATGATGACATACTGTAGTACAGATATAAGATACATAGGGATATAAACATGCTATAAGTGAGTAACAAAATCTCCAGTAAAATTGAATTTTGATAACTTGTTAGATTAAAGTCACCAGTAAGAGTAGCAGTAGAGAATTCAGCAAGTATATTTTTGTTGAACCTCATTTTGATTTCAGGCATCCTGCTTCTGTAGAAGTAAATCAAGAATGAAACTGCTTAAAGGTTTGAAGAAACCTATGTTCATTGGACTAGTTGTGATATTGTGGAACATCACATTATTTTATATGTCATGCAATCTCAAAACAATTCTAAGTCTGCAGATGGATGCTTCCGATGATGAAGACCAAAGGCCAGTACAAGCAAAACAAAATGATGGCATCCAAGCACAGCCAAAATATCATATCGCAACAAATTCCAAACAGAATACCATCACTGCTGAGTCCAGACACATTGGTGGTTCCGAGGAACACTTCAGGCAAACAATGACGTTGCATGAGAAAAACATCCTTTTTGACTTAATGACAGTGCTTGAGCGAGTGCTGATGGTGCACGACATAACATATATGATATACGGCGGTACCCTATTAGGATCATACAGACACCATGATATTATCCCATGGGATGACGATATTGACATTATTGTACCATTTGCTAACAAGAACACAAATGTGTACAAAATGTCCCCACCTATAGGTGATCCCTTCAAATGGTTATCCTAAAAATGAGTAGACAAGACTTTACCGACACAATTTAAGGACGGAAAATCCAAAATGGCCACCTTAAAATTTACCAAGAACGCAAAAAAAATTAGTCAGCTCTAGATTTTCATACTAAGAAATACCCCTGAAAATTTGAAATTGATCCGTCACACATTTAAGCAGAAAACATGTAAACAAGACTTTACAGACAAGATTTGATGACAGAAAATCCAAAATGGCTGCCTTGACATTTATCTAGAATGCCAAAAAATTAATCTATTCTAGATTTTCATACTAAGAATCATCCCTGAAAATTTGAAATTGATCTACCAAACGGTTCACCTGGAAATGCGTAGACAAGACTTTACAAACAAGATTTTAGGACAGAAAATCCAAAATGGCTGCCTTGACATTTACCCAGAATGCCCAAAAACTAATCAGATCTAGATTTTCATACTAAGAATCATCCCTGAAAATTTGAAATTGATCTACCAAACGGTTGACCTAAAAACGCGTAGACAAGATTTTACGGGCAAGATTTTAAGACGGAAAATCCAAAATGGCTGCCTTGACATTTACCCAGAATGCCCAAAAACTAATCAGATCTAGATTTTCATACTAAGAATCATCCCTGAAAATTTGAAATTGATCTACCAAACGGTTCACCTAAAAACGCGTAGACAAGACTTAACAGGCAAGATTTTAAGACGGAAAATCCAAAATGGCTGCCTTGATATGTATCCAGAATACCAAAAAACTAATCAGACCTAGATTTTCATACTGAGAATCATCCCTGAAAATTTCAAATTGATGTACCAGACGGTTCACCTGGAATTGCGTAGCAGGACTTTACAGACAAGATTTTAGGATGGAAAATCCAAAATGGCTGCCTTGACATTTACCCAGAATGCCCAAAAACTAATCAGATCTAGATTTTCATACTGAGAATCATCCCTGAAAATTTGAAATTGATCTACCAAACGGTTCACCTGAAAATGCGTAGACAAGACTTTACAGACAAGATTTTAGGACGGAAAATCCAAAATGGCTGCCTTGACATTTACCCAGAATGTCCAAAAACTAATCAGATCTAGATTTTCATACTAAGAATCATCACTGAAAATTTGAAATTGATCTACCAAACGGTTCACCTGAAAACGCGTAGACAAGACTTTACAGACAAGATTTTAGGACGGAAAAATCCAAAATGGCCGACAATAAAAAAGTGATTATGAGTTTTTGCTGATTTATTTTTACAAAATTATCACATATAACTACTGTTAACAATAACATAGGCTTTTACAACAAAGTACACCTGAAATTATTTATAAAGCTACTAAATAGTTAAAGTATGAAAACTGAAAAACACCATTCAATATGATACAAAGTATTATCGTGCGCTAACTTTTCTTAAAACATTCAAAATGGCTGACATGACTGAGCTAACAGGTCCAAAACCTAATCAGATCTAGAATGAAGTGAGCTGAACAAGATATTAAAGTTTTAAAAGCAAATGTGAAGCCGTTTTTCTAAAAGTTTGCAGACAAGGATTTTAGCATTTGACATCAAAATGGAAATACAGGAAGTAGATATCGAGATAATTTTTTTTCATCCACATCTGTATGCATTCATAAGTTATCCCTGAAAATTTGAAGGTGATATCTGTAGCGGTTTTGGAGAAAACTGCCGGACGTATGGACGGACAGACAGACATACGGACAGACAGACGGACAGACAGACTGCCGACAATATGGCCCCACGGACGCGCCTAGGCCGACAATATGGCCCCACACTATGTGGTGGGGACATAAAAAGGAAGAATTACACGATGCAATAAAAACACTGGGAGATGACTATCAAATGGTGGATGCTCTTTTTTCTACGATAAATCAGAGCGTATGAATGGATATCCAATTAAATGGCCTTATGTTGATGTGTCATTCTATAAGGAAAACGCAACTCATATATTTGACGCTGATCCTGCATTTAGTTATTGTATTTATCCTAAAAGTATTGTATTTCCTTTTCACAGGCGTCCACTAGGAAGCCATCTAATTTATGCTCCTAAAGACCCATTTGAAAATCTTAAACTGACTTATTCAAATTTGGAACAATGCTATACACACTCATATAGTCACATTCTGGAGGAATTCACAGATTCACTTTTTAGCACACCATGTAAAAAGTTGAAAAAATATTTTCCATTTGTGCATCGCGCTATATTAAAAAGTGGGATCAATGAAACCCTAGTACTTAATGGTGAAATCATTCACAGTATTGTTGTCAATGAACCAAACTCTACAAATATAGACCCATTTGATTTATTCTAGTGAAAATATAATTCAACATTAAGTATCACAAAAATATAAACATAAATAATTTAAGAACATACTGTACACAAAGTTGCGATGTTTTTTAAAATCGATCATGGAAAATATTCCAATTATGTGTAAGAAAACAAATGATGTGGAAAATGGTTCGTAATTCAATTTCTACCAAAAGATCTGAAATCTTTGTGATATACAGGCACATGGACATGTTAAGGTACATTGAGAACAATAACACTTCAGTTTGTTTCTTAGTCAAGAAAGGTTAAAACTTACGCATGACGTAGAGAGTAAAGCTACAAGTGGCGGAGTTGCCCTCTGCATCGACAGCTACATATTCCACATAGTATTCACCATAAGCAAGGACTTGACCTGAAGATTTCATTAGATTCAGTGATTACATTGGATGTTTTCAACTGAACATCAATCTATCAATGAGGTTAAGGTAATAATGCTACAAACAAGACAAGCCTATCTGAGATCATCTCATACAAAATTCATAATCGTATTCTAAATATTTCAACAAATAATTTTGTTACACGAGGGTTGATCATAAAGTTCTCATGATATCTCTAATTTCTTTATTTTTTGAAATATTCTAATGACATTTTCGCAGAATGTGCAGCATACAATAATTGAAATCTCTACCTGGTCTAAAGTTCTGAGTTATATTCACAACTCCAACATTATCTGTAAAGACAGGTTCCGTCCAGTTGACGACACTAAGTCTGTTCTCAGGGTTGACAACCTTGGTGTTGTTGGGGCAGTAGACAACAGTGGGGGCCTCCTTGTCTAAAAGAAGACAAGATCTTTCAATTCAATTTTTCAATTCAATTCAATTTATTCCTTAATAATACAATAATACATGGTACATATAAAAGAATTAACAGGTGACATCATTTCCGATGTTTATACCCGTAAAAGACAAGTTCCGTATGACAACTTCTTTGTACTTACTAATAACTAAGCAGTGTTTGGATTTATAAAGTTTAGCTTTATTATCATTTTCTGCACATTTTGTTAAGTGTAAATGATAAATAATGAAAATATTTGAATAAGATGTTTGAAATGATTAAAAATTGAATGTACAGGAATCTAAGGTCTTGATCTATTATTAATTTGATCATTTTGCTATTACTACCAGAACATCAGTTCCAAATCTTTTTACAATTTATTTTCTAATTTCTCTCTTTTACATTCCATGTGCAATATTTCCTTATGGCACCAATGGCATTATTGCATTCCGGGGGAGAGGGGGGCAGGGTAACTTTGTATTGCTGGGTAAAATTAACATTCTTTGCAAAGATTAACAACATAATTCCATAGTTACTGGCCTGTATTTATACACAAAGGAATAAATTGTTAATACTCACCAATGACAATGTTACAAAGACTACCAGTAAAGCCAGGTGGGCAGTTAGACTTTCCACACAACGCTGGTTCAATCTTCTCAACATCGTTAAACAGATACTCGTCAAAGTCCACCCACATTCTAATGTCTCCCATTGGTCGAGACTGGCTACAGTTGGTTGCCATGTTACTGATGACATCAGGGGTGAGGAAGGTCTCATAGACATTGACACGACTCAGCTCTCCATGGAATTGGTTGATTCCACCAATCGTCTGGAGGGATTGACCAAGCATCACTATAACACTAGAATACAACAAGAAATGAGATAATTCCCCTGCCTGGCCATAAGTGTAACTGCATGTACTGTACTGTTCAACTTTTACATGTACTTTTATTTATTATCTTTACACAGAAAGTTCAGGTATGCTACATTTAATTTTTACCTGTCACTGATTGTTCTTCCATTTCCGAAACCTTCACCTTCGAAGACAGAAACTCCATCAATATAGAGAGCGTAGATTCCGCCATTGTTGTCCCATCCGAAGCACTCATGATGCCAGGCACCATCGTTGACTTTTCCATCAACTGAGACAGTGGGGATGTCCTCGAATAGGCCAAGGGTCACTCCGGCTTCATTCATTACAAGGTTCTCATACATAGATCTAGAAAATTTAAAATTAGAGTTAATGGAGCTTAAAGTAAGCTTATAGTTATATGAGGGGTGATGTATAAGTATACCATGATTTTAAAATGAATTCTTCCTCATGTTTGGATTTGGTTGTCATGGTAGCATTGTTTATGTATAAAAAATTGAAAGGACGAAAATTGACAACCAAAACTGGATTGAGAATATATAGGCTGAATTATGAATTTCTTACATATACGTATATTGCTCCAGTATACTAAAATCTTTTGCTCACTGGGCTTAAGTCTGGAAAATCAGTTACTAAAATTACAAAACAAATACTCGCAAATAATCATTGCTAAACAAATTTACTTACGACTCGGAGTACATGGTAAGGTATGTACCAGTAGCGTCCACCCCGGCATACCTGACCCACATGCATACAGTCAGGGATGTTACACCTGTTAGAGTAACACTGGGGGGTTCACTCCTAGAGCCATTCTTACCATGGAAAAACAGATCAAAGTTGTCAGACTTTTCTGGAATAAAGAATGAAATCATGTAAAACACTGATCCTGGATAAAGTTCATCAACACAAGTTGTTTTCCATATTTTTAGACATCAACTATATAATGTCACAACTTTTTTGTTTTTTCAAATTATGTTTTTTACTTCATATATTAAGAAAATTTATCCATATCTTGTCATGATTTTTCAACATACCTTTTTCACAGTTGGTGCCAGTGTACATAGTAGGGCACTTACAAGTAATAGTCTCAAAGCCATCAATGCAAGTAGCTCCATTTTGACATGTGTTGTTGGTCAAACAGTTGTCAATCTAAACAAACAAAATACCTGTTTTATACATCACAACCTAACCCTATTATACGGTTACAAATGGTCTATGCATGACATAAAGGTAATTTCAACTTCCAAAACATATAATTTTCACGAATCAGCTTAAAATAATCATAGGAGACAGGTTACCTGAAAAGGAAGATAGATATCATTATCAAGGACTGAAACTGAGGCAAGTCTACCCTGGCTGAAATCAGCTCTGAAATAGCAATTACTGCATGTCAAGCCGTCATTCAATGCTGATTTTGTAGAAAACAGATCTGTCCATCCTTCTACATGTGAGTTTTTCCCATAAAGATGCTTGATTAAGTAGAAATTCATCAAATTATACCCCTAGAATATCAAAGTTCAACTGTACATCAATCGCGTGAGGAAAAAAAACAAATCCATTCTTCACCTTCTGTTCACAAACCTTTCTTCTTCTTCTTGGAAAAGTTGTCCCTCATTTGACTAACAGCAAATGTGTATGTTTATGCAGCAATATATGTTAGTTTAGAAAATGATTAATTACAATCTTACCTGTACTTCACAGAAACATCCTAAGTATGAAAATATTTCACTAAAAATACATGCTTCCATTTTGTCACATGTTCATAATAATTTACATATTGACCATGTGATGTTGACAGGGAGTGTAAACGCACCTAGCGTACAGGAAATATGTTATGATATTTATTAAGAAATTAGGTATGGTAATCATTATTACTTATTGTATTAAGCCCCCAACCCACTTCACAAAGTTCATGAAGTACCAAGGAAAGACCAAATATTAAATAAATTAGAAAAATTTGAATTTCCCAAAAAATCAAGTGGGCGATAATAGAGCCTCTGAAACATGGCAAAAGTGACATATTTTGTAATTTTCAATGCACTCCCGATAATTATCTATCATTGTGTGCTTTCCACACCATATCAAACTAATATTATCTAAAAATAATGTATGTAATAAGTTAATGAAGGAAAAATTTAATGTTTCAGAGACTCTATTATCGCCCACTTGATTTTTTGGAAATTCAAATTTTTCTAATTTATTTAATATTTGGTCTTTCCTTGGTACTTCATGAACTTTGTGAAGTGGGTTGGGGGCTTAATACAATAAGTAATAATGATTACCATACCTAATTTCTTAATAAATATCATAACATATTTCCTGTACGCTAGGTGCGTTTACACTCCCTGTCAACATCACATGGTCAATATGTAAATTATTATGAACATGTGACAAAATGGAAGCATGTATTTTTAGTGAAATATTTTCATACTTAGGATGTTTCTGTGAAGTACAGGTAAGATTGTAATTAATCATTTTCTAAACTAACATATATTGCTGCATAAACATACACATTTGCTGTTAGTCAAATGAGGGACAACTTTTCAAAGAAGAAGAAGAAGGGTTTGTGAACAGAAGGTGAAGAATGGATTTGTTTTTTTTCCTCACGCGATTGATGTACAGTTGAACTTTGATATTCTAGGGGTATAATTTGATGAATTTCTACTTAATCAAGCATCTTTATGGGAAAAACTCACATGTAGAAGGATGGACAGATCTGTTTTCTACAAAATCAGCATTGAATGACGGCTTGACATGCAGTAATTGTTATTTCAGAGCTGATTTCAGCCAGGGTAGACTTGCCTCAGTTTCAGTCCTTGATAATGATATCTATCTTCCTTTTCAGGTAACCTGTCTCCTATGAAAATAATGAATTGATAATATGTTTTGAAATTTGTTGATGCAAGTTGTGCAGAATACATAACTCTGACATGAAAAAGTCACTCCACCCTGGTGGGAATCGAAGCCACAACCTCCCGATGTCAGGTGCTCTACCACATGAGCTAAGAAGCCAACTGACTCTCTCACATCAACAGTGGACTGTGCATATTAACAAAATAATATTTCGATAAGATATGCCCATGTTAAAATATAGAAATACATGTAAGTAGGTTGACAAACCTTAATCTCACAGTTGACTCCCTCATACTGGGGATGACATGTACAATTGTAAGCATTCACCAAATCAGTACAATCTCCGCCATGTTGACAGGGGTCACTTTCACATTCATTAATCTCTGTCTGGCAGTGCACTCCTGTGTAACCTGAAATTACAACAGAAGACTCATACACATTATATAAGGATATAATAGGATAAATATAAAATCTAAAGCTTATCCCATCCTTGTATCAATTATAAAGTTTGACATTGTATCAATTATAAAGTTTGACACAGTGTCCTTTCAACTTTTGATTCATTTATGTCATTGTCACCTTTCAATAAAGTTGACCTTGAACTTTCGAAACAAAATCCATTACTAGATTTTGCCTTTTCTGTGATGTTAACCTTTACCTTTGATTAGTTTTAAAAGTGACACCCTTGTAACACTTGATCACTCATCAATATCTCTCAGGCAGTTTAAATTTTAACATTTGACCTCTAAGTGACCTTGACCTACCTGCTAGACAGGTACATGTGTACATGTTGATATCATCAATACATGTAGCACCATTCTGACATGGGGCACTTGCACACTCATCAATGTCTGTTTCACAGTTCAAACCAGTCCATCCAGCAGGACATCTATAAGTTAAAACATTATTTTAGATACTTACATGTTTACAATACTTCTTCATCTTACCTTTACTTACAAATTTATCTTATGCCATATGATGTATGGCCATATCTATGTTGTGTGTAAAGCTTATATTTTCATGTAACATTTTTATTTATGGCTTACACTTGCATTAGTTTTTGAAAATTCTATCTGACATTTCGAAATAGAGAGATGATTTACATTCCTTCAATTCCTCTACCAAAATGATTTCTTCTTAAAAATTGAAACTTACGTGCAGATGTATGCATTAATCAAATCAGTGCAGTTTCCACCATTCATGCAGGGGTTGGATGCACACTCGTCTATATCTGTTTCACACTGGACACCCTCCCAACCAGGGTTACAAACACAGGTGAACATGTCAATGCCATCTATACATGTAGCATTGTTGAAGCATGGGACTGACTCACACTCATTGATATCAATCTGAAACAAAGATTAACAAATATAGGTTTGTAAGGAGGGTGTGACAAAGGTAGAGTTTTGAAGAACTTTAATTAATACAGGACTAACTCCTTTTCACAGCCCATCAAAGGTGTCCCAACCTTTAATCTCGATATAATAATGAAGGACCCAAAGGACTTTTTGACCTTTCGAAGGTCACTGAAGGTCAAGTAAAGGTCAAATCCTAAAACTAATGTCGGATTTGAACTCCTGGCAACTTGTAGATGATTTTCAAAAAAAATTTGGTCAAATTGAAGCAAGTTGAAAAATAACTTATTTTTACTGTTTTTTGACGTCAAATATCTCAAAAACGGTAAAAATTTGATGCTGACATATATTGAGCAATATGTAGGGAATGCTTAAATCTAGTAATGATGTAATTCATTAAAAGAAATGATCAAGTATAAGGCAAACTTTGAGAAACTTGTCAATCACAAAACCTGCCATTGACTTTATACATGAGAAAGTTTCCTGAAAATGACCTAGTCCTACTTTTTGTCAAATTTTATAGAGTAAAAACCAAAAACTGTAATTCCAAGAGCTTTGAAATCTTCAGAGGACATAAGTTGCATATACAGCAACTACTAAAAGTTATTTGACAGGTCTACTTCAACAAAGTGTCTAGTATTTATAGAAAATTTGACTTTTTGACGTCAAAATCCGCAATTTCTCGGAAACCGGGCGAACTTGGGAAATGGCGATGATAGGTCAAATAGGCATTATGGATATGCATAAAATGAATGTGGATATGGCTCAATCCATAGCAGTTTTAATTTGTGCGGCCAATGTTGACGGACGGACCAACAGACGGACGGACGGACGGACTAACGGACCGACCAACGGACGGAGGCCTGGTCGATCCCATAGGCTCACTGTGTGAGCCAAAAAGCTCATTCAATTCCAGACTTAGCATGATTATCCATGATTGGGAACATAATTTGTGAACTATCGGAAGTCACTATCGCCAAAAATCGCAATATAATCCATCTTTTTACGTTTTATTCTTTTACATATTCAATGAGACCTCTTTTCAAATATCTAAACTACATCACTTACAGAACAGTTTCTGCCAGTAAACCCAGGGGGACATTGGCATTCGTAGTCATTAATCAGGTCCACACATGTGGCAGCATTCTGACATGGCCCAGGTAGACACTCATCAATCTCTTCATCACAGTTCTTGCCTGAAGTTAATAGATTATGACCATATTAGATGATGTACGACTGTCATCATGAAAATATGGTAAAACCTTAGAGCTGTCTAATCTGATCATAACTCGCACCAGCCAAAAGTGTTCAGATGAGCAAGTTTTCACATTTCAAGGTTTCTCAATGTGTGACTCAATCGGAGATAACAACGGAATAAAAAAAGTGTTTGCATTACATCTAGAGGTGATTGGATATTAAGAGGTTTTCGGATATACAAGTTTCACTGTACAGTCTTACAGACAGCTCTTAGAACTATCAAAGACTTCAACTATGGTGACTTACTCCTCAAATCATTTTTCTAGGGTTATTACTAGTTAATGTTAATCCCAGTGAATAGACTCTATAGAACATGTAAGTACAATTTCAATTCCAGAGTATTCTTCTCAATCAGATTGTTTAAGCTCACTTTTATTCAAGGCTTCTTGTTATTGCTTATAGCATCATCAATGTGAATGTATTATACATATTGTGAACGGTCCACCTGACCTTATGCTTTTTTCATTGACTGGCCATGGCTTTCATACAATTCATCCTGTTTAACATTTCTAAAATAAATATGTCTACACAATACCTTCAAATCCAGGTCTACAGATACAGGTGAACATATTAATGCCATCGATGCACTCAAGGCTGTTGTTGACGTGGCAAGGATCAGGTTCACAGTTGTTCTTATTGATCTGACAGTGGGCACCAAACCAGCCCTCTGAGCAATTACATACATAGCTGTTGATCTGGTCGATGCATGTTGCGTTGTTCAGGCAAGGATTGGAAGCACATTCATCGATGTCAGTCTCGCAGAGAACTCCCTCAAAACCTGCCTGTAAATGGGAATAAGGGATGATTATTTGGAATTTCACCATGACATATAAGATTATACCATGGACAATGGAAAATATCATATATAATGGATGGCAGCGTGTACTAGGTACATGAGAATATATCTATTCTCAAAATATGTCTTCTATCTTAAAATTCTTATTCTTTCAGAGTTTGAAACAAAAAATAATTTAAAGAGACCTACATGTACAAAGCATGTACCATAATTTAAAGGGACATACCATGCATGTACCATAATTTAAAGGGACTCACTAAGCATGAAACATAATAATAATTTAGAGGGACTTACCAAGCATGTACAGTTATATCCATTGACATATGGTGTACATTTGGCTCCATTCTTGCATGGGTTAGATTCACAGAAGTCAATCTCTGTTCCACAATATTTCCCCTCATAGCCTGTAATCAAAACATGAATATAATATTACTCTTTATCAATTAAATAGTAAGTTTATGACAGGTTTGGTAGTAACAAAATGATTTATAGATATATTGGCCTGTTTACTTGTCAGCTACACGGACCTTGTGGTCCATAATCCATAGTCAGGTTTCGAAATTGGAATCGTTAAAAAGATATTTTGCTTTTCAGTAATGACAGCACCACAGTTTCCCTCTATGATTTTAAAATGAAAGTAGTTCAAGAAATACTCACCGGGAGGACAAGTACAATTAACATCCATCAAAAGATCTGTGCAGGTGGCGCCATTGAGGCAAGGCTCGGGTAAACACTCGTCAATTTTATCCGTGCAGTTTCTACCATCGTAGCCAGTATTTGAGCAGTTACATAAGTAGAAGTTCAACAGGTCAAGACACTGGCCACCATTTTGACAAGGCTGGGGATCACATTCATCAATTTTGTCATCACATCTGAAGATAACAGTTTTTATTTTTTAATCATCACCTAGCATCATTGGTCTCTATGGCGATTTGGCAGTTTGTCTGTTGTGATTAGGTTTGTTTTGATCAAATAAACTGATCGTGATTTTTATCAAGTTACCCTTTCTTTTATTAACAAGGTTATTTACTCATAAACTCGGCAGTATCAACATTATTGACCACTGTTCATCATTACAATTTTTTTCTAATTATCTCAAGTTGCTTTCTAGTAATATGTGTATCTAATAGGGAGAATATGGTATTTACCTTTCGCCATGATAGCCTGGGATGCAGTTGCATTTGAATGAGTTGATTCCATTGATACATTGTCCATTTACACATGGGCTTGGATCACAGTTGTCTGTTATTTCCTCACAGTTAGCACCCTCATATCCTGCATTCACAAGAAAAGTTTGGTCGTTAACCGAAACTTCAAAAAGTTCAGAATTCCTAAATCAATTGCCGTAACCATGGAGATAATGATAGCATATTAAAAGAATATTGGACTTGAGAATTTGTAACTTTACAAAAGTTTCTATTACTGATCTCCTCTTCATTTCTAGATGCAGGCATGAATATGACAAAATGTCACCATTCATCTCGAATTTGGATGCAACAATTTGTTACTGACACAAAACACCAATGTTGAATGCAAGTTACAAATGTGGTGGGTCTAATAATTTTTCAAATGAACTTTCTGAAAAATCAGTTTAGTTAAAAAGCTGGAATTTATTTTAATATAAACTGATTGAATATGAAGTGTGGTGATACCATGACTACATATTCTGATTTGATACCGAGCCAATCAAAGAATCATTTCTGATTTTAGAGTAGATGACATCAAACTTTCCAAAATATAATATTAAAGCCTTTAAAGTAATGTACTAACCTGGGGCACATTTACAAGTGTAACTGTTAATGCCATCTATACATGTTGCTCCATTCATGCATGGCTCGGGAGCGCATTCATCCATATTCGTCTGACACATGACTCCTGTGAATCCCGCGGGACATGTACAGGTATAGTAGCGCCCTCTATCTACACAGGTAGCGTTATTCTGACACATGTGGTCATCACAGAAGTTGCCATCTAGTGGTGAAAAAAGAAATTAATATCATTCATGGCTCTTAAATAACACCAAGTTAATGGGGACTTTAAATCTAAAATGCCTACTGGTAGAAAGCTAGTTTGAATATGGTTTAATAGGCAAGATGAGATTATGTATAAATAAATAAACTTGATTTTCATCGTTAAACAGAGAAAGCAGCAGATAGAAATGAAGTTCTAAAAATTGTTTATCAACGTATTATTTTCATTGAAAATTTGATTTCTACATAGGTGTTAAAAAATCATGAATATTGAAATATCATTTCTTGTATTGAACAGATGATAATTTCTTTTACTGAACATAGATTATATTATTAATATCAAGCTCTAAGAAGTAAATTGATCTACGAAATCTATTTATCTTTCAAGTAAAGTGGAACTTTTTATATGTCTGCCATTTGCCTGGAATGTTATCTGACCCAAATTAGCTACCTAGTGGTGAAACTAGTAACAACCTCCTAAGTAATTCAAAATATTAATATCTTACCAACACATGATGTATTTGAGAAACTTCCTGTTTTCTCAGTGATCTTATCAGCTGGGCATTCAATACAAGCAGTTGCCCCAGAATCTGGCATATAGAAATGTAAGGGACATTCTTCACATGGTGAGAGACCATCGCTACTGATCGTTCCAGCGATACATACATCTGAAAGAATTGAGAGATGTGCGATTAAGATGAGAGTAAACAGGCTCTTAGTATACTGTTAAATGTTTACACATGTATATATACAGAAAAAAAGTACAGAATATGGACATGCATATGATACATGTACACACATACAGTACATGTACACTTGTACAGTACTGTACATGTACACATGTAAAGTACTGTACAAACACACATTCAGAACATGTACACAAATTTCTTTTGAATGATTGATTTAGTCCAATTGAAAACCTCAAAACCTGAGATTTTAATTGCAATATTCCAATTATAAATAGGCAACAGAATTGGACCCAATCTTATTAGTCCATGCTGCTGCCCAAGCTCCCATATATGCTTCCCCTTCAAAGAAGAAAGGGTGTGTATGGGATGGGGATTCACAAAGGCATCAAACAATACTTATATGAAAATTGTTTGGTCTACCCAATGTCTAATAATAGATACCCTTTGTCTAAGAATAATTCACTGGCTAAATACTGATGTGTAAAAAGTTGTTACCTCTACATTGGGAGAGTGCAGTGCTTCCTACGGTTGCTGTTTGTTTCTCATCTGGGCACTGTATGCATTGAGTACTGCCCAACTGCGGTTGGTAGAAGCCGATTGCACACTGGTCGCAAGGCTGGAGGGTGTTGCTGGAGTACTCACCAGGATTACACATAGCTGCAATTGAATGAATGATAAACATGATGCAGGTACACAATTTAAATAAAACCAACAAGAGTAAAAACTATACATACAAAATCACAAAAATTATTTAAAATCCGTCAACATTCTCATAATAAGGAATAATATACGACATTAAGCCTTTTGAAGCATTTCAATCTGTAAAAATTTAAATTAAACTGTGGAGCCTTACGTATGCACTCGCTGACATTTCTAGAGTATACATCAAGCGTGGAAGTCCCCTCAGGACAAGCTTTACATTCAGGCAATCCTTTCTCATCGTTATACTGTCCCTTTGGACATGGGATACACTCATTGGTTGTCTGGTTGGCGTATGTTCCCATAAGACACATCACTGGAAAAAAGCATTTTAGTTGCTATAGCCATAATTGCTTTGTGTGTCTTATCGAATTCAATAAAGTTCTGTATAATGTGAGACGTGCAATCTTCTCCATATAATTTGTCAGTGTCATAAAGGATGACCCAAAACACAGAACCCACAAATCTTTGAATAAAAATTAAGGGTTCTGCTTTTTCGAATCACCCTGTAATTGAATTAAAATCAATTCTAAATTAGACTTTGAAATCTTAACTTACAGCAGTATCCACCAGCTTGTTGTGACCCACGGAAGATATGACCTGCGGGGCAGACATATTCCTTATTCTCCTCTGTTACAGGAGGTTGTACAGTCCCGTCAGGACAACTGCCACTGTTGATCACAATCACGAAGTTGCCTCCTGGGTTGAATGCCTGCACTGCTGTGGAGATTTGAGTTCCGCACCAAGCGACAAAGTTAGGGCTAATTCCTGTTGTATCAACCACTGTGATTAACACTCTCAAAGATATAGTTATCTGAAATAAGATGAGCTAACATCAGTATTTTTACTATTCATTTAATTTATTGGAAACAAACTCACCTCCTTTTTCCAAGGTGCACTTCGAATGAATTTTGTGAAGGTCACGAAGGTGGGAAGGTCTGATCATTCAAATATCACACTTAAACTCATACACTTTATCTCCATTAAGTAAAGTTCTAGTCCACTTACCACACTGCCCTCAACAGTGGCAGTAAGTCTCTCAATGTTCACTGCAAAGTTTTTAGCATATGGGTCACATAAATTGGAATCCAAGATTGGCAATAAGGCATCTCTAGTAGCGTTCATGTACAACTCAAGACACGTCATGTCCACTGGGCCGCCAGTGTCAATTTGTAGGAAATAGTCCAAAGCATAGCCAGGGAATAACTGATCTAGAAGTAAATTAAGTATGTAAGCATTGTTCAGTTTCCCTGAATTGACGCATACGTATTGTAAAGTTCCCTCAATTTGATGCATCAAGTAATGCTCTGTTTTGTCAAAGAGCACTACTCAAACATCAGTAGTTGTTTAGAAATAGAAATTAGTAAGCAGAATAATGAACTCTTAAATGATTACTTTTCTACACGGACAGCCTAAAAGATTTTAAAGTAGATTAAACAGAAAATCTATCTTACTATATAGAGAAAATAATTTATGTTAGCTATATTAACTTCAAAAAAGTTTTTGAGAAAATATTAAGATTCAGAAAAAAGTCTATGAAGCATGCTAAACTACTAGAAATCCCTGTAAACAGTTGAGTTGAATAATAAAGATGCCTAGTTCTGTTCAAAAGGGGTCTGTTTTAATCTAATGTTACCCTTTGTGCATTCTCGTTGGGATACCAGTTTATTCCAAAATAGAAGACATATAGGAACTCAAGAATGTGAATACTTAAAGCCATTGTGCATGGTCTATATAAGCATGAATCATAAATATCAAAAAGTTGAAAAATATCTGCATCATATTTAACATTAAGCATTACTAATTTTGCAAAGCACATGTTATAATTGCATTATCATTTATGGAAGTTAAAAAGCAAATGCCTACTGGTGCAATCTGGTACATAGTTATGTGGCTCCCATGTTCCACCGAAGACACAGATATATTGCAATGCAGGGTCCGTTACGAAGTCTGTATAGCGAGGGCATCTCACATTACAACTAAAACCTGTCCCTGTTGCCCCACCAATTGTTGCCGAACATGATCGGTCCCCGTTTTCTGGCTTTTGCAAACTCCATTCTGGGCACCCAGCGGCTGCAGAAATATAAGAGTTAAATTGGATCGGGGTCGGGATTTCGGGGATTAAAATTGGTTAAATAAAAACAGTGAAATAACATAGCCTTGTGAAATGTTAGAGTGTTGGTATTAATGTTAGGAAAGCTATCCCATAAACACACAAAACAACATAAAACAATTGTGACATAATATACAGAAGTAAATGCCATGCCCAAATTTTGTAAAAAATGTTATTTTTGTTTTATTGAAATAATAAAAAGGGAAAATAAAGAAATCTGGGGCTCATCTTAAGAATCCCTAAAATCAGTTTAATAATCCAGAAATCGCTGAAATACAGCCATCATGCAAAAGAAACCGAAGAGAGAAATCAATCGGGAAACAAAAGTCCATGCACTGTTTAGATATCACACATACAGATAGGCATGCATTGTCACTTTTGACCAATCCGAACACAGTTTAATAAAAGCCTTAAAGCAAGCATTCATTAAACTGAATTCAACTATCACCTGATGGGTATCTATTTTATGGAAACTCATTTAGATATGAATACTTAAATAAATGATTTGGCCATAAAAATTGCAAACAAATCATCAGCCGTCAATGGACAGTTGAATTCTCGAATGTTAGCTAAGGCTAATGTAGATAAGTTGGTTCAGTGGTTTGAACAATAATTCAAGTATTGACCTTAAATATATAACCCCTTGTTAAGTGGTGTCATGTGAGACTCATCATTGCTTTTAATGAACCTGTTTTGCCATTTGTGAAATGGAAGTATATAAATGCTGAGCTAATAATTTTAATTGAAATCACTTATTGCCCTGTACGAAAATCTTAAGGTAGTTCTGCACTGTCACAAAAAGTTGAAATTAATTTGGGTAAATATTATTGCCATCTAATTTGATTTCATATATGCAAATATCTTATTAACAATTTCAGTAATACAAATTATTGATAATTATAAAAATAAAATGGCATAATTTACCTTAACACTCAACTACAACTGGGTTTTAGCTGCATACTACATCAACTCACTTATTAACAATGGCTTATCCTTTAGCTATTTATTAAAACCTCTTATGTACTATTAAACTTGATTTTCTAATACTGCCAATTTAAAGCATTGAGATACATACGAATGGCTTCATAGTTAAAACTGCATGCTCCTTGGTTTCCAGCCTCATCATAAGCAGTAACGGTAACAGTCAAGTAACGTCTCATTTGGACGATGGTGCCATTAGGAGGGTCATACACAACCCTCACTACACCTACATTGTCTGTAGCAATTACATCGGGGAAACGGGCGGGAACAACGAAGCTTGTAGTGTTGTGGAGATCAACAACTTTCTCTTGAGGACACTGTACTCTGGGTGGGATACCATCTATTACATAAAATAATAGAGTGAAACCTGTATATTCAAACACCTCTCTAATCTCTCAAAGTAAACACTTTTCTTGGTCCCAAATGTGATAAATGGTCAACTGTGGACGTTACTAAGGATATCAGATGCAGAAATATCAAATATGTTTCATTTTTTATAATTGATAAAAATTTAGTTCAATAAGCTTAAAAATAAAGGTTTTATCCTGATATTGTGACAATATTTTCACTAGTAAATCTCAAATCTTTGGTCTAGTTTTTATTGCTGCTTCAACTTGTTGGATTAATGTCAAACAGCACATGTACCTAGATGGTTTATCTTGATTGTACAGTTAGCTTGGTTTCCAGCACTGTCTGTAGCCACATATACAACATAGCCATCCTGTAATAGAATATATAATTCATCATTTCATATTCTGACATCATTTCTTAGTCTTAATCTCCAACTTTCATCATCTGACTTTTCCATCAATTTCATAATCCTTTAACTATTAATGAATTTATACACAAATCTAAAAATGGTTACCTGCTCAAAAACATAAGGTGGTTGAATCCCAGCAGGGATTGATGTAATAGTAGGTGTTATCCCCGAATTATCAGTTGCTGTGGGGACTACAAAGTCTACTGGCAGGGGTCCATTCAAGGTCAGGGTCGCGTTCAGTTCCTTGGGGCAATGTGTGAATACAGGGGGCTCAACATCTGCAATGTTCAAGTAACTTAATAAAATCATGGAAATAATTCATCTAGGTATAATTTAAGAAAAATGTTGAAATGTTGAAAATGCTAGAAAATGTTGCATGCAGAAAATATAGATTTTTGTATTATTACATGATTCATTTCAACAGGTTTACCAATTATGTGTCTGTAATTGAGAAAAAGTGTAGCTTTAAACTCACCATTACATGTTGGTACAGTGCCATTCCAGTAGGCTGGTTTATCATCAGCAACTATAAACTCCTCGTTATTCCAATGATCATATATGGATGTAGCAGCCCTCTTCTTGCGATTCACTGGAAATATTTTGAGAAGGATTTTAGGATAGTCTAGTACAGTAAAGGGTAGTTTTTGTAAAAAATTATTTAATTATGTCGAAATATGAATCACATATGAGAAGTTCACATTAAATTTATATTACAACAATTGCACTATTTAGTGTAATAAATTAGTTTTCTCGGCAAAATAATTGTTGATTACTGAAGCAATAATGTGAATTAGAGAAACACAGAAACCACAATTTTACATAGAAACTACAATTTTACATAAAGGCGACAATTTTCCACAGATACTACAATTTTAGCACACAATTACAGCTCATTGCATAAGTTTTCAAGATGAGGAATTGAGAAGCAAAACAGTGCAGAAAGAAGAGAATTTCGAAAACACAACAAGCTTTTTTAATAGAATAAAAGAACAGCAAAGTAATGTATTCCCAAAGATGTACATTCTAATGCTGTTGGCTTATTCTTATATAAGCGGCTTACAGTAAAACTTGTTATATGTGTACTTGTGTGTTTAAAGAAAATGGAAATATGACATAGGTTCAGTCCAAAATCATTGAAGTCCAATTTACTCTAAAGTTCATTTAAGCTCTATTTTTATTTTACATGTGTTTTGTGCTTAAGTTTTTCTATTTAAGACAAGTTTACTGTCTACCGATTTAGAAAGGTTTTACTATATTTCATTTTAGACAGATTTTACTGAATTTCATTTTCAACAGAGTTTACTCTATCAATTCTAGAAAGATTTCCCTTTAGACAGGTTTAACTGTATATAATATTAGACGGGTTTTACTGTATTTCACTTTAGACAGGTTTTACTGTATTTCACTTTAGACAGGTTTTACTGTATTTCACTTAAGACAGGTTTTACTGTATTTCACTTTAGACAGGTTTTACTGTATTTCACTTAAGACAGGTTTTACTGTATTTCACTTTAGACAGGTTTTACTGAATTTCATTTTCAACAGAGTTTACTCTATCAATTCTAGACAGATTTCCCTTTAGACAGGTTTAACTGTATATAATATTAGACGGGTTTTACTGTATTTCATTTTAGACAGGTTTTAGTGTATTTCACTTTAGACAGGTTTTACTGTATTTCATTTTAGACAGGTTTTACTGTATTTCACTTTAGACAGGTTTTACTGTATTTCACTTTAGACAGGTTTACTCAATCAAGACAGTCACCTGAGTAAGGTAAGGCAGTGGGTACTCCTATATTACATCCAATCCCAACACAACAAGACGAACACACAGGTGAGTTAGTTGCATTCTGAGCAAAACACAAATTTGCATTTTTCTCACGAAGACCGGAACATTCAAATTCAGTTTGACATTTTTTAGAAATCTTTGCGCCATTTCTAGTCGTTCGGAGTTCAGTCAAGCAGGCAAACTAGAAGTAGAGTGTTAGTAAGGCATTATATTAGAGGGTATAAATACAAGCTTCACAGCGGCTAGTAGATGATTAATGGTAAAACAGACAAAGATTAGTCAAAAAGGTTCTAGCAAAGACAGCCGACAGTCAAAGACAATGATCTGCTACTGAAGGATAAGAAATAATTATTAGTAAAAATATAAAGGCCTTCTCACATATGAACGAATCCACAAAACGCAGCGTTGCAAATTGGGTAAATTGTCAAATCTGGTCATCGGGAATGTTAACATTCTTTCGGGGGTTTTCGTTCATATGTGAGGATGGCTTAAGACATAATCAAGCATTCATCTAAAAGTATGAGTAACTATTGTTAGTCAAATGGTTGCTATATTAGGAGTTAATTAGTTGAGAATATCAAGCTAGATGAATCTGAAATACAGTAGGATGGGAATGGCGTCATTCAGTGGGCTCATATGGTGAAAAACTATCATAGTTACTTTTAAAATAGATCAATGCCAAACTAGGGTTTCTATTGGCTTTTCAAGAGAGCCATTATAATTCACCTCTGCTGTAGAAATATCCAATGTAATGTATCTAAATAAAGGCCTCTAAAAGAAACTCCAAGGAGGTAGATGGAGTAGGAGAGCAAGCAGAGTTACATTAAGAAACAATCTCCAGGCAGATTCCGAGTATGTATACCTGGATACGGCAGGTTGGATGGTAAGGCGAAATTACACCTTCGTCCCGTACAGCATGACACACAGACAGGGGATGGGGACAATGGGTTACATTGGGTTGGGTTATTCAACATTGCCGTGTTGCACGCATTCTCTCTCTTGCATCTCTTCTTAATAATGGTTGTCCTTTTATAAGTAGGTGTTGGATCAACAACACCAGATGATTTTGCAGATTTTCCCTTAGATGTTCCTTTGGATGTCTCTTTGGATGATCCCTTTGATTTCGATCTTCTTCTTCTTCTCTTGCCCTTCGACTTTGAAGACTTTGATGCCTTTGACACCTTTGATGTTGCCTTTGATGCCTTAGATGCCTTAGATGATGCCTTTGATGATGCCTTAGATGATGCCTTTGATGATGCCTTTGATGCCTTTGATGATGCCTTAGATGCCTTTGATGCCTTTGATGATGCCTTAGATGCCTTTGATGCCTTAGATGATTTTGATGACGCCTTAGATGCCTTTGATGATTTTGCAGATTTACTCTTGGATTTAGGAGCTGTTGTAGGTGCAGCTGTAGGGGGTACAATCTCTTCAAACTCAAAGATCACTCTTGTCTCACATATACTCTGAAGGGGAGACAGTATAGTATAATCACCCCATGGATGGAAAAATAACCTAGAGTCTTTTTAGCCATATTAGGCTGGGTTATTTTGATAAAAGGGATGGTTGATTAAATCAAAGATAAAACTGTGCAGTATTAGAACAACTGGGGTATTTGCCTAAAATTGATTAAATTCACCATATTAGTAGAATATTGTGTGCTGCAATGTAAGAACAAACATAAACACTTCTTAGATGTGCGTAATTAAACAAAAAAAATGGTCAACTGCAATACATAAAATATATAAAATATCAGGTGACACACTGGGTGACAGACAACAATAATATGGAGATCTTGCAAAATCAAAATATTTTATGTCAGACTATTTTTGCACAAATGGTAATGTTTATCCCTTCATTTTGTGCTTTATGTGTTCTGTGAGAGCTCAATCAAAATATAATTTGATTCTTTGTCAAGACCTCTTGGTGACATGTAATCTAGAATATCCATTTGGTCGTACCAGGGTAGAAGTCATAAAAATCTGGAACATCACCATTACAATACTCTCCATGGCAACACCCTATACAGATACCATAGAACCTGCACCAGATATCATTCTGTGATTCAAATCCCAGACAAAGATCCTCTCTCATGCACTGCTTAGTAATTTGGGAATAGCTATATATGTGTCCAGGATCATTCACTTCCATAGAGCACATCTCCTAAATATCAAGCAAATCCACACTGAAATTCATCTTCTAAACAATGGGTAAGATATGCAATCTAAATCTAGCAAAATGTGAAACTGATGAATGAATAAAGCTGAAAATACAGATACAGTACAAGAATAGTATATACACAAGGTGATGTAATGACGGTACCGCGAGCGCTCGAGCAATTCACCTCCGATACGAGCTGTATCGATACATAAAATGAATATCAGTCGTATCGTTTTTTGACCGGAAGTCCCTTCTTTGAAGTATTTTCGGCTTTACAAGTTTGAAAAATTAGAATAAAGTTCAGTTTTACTTCAATTTACACTGTATCATTGTATTGTATCGTTCATATCGTATCGTGAGGTCAGTATCGTAGATACGTATCGATATTCAATTTCTCGTATCGTGGTACCCCTAGTAATGTTTGGTTGCATTCCAACAAATCATATGAAATAAGTCATCTGTTGTGATACTGTTTCATGTAATACCAAATAAAATATGACACAATGGTAGCCATGACAACTTTGTGACATTGGCATTGATAGAGACAACAATTTGACTTTATCTACTGTGTTTATTAATTTTTGATAGAATGTCCAAATAATGTCTACAAGAATGAAATGTCATCTTACCCCTTCGTCGCACACCTGCACGCCACCCGAGTTGCATTGATCGTTAGTGGCAGCATTGGTACATGTATAACAACTGGTTACTTCTTCACCAGACCCAGATGCTATAAAAAAAATTCAATTTTGGAATTCTGTCAGAATGTAAACTTTGACATCAAAGAATGAACAATACATTTTTAATAATTTTGGGGACCTACCATTTAGAAAACATTATTTCTATATTAAACTATTTTTAATTTTATGAGTTCTATAATATAATGGACTTATCCATATAAGGAACAGAAACACACAACAAACACAACTAAGCCACAAATAAGGATACAACACAAAGCATAGACTTTCCAGAGAATTTTAAAGAAAATTCATACATTATTTGTTAAAGGAAATTATGAGGAATTATGAAGAATCATTATGAAATATGAAAATAATTCATGGCGGTCATACTTTTTTCACTCCTTTTTCACCAAAACATGAAAAAATGTCCAATGTTTTGAATTTCCATACAATTTTGAATATATACTCCATACCCATTTATTCCATTCCTTGCTAATTCCTCTCTAAAATATTGTATTTCTCAAAAGAAAATATGACCACCATGACATTTTCTGAGATTCTAACCTCCAGAACCCCCGGAGCCACCAGAACCCTCTTCAGTTGTTGTAGATATAGGAGCAACCGTAGTAGCGAATGATGCTAGAGAAGAATTAGAACACAACATAGAAAAACAGAGGACTGGGCCATTTGAAAATCGAGAATCCCAAAATTGGAACTCTTGATTTTCACAATTTTACTTTACATATGTGTTCAGGAATGTAGTTAAGAAACAGGCCTTAGGTTGTCAAGGAGACAGATTGGAAAATATCATGGTGATCTTGAGTTTACCATTGTGAACAAATTAGATGATGAATGTTATGAGCCATATATGATAGATATATCAAATATAAACTGCCATTTAGATTAACTAAATAGCTTTTGTATTGAATCTTTACTGGCATCATGTCAACCAATTTAGTACATTAGATATCGAGTCCTATTGACGAGTCCAATTCAATATTTCTATCAATGTGAGACAGAATGACAACTTCAACATATTTTCTGACTGTCTCTCTTATGTGTTTGCAGGTAAAGGATTGACCACCATGCCATCAAAGAAGCTGAATTACTGCTATGGAAGCGGTAATGAGTACCACTTGCATTTTTTAACTTGGCTCCTTAAAAGAGTGCTTCGTCTGCTAATTTAACTCTACAAACAGGGTAGGATATGAGAGAGTTTACTGAAATATTAGTTGAGGGATAAACATGCATGTAAGTTAGCTATGTGCACTCAGGGGAAGAATAAAATGGAGATACAAAGTGGTACATTCAAGCCTGTAGCCAGGATTTGCCAAGGGGGGTTCACTTTTGACAACTTAAGCCCAAAAATCACTTGAAGGTGCTCAGAATGGTGAAAACTGCATTATTTTGAAAGATTGCTCGAAACCCCTAATCCCCAATGGCAACAGGCCTGGACAGTATGTCTGTGTAAATGTAAAGTATCAATGTCTTTAAGTACAGTATAATGTGTGTAAATGTAGAGTACATGTACAAATGTATTGAAGTACAGTATACATGTGTAAATGCTCAGTATCAATGTATTTATTTTTACAGTTTATGTGTGTAAATGGGTATTAATGTCTGAGAATAGTATACATGTGCAAATATTTATGTCCGAGAGAATAGTACACAATATACATGACTAAGAGTAGAGTATTGAATTAAATATACATGTGCAATAATGTCTTCAAATACATTATACATGTGTAAATGTAGAGTTTTAATGCCATAAAGTACAATAAACATGTCTAAGAGTAGAGTATTGAGTTTAATATAAATGAACAATGTCTTTCTGTACATCATACACATGTGGAGGTAGAGTTTTAATGCCATAAAGTATAATAAACATGTCTAAGAGTAGAGTATTGAGTTTAATATAAATGAACAATGTCTTTCTGTACATCATACACATGTGGAGGTAGAGTTTTAATGCCATAAAGTACAATAAACATGTCTAAGAGTAGAGTATTGAGCTTAATATAAATAAACAATGTCTTTCTGTACATCATACACATGTGGAGGTAGAGTATCAATGTCTTTGAGTACAATGTGCATATGTAAGTGTAAAGTATTAATTCATTGAGTGCAGTAAATATATGTAAAAATAGTGTATTTATGGCTTAAAGTACAATACACGTGTCTAAGAGTAGAGTATTGAGTTTTATATAATTGTATACTGTAATAATGTCTTTGAGTACAGCAGCATGGCTTTAATAGAGTATAAATGTCATAGAGTATTTCATAGCTGAGAAAAAAGTATTCATGCCTAAAGTATACAAGTAATGGCATGTCAGAAATATAAACATCCAGTATAAATGATTTATGGAAGTATTAGTGTACAATACTAAGCTCAAGGCAAGCCACATGTAGGCTTACTATATTCACATCTAGGCTTCCATAAGGTAATAATTAAATAGATTACGTGTTGTAGTGGGTCTTCGAGTTGGCCTTGGGGTTGTAGGTCTTAGAGTTGTTGGTCTTGGGGTTGTTGGTCTTGGGGTTTTAGGTCTAGAGGTTGTTGGCCTTGGGGTTTTAGGTCTAGAGGTTGTTGGTCTTGGGGTTTTAGGTCTTTGGGTTGTTGGCCTTGGGGTTTTAGGTCTAGAGGTTGTTGGCCTTGGGGTTTTAGGTCTTGAAGTTGTTGGCCTTGGGGTTTTAGGTCTTGAGGTTGTTGGCTTTGGGGTTTTAGGTCTTGGAGTTGTTGGCCTTGGAGTGGTTGGTCTTGGGGTTGTGGGTACTGGGGTTGTGGGGGCTGGTGTGGTTGGGGGAAGAGTGGGACATGGTTGTTTTGTAGTGGTAAATAGGGCTGGAAATCATAAATTAAGTAATACAATTGTTACAAATGGTTTATAAACACACATATTGAAAACTTCACATACAAAAAGTGTTACAAATGATAAAAAAAGTGTAAAATAATTGTAAGAAACGCTAATCCTATTCTTACATGTGTACAGTTTCATGTATTTAAATACAACACTTATACTTAATAAACTTGTCCTTTAAAAATGATTGTTAATGTTAAGTGCTTGTCTTTTTGGATAGGACAAAAGGAATATCCGTTTCCAATAAACCCTGTAACCTTTTGAAAATCAACTATGATGTGTTGGCCATATTGATGATGTCATTGGTTGTAGGTAGCAATTTGTTCGTGCAAAAATAGGATAAACTTATCAATTACATCATCAATATAGCCAAATGGATCATAGCTTCCTTGATGTGCCAAAAGGCAGGGTTTAATAGAATTTGGAAAGGTCTATTATTGGAACACTTCTTAACACTCAAAATAAAAAAAATAAGGGATGACAGCATTTTGCTAAAATAATGGTGCTTTTCTGAATACTTAAATTATGGAATGTGCACATTTTGTTAAAAAACTGGTATTCAAATCAGAATACACCAATCATCGGATGTGGACATTATGCTGAAAAAGTGGTACTTTTCTGAATACTCAAATTATGGGATGTGCGAATTTTGTTGAAAAAGTGGTATTATTCAGGATACACAAATTATGGGTTGTGAGCGTTTTGTTGAAAAAGTGGTATTATAGCAGGATACATGGTATTACTCTGAATACCCAAATTATGGGATGTGTGCATTTTTCAGAAAAAAATGGTATATTACATTAGTTCAAATTTACAATGACATGTGTGCCCATGTGGGTCAATCATATGCTTTGGAGCCAAATACAAACTTACGACAACAGCGGTTATCTGGTCCTAGGGTATAGTCTTCAGGGCAGGTGTATATACGTCCATCATTGGTCAATTGCTGGGGGTTCAGGACACCTCCTGCAAGCAAAAGATGAAACTTCATACAATTTATACATTATAATTAATAATATAAGGTAGAAGTTATAACATTTAAATGTGTCTAATAACTTGATTATATAGTACTATTTAAATATGAATGTCATTGCCAGAAGTTTTTTATTTGCCCTTGGTCCCTCAACTTTTGGTTACTATGGTTAAATGCTTTTTGCTGGATTAATAGGAATTTTATGATCACTCCTCATATATATAGCTTTGGTTGTTTATTGTAATATATAGTGACATGCATCATGTGTGAAACTTTATCATGTTTTGAAATATAAAATAAAACTTAATAATAGATATAGACTGTCCAAAAGATATATTATTATTACACACATATATTATAAGTTTAAAACTTAAATTTCAATCTAACAAAGAATTTTTATGTCATGCAGTTTAATTTAGGAATGTTCAATTGTATGTAGGAGCGAATGGTGACAAAATAAATAAATATTCTTCAACATTTTAAAGGTCCTTAGATTCTCAAGTTCGCGCTGGTTTTAAATCAATGCTTACCTATACAAGTCCCACTGGCCTCTATCTGGAGGAGATCTGGGAACATAGCAAGGTACGAGGGATCAGTGAGCGTCACAAGGAGCGCACTTCCACAGTCCTGAATATCTTCGTAGGTGGCAGCACTTGTGGCAGCAGAAACACGAATCCTGGCTGTCGCAACAATCTGGTTAAATGCAATAAAGTTTGTTACTGTAAGGATTCTGTGATTCTTCTGTAGTAAATCCATAATGGTTATCCATAATGGTTATATTGGTAACATTATTGTATATTGGGTATGATCTTCACTGAAAGGATGAACCAGGTATGCAACCCTTCCTTAGGTGGGTAGAAGGTGTACGTGCGATGAACTGTACCAATGCAGCTATATGATGATCAATTCTTTGACATGGAATTATATTTAGAGTTTTTGAAGCGAGGGAAATGAATGAGCCAAAAAATTACGCCATGAGATTGACAGAAAACATATTTTATTATCTGTTTAACTTTACTTACAACATTTCCTTCATAGTAAATATCAGCTCCACTGTCCACATCCAGTTCAACATTAGGGCTTGTACAAACAAAGCTATCAAGGGCAGGTTTGATAGCTTGTAGGAGAGATACCACCTGTAGACTGTAGTAGGTCTTGCATAAGGCATTGTCTGGTGGTGCACTCTGGGTAGCATACCTGCCACCTATTGCCACCACTGATAAACCAAGGCCACAATCTGGAAATAACAACATGAAATTAGTATTAACCTTCATAATAGTGCTCTAGTGGCTTTCCAATGGGATAGTGAGAATGGGTTAGTCTTGAAGTCCCTCAGATCTCTGTTTAATGTCTTTACCTTTTAAGCCAAGGTCAAAAGCGGTCAAAAGCGAAAGTCATTAGGCATCCTAATTTTTGCAGAGTAAAAAATGCTATAAAAAATTTAATTATTCAGATTTTATTGTATGTTTGTATCTAAGAACAATTCATTTTTGACTCTTTCCAAGATGGAACAAATATAATGTATGTGAGCTTACATTATAAAACTTCTCAGCTTACAATCACATATAGATCTGGTAGTGATTTTACTGTACTTTTCTTTTTTGTATACATGTACATCAATTTATTCCTTTAGTTAACAATAATATACAAGCAATTGTTTGTTTTAAAAACATTAGCGGCAATTTTAGTCAATAAGAATAGGAATACATAAAAATTGAAAATTTATCAAAGTAATGGTATATCTCATATAAGAAACTATAATCCCTAATCATAAATGATCAACGTGTTAAACCCATTGTCACATAAAGGTTAGATACGTGTTGACACAAATGCACCATTAATATGAAAACAAAACACCAAGGTGAATATGAGCCCAAAGCTTCGTTAAAACATGCATTGACCAAAGTTAAGGGATTTATTGAATCATGATTTATTGTGCTGTTATACCTGATTCTTAAGCTTCTAAAGAACACAGGTGAAAATGGGCCTTTTTTATGGGTGCTAACACCAAGAACATATTAATATGGGTTTGACATATTTGTATTATATAGACATACAATAAATACAACAATACATGCAGACATCCTCAGACATACATGTAAGTTAGATATATGAATATTATATAATTATATATGCACATTTAGAACTCCTTGATGCACAACCTAAATAACAAATATGAAGGTATTTTACATGTATTAGTAAAATCTTAAAATCATTTCCTCCGTCAGTTCCACAATTGTCGACGTCCTTAGTACAATACGAACACACCTTTATTAGATTTAGTAAATGTACAATCAATTTATGCTTCCCTGCTCAATATTTACTTGCACCACATTGAAAGACATGGACATTGGACGATGTACATGGTACATTCCTTTCTTTACCTGGCTCTGGCTGGCCCACATCAACTGTTGTAGATCTAGGTGTGGTGGTAGTCGGTGTGGTGGTTGTTGGCGTGGTGGTAGTCAGTGTGGTGGTTGTCGGTGTGGTGGTAGTCGGTGTGGTGGTTGTCGATGTGGTAGTAGTCGGTGTGGTGGTTGTCGGTGTGGTGGTAGTCGGTGTGGTGGTAGTTGGTGTGGTGGTTGTTGGTGTGGTGGTTGTCGGTGGGGTGGTTGTCTGTGTGGTGGTTGTCTGTGTGGTGGTAGTTGGTGTGGTGGTTGTCAGTGTGGTGGTTGTCGGCATTGTGGTAGTCGGTGTGGTGGTTGTCGATGTGGTAGTAGTCGGTGTGGTGGTTGACGGTGTGTTGGTTACTGGTGTGGTTGGCTTGGTGGTTGTCGGCATTGTGGTAGTCGGTGTGGTGGTTGTCGATGTGGTAGTAGTCGGTGTGGTGGTTGACGGTGTGGTGGTTGTCGGTGTGGTGGTAGTCGGTGTGGTGGTTGTCGATGTGGTAGTAGTCGGTGTGGTGGTTGACGGTGTGGTGGTTACTGGTGTGGTTGGCTTGGTGGTTGTCGGCGTTGTGGTAGTCGGTGTGGTGGTAGTCGGTGTGGTGGTAGTTGGTGTGGTTGTCAGTGTGGTGGTCATCGGCGTGTTGGTCGTCAGCGTGGTGGTTGTCGGTGTGGTGGTCGTCCGTGTGTTGGTTGTCAGTGTGGTGGTCGTTGGTGTGGTGGTCGATGTTGTGGTTGTCGGTGTGTTGGTAGTATGTGGTGTTTTGATTGATGATGAAGTCATAGGAACATGGGAAGTTGATATGGTTGAACTCTCTGCATGCCCTATATCCATAAGTACAATAGCATTTTAACCTGTTTACCAATGACTTATTATGTAAATCTAACTTCAAATAGAGTTTTTCTTGAAAGCCCATGCAAAAAAGTAGCACATTTATCAAATATGTCATATTGTCTTAATACATGTCACAACTTCCTGGCGATTAGGTGATAAAACAGTAAATGCATGTTTTTGTTAATCAAGTTTTAGATCAAGTTTTAGAACTTCTACAAGATTTAGCTAAAGATTCACAATTATAATGTTTCAAAATTCAGAACAGGTACATTTATATATTTCAATAGACTGTATGGATCATTAATAACCTTATCTTAAATTGGAACCTTATTACATCCTTTCATTTTTAGCAACACATAGTGAATCATTTAAAACCAAGAATATTATTTAAAAAATTTGCAAACTATTTGAACTGTATTTTTAATATAGGAAAGATACATATAGATACATATATATTAACAATCATACATATAGATTCACAATTAAATGTTTCACATTTCTAATAACCCCAGTAAGGGCTCGATATTACACACTATGTTCACTTTAATAAAATAAAAATAAAATAAAAAACTTTGTATAGAAACATTTGTTTCACTCATAACTTCTACTATTATTATATCAAAGGGTGTACTCTTTATCTGTTCTTAGTAATATATCTTTATCAATTCACATACGAAGGAAAACTCCTTTACATCTCATTAAGCGGCATAATTTTATTATGATACTTCAATAATTATTATTAAGTTGATTTTTAATATCATAGTTTTTATTCATTTTTTATCTATTTACATGTGTATATTTTAAACTGTCATAATTACCTGATTCTTTCTCATCGACAACACAGAATATTGGGTTCGGGTCTGAAAACACAAAACGTTTCTGATTAAAATCACAGTTCAATTTCAGATTAATAAAACCATTGACCCTAAGTAAAGCCCCAAAAATCTTTACCTAGGGTCAAAGGTTTTATTAATCTAAAATTGTGATATGCCATACACCCCCTGGGGTGTCTTTATCACTATTATGTACATATGATTTTAATTAATAAATAAAAAAAATCGCTTAAAGTGTGCGCCCGACCTGGCTACGTATATAACAGAGTTTATACTGGCGGATTAGACTAGTTCATTTTCTATATGTGTGTGAAAGCCTTCTCTTATTTGCGTTTTTTCGTTTAGTACGGTTTTGTTATAATTGCCGAGGTCATATAACCGGGATAAAACAATGATTATCGTTGACTGCGCACACACAAAACATTTACGTCGAGTGAACAGTGTTATTAAAAACAACAAGCTTTAGAATACAAAGCCCAGTAGTGTGATAATAAGCTGTACACTACCACTGCTGCATGTACATATTAGGGCTCATAAAGAGTGGATAGGGAGGTTGTGTTTGTCACTTTTAAATTTTACATTTCAAAATTGCCATTTTACATGTCATAATTTCTTGGTTTCATTCGTTTAGCCGATCAAAACATTGTAAAACAAAAACAATAAATCGTCTGTTACGTATAATCAATCTTGTTCAGTTTTGATTAGTTGTCAGAATGAAGTTACGTTCATCTGAATCCATGTTTCAAAACAAAAATCATATTTTCTTCACTTCAAAATACTTCAGTGAGATGAATGCTCGGAATTGTCGTTTGCAATAACTTATTGTCGTATTCGTTCTTTTATCTACTCGATAGAAGCATTTAGTCGTACATTTGATGCCAGGTCACATTCTCGCGTACCTCTTGGGGAGCCCCACATTTGTGTCTGTACTCATGGAAGTAAATTCCCCGGTGTAGCCGAGAGCCACAAACTTTCAACAGGTTCGAAATGGCCAATTTCTCTCATATATACTCATATTTTATTAATTTTCACCTACAAAGTATTGCTAATAACTATATGTAATTTCAATAAGGAAACTTATCTGGCTACATGTAAATTCAATATCAACACTAGATGTTCGCTCAACACGTCCTGGCTTACCTTGTGATGACAAACCCTGGGGTTTCGCTATTTATAGTTTATCAACACCTGGACGCATGCGCATTTTATAGTTTATCAGGCACTTTAAACAATTAATTTGATTTCCACTTAATTATATGTATTTGTTTTTTCTCAATTCATGCTATCCCAAAACATTCAGTGCTTTCTTCCTTTTCTGTATAATTGAGGCAATTAAGTTACTGCAACTACTGTCTCATTGATAAAAAATTGAATTGTATTGAAGTTTTTTCTCCACCCCTCCGAATCCCTGTGGTATAGACCTCTCTTCGCGCAACCTTTCTTAATATACCTGTCCCCTTAATTTAAGGGGGGGGGCACTACTTACTTGTTATTTCATAGCCAGGCTTGTCACACTGAAACTGTACACTAGCTCCAACTTCAAAACCATTCCTGGAGCCCCCTACTACAGATCCAAACACAGGAGCACCTGGGTCAGGACACCTCATACCTTAAGTAAAAATTCATTCATATAAAACTACACTTTAAATGATAAATCAAAATCTTTCTTTGAAGTGGTTTCTTTGGACCTCATTGTTGAGTATAAAATTTTGTGCTTGATCTAGAAAGACATCATTTTTCATCAGATTGTGTGAGTTATTGATCCCCCTTTAAAGCAGAGGATATTAAAATACCCACAAACAAATTTTTTCAATATAGTCAATTCTAACTCAAGGGGTGTTCAACTTTACACTTACCAGTACAAACAGGACTAGTGTCTGACCATTGGCCATTGGCTTCACATGTACGCACTGACGCCCCAACAAGTTCAAACCCAGTGTAACATCTGTAAGTTATGGTTGAGTTGAAAACTGTTCCTGTCTGCGTGACTGCTCCATTGCTAATAGGTGGCACTCCACCACAGTCAGCAACTGACAAAAGATGGCAGGCATTCAATAAATGTGAAGACTCAAAAATCACAAAGCATTAGTTATCTTATTTTTCATGTTTATTTTAAGAATAATCACTATGACAATGTAATTTGTGATAGTAATGAGGGAAACTAAAGCATGTACATCACTCATCTCAGATTTATGCAGTTGAAATAATAATTTCTTCAAATGAATTCTGCGAGTCAAAATTTGTTGGAATTTTGCTGGATTTCTCTTGGTTTCTGATTGAAAATTGGAGATAATTTACAACATTGTGATTGTCCTTAAAGTATTAATGTATTGGTGTCCTGTCATCTAGTAAAATATCACAAAAACAATTTGAGATGACAACAAGAAAATTGAGCTGCCAATTTATTTGTCATACTTTCCTTTAATCTGTCTAATCTACAGTAAATGATGTTTGCACTCAGTGGAGACAAATAACTGGGAAAAATTGTTAATAACTTATCTTGAAAATCATTAACCATGACCAAATTAAACTTACTTTGACAGCGAGGCTCAGAGCCGCTCCAAGCATACTGCAGTCCAAGTACAACTTCATTTGACCAATCACATTCTCTTGTTTTTGTACCAATCAAATTGTAGCCTAAATCGCATGAGTATGTAGCGACACTGCCATAGTAAAGATTGTCACTAATAGTGATCCGCCCATTCATAATTCCACCAAGGGCTGGGCACACAGCTCCTGAAATAAAAATTGAAGAAGTTTAAAACAAATCTATATATTTAAAACAATACAATAAAAAACTCAATGTCTGACAAAACAACACAATGCAGTACAATAACATATATCAATACAATACAATAAAATACAATATTCATTTATATACTTACTTGCACACATTGGAAGAGAGTTAGTCCATGTTCCATCTTTACGACATACAGCCATGCTAGGTCCATTTACTGTGAAACCTCTGTTGCACAGGAAACTAAAATTTAAAAATACAAAATTATTTTATTTCTATAAATTCCCTACACCTGTTTCGTTTGCATTGCATACATGTAATTACATAACATTTTGGATGAATGTTTCTATTTTTACATTTCTTTCATAGAGGTATTCTCTCCATGCATATTTACATTTTTTCTATTTTATTTTTTTTACATTATTCATTACGTATTCATTTCTATTTCCCTTTTAAACATTATATTTTCTCCTGCAATACCAACCTTGCTCTAGTGTCAAAAATAAACATTCCATCGTCATTTGGAGCGCTGTTGTAGAAAACTTGACCATTTGTGAGTAGAGGCAACAATGGACATGTAACAGCTAAAACAAACACATTGCATAATGTCAGACACGAAAAATATTAAGCATCATACAACGGAGTGGAGACAAAAGACTTGCCATTTCCTATATAAAATACTACAATATACATAATAATGTATAATACAATTAATACATAAAACACATGTACATGTAAATACTTAATTGTTGTTTTCTTAATTTTTCTGAGAGCAAAAAATCATAAACAGGGCATTAACGTGCAAAACCTTCCATTTGTTACAAACACTGAACACTGACCTCCAATCACCAAATGCCAACCATTGACCACCGAACACCGTCCAGAAAAAAGTTAGAGTCTATAACAATATGGCACCACTTGTGGTGGTGACATAAAAATTGCCCATATCACTTACCAACACAGGATTTGCCCACAATGAGTCCATTGGTTGTGACGAGGCCTTGTGATGCCCCAGTGAACAGCTCATACCCCTCCTGACATGAACATTCAAAACTTCCAATCAAATTCTTGCAAACCTGGTCACACCCACCATTTTGAACTTGACATTCATTGATATCTGGAAAATAGAGTACAAAATTATGTTATTGTATTAATCCTTACAGTTTTCAGCCAAATTTTTTAAGCATCGTAAAGAGATTTCATCAGCAGGCAGGATCACTGTTCCACAACTAGTTACTTTGACGGAAGGTCAATGTAACAAAATGGATGAAATTCCTGGATGAGTTTTTTGTTTTTTCGATTTAAACCTTCTTCAAGTTGCAGTTTATAATTTCGCATAAAGCTAGGAAATATAATCTAGTTTTAATAAGTTTTTTCGATTTGAAATTTGTTTTGTAAATGAAGTTGCAATTCATATATTAAGCCACTCGCTTTTGTTACATTGACGAAAGTTCGTTATATTACCAATGTATTTTACTTTGACGACTTACGTCAATGTAACAAAAGCAATGGTCTAGATGCATGAATTACAGCTATATTCAAAAATCAAATTCCAATTTGATAAATAGATAATCCCAATATCCTGAACCTCATACAGGATAATCCATACATATCATATTCTCCTTACCTTCACATGCAGTGGGATTAGTGTTCCTATATCCAGGTAGACAATCACACCTGTAGGCACCAGGTGTGTTAACACAGGTGTGAATACCACATGTACCAGCCATCACATTGCATTCATTGATATCTACAAGTAAAATAATATTATGAAAAATAATATATGGAAATAAGTTAAAAAGACCCATAATAAACTCATGTTAGAACCAGTTCAGGTAATAAATGTTTCAAAAATTTTAGAAAACTTCCAAAGAAATTCTGGAAGCATTATACATATTTATATTCAGGGATATTATTCAGGACCCTATTGGAGATTCAAAAGTTTTGAAGGATTCTAAAACGTACCTCTACATGCTAAACTGCCAGTCCAATTACCAAATCCAGTACAGGTGATCTGACCAGTAACTTCTTCATACCCGCTGTTACATATTATAGTTATGGAGTCCTGGTAAAGATAGGGTCCGGGTCTGTTGACAACTCCATTAGGAGTTGAGGATGGAGCTGGACAACGTACTCCTGTAGAAAGCAATTAGATGATCAGTAGATTTTATTATATTTGCAGTGATCTCCCCAGCATTAAAGCAAGTGGGCGCAGCACCCACCTGAGATTTTGGAAATAGGCTTGCACCCACCTGAAAATCTATTTGCACCCACTTGAAAATGAGAAAAATTATGAAAATGGGCATGTTTTACCAATTTTGGTCTGAATTGTGAAAATGAGAATTTTGCACCCACTTGAGAAAATATCCTGTGGAGATCACTGATTTATTGAAAATTGTTACAGGGCGGGCACTCTGATATGAAAGCATATTGTTGAAATTGAAAAGTTGTAATTTTCAACTCAGCAAATTGTAATTAAATTGTAAATTCAATTTAAGCAAAAAGTTACATGGGTGATTTGATTTCATACCTGCATTTTTATTAAAAGGACAGTAAAAAAGGTGAAAAAATTGGAAAATTGAAGAACCTAGCATTTCAGATTTTTTGTATTGTGATGGTTTTAAACCCCCTGAAGATTACATAAACCACACATTTTCTGTAAGTCTATCAATAAACACATGTGAAAATAATTGATTTTCATTTATAGAATAAAATAGAATGGAAAAATATTGAAGGTTGTGGCCCACATTGCTGCAAAGCGTATACTAAACAATGTACAAATCTGGTCAAAAAACCTCAGTGTTACGTGATATTTGAATTCATTAATAGATGTAAGGTTATTTTCAAACTCCCACCTCAACACTAAAAGATGTGAGCCATCATTGGTGGTGATTTTTATAATAGTCACCTTGACTGGGTGGAATATTGTAAAAGTGAGCTCGAAAATCTTGATAGCTTCAGGCCATGGAATGGGAGATATTCTTCTTGACATGAGAATTTGTTATCTTAAAATATTCATCCTTTCATTTGAAAGTGAAATTCAATAGAATTCAAGAATTTTCAGATTTAGCACCCACTGACTTACGATTACGTCAATGCTGAAAAGATTGGTGATATTATGTCATAACTTGTTAAAGCAAATGTTGAAGACCAAACTGTACATATAAAAACAATTCAGGAAATCATACTCATTCATTGTAAAACTTGATTCCACACTCTTAATTCTAAATAAATACATTAAAGGCATGAAAAGTTCCCAACTCTCTAACCTTCTAGGGGTTAAGAGTATATAAACACACCCTATTTATAAATAATCAATTGAGAAACAACAGAAGAATTTGTTTGCCATCATTTGTCCAGATTTTCCAAGAGCAAACAGACTGAGCAAACAACACACAAGGACAAACACTTGAGAAATAAAGTCCACTGTAAAAGCAGAGAAAACATTACTAAAAATAGGATAAGGCTCTAAAAACATAGTCTTGAAATTGTGAAAATTTTCTCACTAAAATAAGATATTTTCATTTTACTGCTAATTTTTTTAAACAATGATTTTAAACTTTCTCTTAACACAAAGAATCTTTCAAAGAGGGTTTGATGTATACCTATTAATTAATTCAATAATAACCAACTTGATAGTACATGAACATTGTAATATTTAATTCAAATAATATAAATCCTAAAGCACAAAATTCCAAAAGTGTCATATTCTATAAGTTGGGCTTAAGTAAATATTTTTATTTCTAAGACTTAATCTGCCAGAGCTAGCATTTTCAAACAGAGATTGCGAAGAGTTAATTGTGCCTTTAAGTATAGCCAGGTAATTCAAGAACATGTCAAATCAAAGGTATCAATCCATTTTGGAATAAGTTTGCCCAAGATATTTTACATATGTTTTCATGTAACTTACATCTATAATCTTAACATGCCAAATTATAATTCATATTCAAGATTAAAGATAATCCTCTATGCAAACTTTTTCTCAGGTAGGGATTTGTGAAATATTATTTCGGAATGACAGTGTGTGGCCTCTCTACATCCCAGAGATGTCTCTCTATCTCCCCCAAACACTCAAAGATGTGAGCTGTCAATGGCTAGTAGTGATATTAATATTTTTTCTATTGTGTATTTTGTGTATTTCGTTTATTTTATCCATTTTATTTCTGTTTATTTCATTTATTTTGTTTCAGTTTATTTTGTTTATTTGTTGTATGCCATGAGACTAGACACCATGGGCACATTAAGAATTGTTTAACACTTAATGATGACAGAACTAGTCTTACATATGAAAGAACAACATCAAGAAAAAAAACGACTATGTATAAATCTGAGGGGCCTTAGCTTTTTATTAAAAAATCTCAAGACATGTCATAGTTTCCATAAATAACTGACACTTACTGTTGCAGTTTGGCATGGGGTTCGACCAGAGTCCAGATTCCGTGCAAAAAGCACTTCTGGCACCATCTATCTGATATCCGAAGTTACAGGTGTATGTGACTTGGGAGCCATAACTAGAATCAGTTCCGATCACCTGACCATTAGAGGGAGCCACTGGAGTGGGGCACATTATCACTGGAACAAAGGTTTTTGTGAATATCAGAAAATGGCCAAAAAATACAAATGTAAACTCGATTGCATAGATTCTAGTTAGATAAAAGAGCATATATTATGAGGGGCTTCTCCTACATAAGACAATGTATATGAACTCAGCAAACTTTAATATGGTAAAATGTTTAATCTTAGGAAATTAACTTGTTTAGAATAGAAAAATTTCACACCAAATACACAGTGATTTTGAGAATATACTACTTACGCATAATTCCTAGGATGCGAAATAAATAAAGAAGGAGGGACATAATAAAAAGAAAGAATTTTGAAGAATTCTTTAAAATTACAAAATAATACTACCATTATCAGTAGCATAAGTGTCAAGTGAGCAAAGTTTAAATCATTATCTTATTCACCCTTGATTATTTTCCAAGATATCTCCAAACGAACAAATGTATATATAATATAAATATATATATGTAGCTATAAATTGGGAAATAAACCAAAAACTTATATTCAATATGAAAAAACATGGGCAAAGTCACATTAAAAAAGAGACACTAAGTTAATCGAAAAGGGTATTTCTCCAAACTAAATTTAAAAAATTAGTTTAATTTCATTTTGGTATTTCCGGAGCTAATTCTTCCAACTACAAGGGTTGTTCAAAAAGTTTTGCACAAATATGTCTAATTGTGAGAATAATGGTCCAATCTTATTCATAGTTGGTATGTATGTGCCCATATCTTATTCCCTTACACTGTCAAAGTTTCATGTATGTATGCCTTCTACTTAACATTTTACAGTTGCTATAGTAACCACGGCGATGACGCTATGGTACATATCATTTTGTAAAAGATAACTAGTAACACATTAAAGATCAATGTTACTAAGCATGCTAAATTAACTTTCATGAGCTGTCAATTTAGATTTAAACAATTTCTAGTATTGTTCTCATGGAAAATGTGAATCTTATCTCAATATTTACCATCTTGTTTTCTTTGGTTATGTCAAAGAATGACCGTAAACATACTCATCAAACATCTTGAAAAAATCACCTGATTTTGTGATGTTATCAAAGTTCTCATCATGAATTCAGGAAATATTGGAGAATATGGAATAATATAAATTTGGAGCAGAAAACATTGATATAATACATGATAAAGAATGGGAAAACAGTATTACACAAGTTAAATTCATTCACGATTAAGACATATTGCATATGATGACTCCAATATGGTTTGCTAAGTATTCCAAGATGGAATAAGAGAAGGAAATGAATTGAGGGTAGCTGTAGTTATGAGAGGGCTTGACATCCTATAGGTACTGATGGTTCAGACATTTGCTTATGGACTGGACGTAATGCTACAAGTATAATGCATTACTGAAAAGGAAGACTAGATGTAAAGTACTGTGTATTTAGATTAAATATAAATAAGTTATAATATAACCTGATTAACAGCTGAAAGAACAAAGATTGACGGAATTATTTTAGTCTACGATAAAGTCTCGTATAAAGGCATTCACAAAATCATTTTAATATAATGACGTCATATGTACCATGGGGCTATTGGTTCAAAATTTTAAGTCAGTGTATCTCAGGAAGTATATTGCTTATGGTCCTGAAATTTCATATAAGCTTGTAAGAAGGGTAATACTATATCTGAATGAAATTTCACATAAAAATGATAAAATCTCTTCTCTTGAGAAGCTGTCGTGCAAGACTTTTCGAACGACCCTTGTATTTTCTAAAAAGGTGTCCTAAATAATTAATCGAGGATTTATCTTACTCAAGGTTCATTGCGACCTCTTGGGTCTTTCTTTTTCTAATTGTTCTTTGTAATACAGTTTTGCTATTCCCTTTTCAACTCATATTTACAAATTGTTTTGTCATAATCGGTAACTAAGTTTACTCACATTCACATGTAGGAGCTGCAGACCAGCCATTGTTCCCACATGTTGATATAGAGTTCCCAATGATTTTGTAGCCTACAGAACAAGCATAGAAGACTTCTCCCCCATATTCGCGTGAAGTCACATTGAACACTTGACCATTAACAAGGACAGGTGGGTCATCACACATTATACCTGTAATTAGAATACATTCATATCGTAAAATGTTGGATTATTGGCTCCTGGGGTTATACAGCTTTGTAACTGAGATAAATCAGCATCGAGATGATGTTTTCAAGGTGGGGTTTTCATGAAAATTCTAAATTCATGATAAATCAAAATTTGAAATTACAATCCACTTATATCCTAGAACTATAGTTTATATTTTGAGAAAAACTTCTACGAAACAGAAACAATTAAAACATCATAGACAGGCTCTACTTGAAAGAAAAATCTGAACATATTTATTTATTTATTTCCTATCAACTTCCATGATATATCTGACAATGGCATCACAAAAAATGTAGTTTAAACACTTTCCAAGATACTTACGTTCGCATACAGGAAATACTTCTGGATACCAGACGCCATTTTGGATACATCTCCTTTGCGTCCTTGCTACATCCGTGGGGTCTCCAGAAATCTTCCAGCCCTCCATACAGGAGAATGTCACCAGTGTGTTAAAGTATGTAGTATTGGTGTCAATGAACCCATTTGATGGGACATTGATAAATGGACAATCTGGAACATTGATTTATAGATATATGTATTATTCCATTAAAAAAATATATATATAGAGGGTGGGCCAATTAAAAATGGGACACTAACATATATTCATTTAACAGAGTGTATACTACATATGAACTAAATGTCATGAAAATGAATTAACAAGACATGTGGCACGTTATCACCAAAAACAGCTTTTGGAATTGTAAAGAATTTATGAATTAATATCATTTCAGGTAAAAAATCATTTTATTAAAATCTCAATAAAATATTGTTATTGTTATTAGTAGCCTAAGCAGTTTTCTGCCATTCAACAACATTTTATCAATATTACTCATGTTTCAATTCAATTCAATTCTATTTATTTCATAATTCTGATATAATATACACTATAAAAACAAGCCGCTAGACACCCTAGTGGGTATATGTTGCGGTTTAACAGAAATTATTAAAATGACATCTAGACTACATATAAAAGAAAACACTTATCTATAACTGTAACTTACCAAATGAGAATGCGGCTCCCCATCCGCGTTTGTTGATCTTAGAGTCAGTGGTAAACCTGATGAAGAACTGGCCATTAAATGTCCTGAAGTCAGAGGGGATTTGGGTGCCTGAATGGGTAGAGGCCAGGGTACCTGTTTGCTCATTACCATTAACATATACCTGTAACAAAAATTTAATATGCATTATCAAAAAATATTTGCCACCAAAAGGCAGACTACATTTTTAGGTACAAATCATACATGAGGGACCAAGTAATCAGTGACATTATAGGTGTCCCTAAAAGGGTACATAACTTTGAATGCTTCTTCCAATGGTACATCACACTTGATGCTATATACCTCCATAATTTTGGCTTTGTGACAGTACTTATTGTCACACAATGTGGGGCTTATACATAGAGATTTATGAGTACTTTATCAACAGAGTTGAGTTGGAACTCGAGTATACCTGAGCCATAATAATAATAATATAACCACTGCCACAGGGAACAGTCATATGATAAAAAAATTCCAGTTTTAGGGAATTTTGCAAAATGTACATTCGTCCATGTCATATTTATAGGTGAACAAAAAAAACTATTTTTCAAATTTCACTTTGCTCACCAATGGAAAAAACCATATACGGTACTTACAAAATTCATCACATATGGTACTTACAAAAATTCATCACATATCTACTAAACATTGTATTAGAATATGAGCCTACCTGGACCACATCAAAGTTCTTCTCAGTTGTGAACAGGGGATCCCAGATGACAGTCAATGCTCTACCCTGGGGGTGGGAGACTGTCCATGAGCAATCCTTGCTGTTGGGGTAGTTGTTCACCTTGTAGGCGGGGGATTCTATTTTACCCCAGGCATCTATTATGCTCACGTCACATCCTGGTGATAAACATTTTGATTGTATTGTTTATTTACTTGTGATATAGCGTAACTTATGTACTGTTCTTGTTTTTGATTGTCACTGACATATGTTACATATTATACAATCATACAAAAAACAAGCCAGAATCAGCTCTTAGATATTGTTAACCAAAATTTATTGTATTTAACATACATGTACATGTTTTATGCGGTGCTTTCTAATGATATATCACATATATACTGTATCAAACTATGGCAATTTCAAGATCATCATATGATATATATGAAGCATACTGTCACTGTATGTAAATGTATTTTAATGATTTTAGCATATGACTCCTTTTATACATAACAGTATATGAAACCTATGAATTTAGTAATAGATAAAAATGTACCTAATATTGTATTTGCATTAGAGTGCCACAGGTTACAGTGTATGTATATCCAAACAAATAAGAAAATAACAATAATAAATACCTTTCCAATAAGTTGCATTGAACCCTCTATAATTATATGCATAGTCACTGGCAAACTTCATGTACATGTCAGGGGTGGTTGACATGTGAACAGGGGGTACCTGGGACCCTGTGTATTTATTGAACTCTGCGGAAGCTGGCCCATTTCCATCACGAAGACGCACAAAGTCATGAGGGTGTTCAGTTAAGAAATCGGAAAACTGAAAAATGTATAGTGGATTTATTTTGAACAAAGAAATCTATATATAAAACTAGACTGCTCCTGTTGTGGTCTATGTAGCCTAATGAGTAATTGATAAGTGTCTAAGATGAAAAAAATGTGTGGAACACATTTAACACTTCTAAAAGGTGTTCTACTCAAGAGGTGTTCCATTTATAGAGGTTCATCTATCATTAAGTCTGTTAGTCTTGGGACTCTGAAAGGTGTTCCACTTCTAGAGGTGTTCCACTTTAAGGTATCGTATTCATTTTTTATTAACTTTCCCATTGATTTTTATAAAAATCATTTTTTATAATCTTAATATTTTCAAATGGTCTATAAGATATGATACAATGGTAGAGAGAATGGGATAATTTTTCGTGATGCCTCTTCCAGTTACCTGCACTGTGATGATATCAGTTCTCGTTGTCTCCTCAATGTTCCAGATACACTCTGTACTATCAGGGTAGTTGGCAGGGTAGCCTGGTGATGTCACATGACGTTTCTCGGAAACAGCTGTCAAGCGACCGCCACAACCATCTGGCTGTACTGTAATTTAAATCATGATTGTTTTAAATGGAGTTGGAATACTGCTCTGCAGAGCTAGAGAGATAACAACGGTACATTTGGGTAGGGTGAAACATGGCAAAAGCGAGGTCAAAAATCTAAATAGCTTGGGCGATGGGAAATATTTTTCTAGACATAAGAATTTGTTATCTTATGATATTTATCCTATAAATGGACATATGAAAGTGGAGTTCAATTGTATTTAGGAATTTGAAACTCATTAAATGATATCTGAAAGTGAAAGGTGTGATACATAGCACCATATGAGGACACCCAAAGAGAAGAGGTCACAAATACAATATATAAACTCTTCAAACTTTCTAAGTGCCAAATAAACAAAACATTGTGACGATTCCACCTTGATCTCAGTAATCCAATCAAAAAAGGGTGTAACGATATAGCAGACAACTAAGTAAGTATTTGAACATTTGTTGACAGCATGCTGTTTCATGTTTATTTGCTACAGGACATGAGGTAATCATGTAACAAGAAATAGTTGAATGTGCGTCATTGTATCTTACGAAGAAGATTACATGTCTATTGAATGATTGCCTCAAGTGGAAATTGTGATTCTTTGATTGCATTTCACCTGTCGACTATACTTGCCCAAAAGATTCACTGGGTCCTTTAATCAATTTCTAATATCTTAAATATTTCTAAAATGCAAAATTAATTTGTTCATTACATTCAGAGTGTAACCCTTCTCCGTATTACCACACATCTTGTTTCCATATTTGGATATAAAAGTGGGACGCTGGGATGCTATTTCATTGATGGGATGTATGTCGCCACATTGTCTTAGACGAGATAAAACAATAGTCTGTTGGCACCTGTGTTAATGCTCATGTAATTATTATTTGTTAGCTCCAAAAGAAAAAGTCACAACAACTCAAGTCAGGGGAACTTCCATTGGCATTTAGCCCTTGCACTGATTTTTGCAGTTTTGAGATTTTACAAGATAACTACTTGTTGCGTTTTTTTTTTGATACGCCCTGTATATCTTTTCCATGTGGCCTTCATCACTACCTCTGTGGAAAAACTGTAATACCCAAATATGATTTTAGGATAATAGACAATTAGATAAAACATATGAAACTAAACCTTAACTACCAGTATAAATAAAAACTGAAACTAAACTTTTTGTCTAATTTTAGTTGAAAAGAATCCTCAGACATTTGAAAAAAATAAAAGCCATTGGTGTCATATATAAAAAGGACAACATAAATTCTATTGTGATTTTACTTTATAATCATTTTCTCTTGGATGAAAAATTTAAGACACTGAATTTTCACATGTTACAAAAGTTAGTGAGATTATTATTTAGAATCGAACATTAAATGAATGCACCATCTGAAGATAACAGCTAATAACTTCGAGTGATCACTGATATGAAATAAACATGTTGCTATCTTTGGGATTTATTAAATTGAAGATATCTCGAAGTCACGACTTTCAAATTGATTGTTAATAATTAACTGATACGCTTATGGCTACTCAGTTAACCTATCTCCTGTATATACATATCTGTCATGACCTTGGTGTTAGATAACAAATGGACTACTGGTTTTGTTAATATGTCCACTGTCTAATACTCCAATATAATAGGGGACGATGTGTCCTTGTGAGAAACAAATATAACAAGATTTGAAAATTCAACCCCCTCCCTCAGCTAAAAATTATTTTCAAAATCATGCAGTTTTACCATTTTGAGCATTTTGAGGATCCTTACCTGGAATTTATTAGAATTTGAAACCCCTTGTCAAAAGCTGACTTATGAATTTGACTAAATTCTTCCACAACTATTGATGTCTGAGTAGTGAATACAATGGCTTAGTCAATGTGAAGTGGTGATAGATATATGGTCCATGTAACAAAATTGCACAAACAATGTCAAACAACATCAAACAATGTCAAACATGTGTGGAGTGAAAACATATACCTACCAACACATACCCTGTTCTTCAGTCTTTACAATGAATACAAATAAGCACAACTCTTCGTCCATGTTAAAAATACATTTATTTTGTGCATTTTAATGTATATATACAGTACTATACAATAACCAGCATTCTCGACAAAATTAACAGCTTTAAAATGAGAAATTAGAGCTGATACTTTCAGTCCTTATTTCCACCAATTCAATATAATGCATGTTATAAGTTGCATTAAAATGGAAAAATTTATTGTATAGAACCATTTACCTAGCAACTACAACATAAATCATTCGTTTAAAATACTTGAACAGTAATTTATTTGTTTAATTGGGCATTGATCTCTAAAATATATTTCACATACTGTAATTCACTCAATCTGGGGTTTATTAACAAAAAAAATTGTAAATTTTAGAACTCCTAAATCAATTGTTGTAACCATGGATATAATGTTGTCATAGTAAGAGAACAATTAACTTTAAAATTTCTTGAAAGTTTCTGTTAATAACCCCCAGATTTATTTCGGAACATGCTTCGTAAAAAACACAATTTTTCATACTTATGAGTTTTATGACCACTCTGTATGATGTTGAATGATGAATATCCAAATTTATTTTATAATGTATTTTAGAACATGTGTCCCATTTAAATCTTTATAGTATAAACACTTCTAAAGAAAACAATCTATTTAAGCATTATGTTAAAACAACTTCGTCTAATTAAAGTTAAAACAATTCAATAAAATACATTTAATTACTACAAAACCCCATTTTATCCTAGATTACCCCCATAAATGTGGGGTTATTTTGAGGATTTTTAATATTTAGGATTGTTACTCAAAACAAATTTTGAGAAACAAATGTCTGAAATATCAAAAACCTCAAAATAACCCCACATTTATGGGGGTATCCTAGATATGTACTAAAACATTAATGCCTCTGACATAATTTGAATATTTGACGAAGCTTTATTTAAAGCATGCTACATTCAATGCATGCTTCATTCAAAGCATGCTACATTCAATGCATGCTTCATTCAAAGCATGCTACATTCAGTGCATGCTTCATTCAATGCATGCTACATTCAATGGATGCTTCATTCAATGCATGCTACATTCAATGTATGCTTAATTCAATGCATGCTTCATCAAATGCATGTTTCATTCAATGCATGCTTCATTTTTTTTTATTAATCATTTTTATTTCAAGTTCATATATTATAACATTTAATATCATACAATGAAAATTTAACAAGGTTAATCAATTTAACATTTGTGTTGAACTTCGAAGTAAATATACCATACACTAATATGCAATGCAATGCATGCTTCATTCAATACACAAGTTAGCACTCTATATTTAAAATGAGCTATGCTTGATTGATTGTAACAGTATACATTAATATTTTAAAGGGCCCTATTCTCCCTCATGAATTTTACAATGTCTTTTGAAATTTCCCTTGTATAAAAATGTCTTGGAACAGACATCACATTTATATTTATATCCTCCGGAGTGACCTAATTTATGTAGTTCCAGATCACCCTTACGTATAAAACCTTTTGAACATATATCACATTTGAAATCCTTTTCTTCAGTGTGTGTCTGCCGATGCATAAGATATATACCCTTGTATGCAAATTGTTTTGAACAAAATTCACATTTGAATTGGTTCTCTCCATCGATATTATGTATGCCTCGGTGCCTTTTAAAGCTATTTTTGCGTAAAAAAGTTTTAGAGCATAAGTCACATTCAAATTTATATTCTCCAGTGTGGGATAAGATATGTAGATCAAAATCAGATTTACGGATAAAACCTTTGGAGCATGTTTCACATTTGAAATCTTTTTCTCCAGTATGCATTTTAATATGTCGAACAAGGTCACCCTTACAACTAAATTCTTTAGAACAGTCACCACATTTGAATTGTTTCTCTCCAGTATGAATCTTGACATGTCTTTTTAGTTTAGACTTGTGGGCAAATGCTTTAGAGCAGGTGTCACACTTATAATTCTTTTCTCCAGTATGGACTAAAGAATGTGATTTAAGACTTTCTTTATGCGCATATGCTTTAGAACATATATCACATTTATATGGCGTTTCACCAGTATGACGAGATCTTATATGACCATCAAGAGTAGTCTTATGGGAAAAGCTTCTTGAGCACATATGACAATTAAAATCCTTCTGGGCTCGGTGGATTTTCATATGGATCAGAAGGTTACCCTTCTGTGCAAATGCACTTGGACATATGTCACATTTATAAGGCTTTCCACCAGTATGGAGTAAAATGTGTGTAGTAAGACTTGCTTTGTGTTTGAATTGTTTTGAACATATGTCACATTTAAAGTCGTAAACTTCAGAATGGACCTTTGAATGTTCAAGGAGATGGCTTTTTTGTGTAAATGTTTTGAAGCATACATTGCATTTGAAACTTTTTTCTCCAGTATGAATTTTAGAGTGTAAATTCAGAGTAGACATATGTGCGAACATTTTCAAACAGACTTGACACTCAAATTGTTTTTTAAGAGAGTGGTTTTTGACATGAATATCAAGCCTATACTTTGATATAAACGCTTTATTACACTGCCCACATTTAAAGTCCTTTTCACTAGGCCTAGTGTGAATTATAATATGCTCTTTGAGGTGGCTATTTCGAATAAATGATTTTGAACAATAATCACACTTAAATGGCCTCTCACCCGAATGAACCTGATTATGTTTTCCCAAACTATACTTTGATGTAAAGACTCTGAGACAAATATCACACTTATAAGGACTATCCTTGGTGTGATTTCTAATATGTGATCTAAGAGAAGATTTATGAGCAAATGTTTTTGAACAAAAATCACACTTGAATTTTTTTTTACCAGTATGTACTTCGGCATGCATAACCAAATTACCCTTACCCTGTGGATCTTTGCATTTGTGAAGCCTGACTTGGGCTCCATCATGCACATGGAAGTGTAATTCAAGTGTTGAAATACAAGGAAATGTTTTAAAACAGACCTCACAATTATGTTGCTTGTTCAATTTTGCGATTTTACCAGCGTTAGACATTTTTGTAGGTAGGTGTATCACCAGTTTTTATTGTCCGTAATTTGTCTACAGATACCTTTCAACTAAAAGCACTTCAAAGTCAGGCGATGATAAGAGATAGTGGGTCAGCGTACCAGCATGAATACAGCAGATTTGCAGTCAACAGTCTAGATACGTTACATCAGTGTAGATCGGTGTGCATCAGCATAGATTGGGGTACCTAAGTATAGATTTGGGTACATCAGCGTAGATTGGGGCACATCAGTGTAAAGGGTACATCTGCTAAGATTGGGTGCATCAGCAGTGTAGATTGGGGTACATCAGCGTAGATTAGGGTACATCAGCGTAGATTGGGATACATCAGCATAGATTGTGGTACATCAGTGTAGATTTTGGTACATCAGCAGAGATTGGGATACATCAGCGTAGATAAGGGTACAACAGCGTAGATTGCAGAACATCAGCGTAGATTGTGGTACATCAGCGTAGATTGTGGTACATCAGCGTAGATTGGGGTATATCAGCAGAGATTGGGATACATCAGCGATTATATGATTGGCGTACATCAGCGTAGATATGATTACATCAGCAAAGATATGAGTAGACCCTCATAGATTAGAGGCATTTATGTCTATATCATCAATACCACTTAGACCAATTCACCTGGTTTCCTGGATTACTTATGTTCTAAATGAACTTCCCAACTTTACACAAGTAATGCCCAGTCTTTTTTAGTGTTTTATTTGTCAAATTGCTAACCTGGATAATCGACAAATATTATTTTGATTCCAAAATGTTTATTCCTCTGGTTTCATAAATGAAATTCACTCCTTCTCTCTCTTTCCATTAAGAGTGTTCTGTCCACTTTATGTTACAGGCTGAAGACTAAAATATCTTTACATGTAACAAATTACATGATATATTAACACTGATCTTTTGAACACACTGCAAATTGCAATCAATGAAGCCATGGAGTGTTTGTAAAGTAAGATTAACAACATGTCAACTCAACACATGGCCATATGGCTAATTTCCCAACCAAAGAATTTCATTTTAAGATCAAGTTTGTCTCTCTTATTCTCAAATACATGAATGGACTTAAAATAAATAGGGTACATAATTTTAAAATTATCAACATCATAATGACCCAATAAAATAATTAATATTTACTATTTATGTTATTTAACTAAAAGGAAAGGAAGAATGTGTTACAAAGATATCATTGAATGGCATTGCAAACAGTGTAATTGCTCATGGGAAGTCTTAAAGGCCCCATGTAAAGTTAAAACTACTTTTGCTTATATTGTAGTCTTACCAAATGCTATTTTGAAAAGTTGTTTTTGAAAGACTTTTTCTTCAAAAATTGTGAATTTATTGAAATCAAAATTAAGTTGTTGTACCTTGACTTGTATTTAAATTAAAGCCTTTTTGATGTAATGGACAGAACTGAAATATGAAACTTTTGTGTACATGTATTTGTACTTCATGTATTTTGATGAATTTTGGAGGACTGACACACATTCATTTATAAAAAGTGTTAATAAACATTTAGAAAACTAGTTTAAAAAAAAAAGTTTAAAAAGAGTAAAAAAAATTGAAATAGCTACATGTTATTGGTTACTATATACGATTATTCTCGTTAAGTTTTCAAACAATCTGCAATGATTTAGATTTTCAAGCTCTAAATCAACACTAAATGATTTTTACCACCCAGTGCCTCTTAAGCATGACTTTAAACAAAAACTGTCAGAAGAATCAGACATCTGGCTCACTAGCATGGAGTTTTAATATGGAGGTTTCCATAGATGTGTGATGCATTATTACATGCGAAAAGAATTGGTGACCAAAGAAAATATTTGGGACCAAAATTTGCCTCCCTCTACATTAATGGGGAACAGAAGAAATACATACAACAAACTGACATTGCTGGGTATATTTCTTAATCAAATTATTGACAATAATTTCATTTATGGCAATGTGAGAGTCGGTTAAGGTTTAGGTATGAACAAGCCCTGAGAAGACCATTCCCCGGTTATCCCAGGTAAATGTTTCTGGTAAGTTACACTGAACGAAACATCAAGCTTTAAATCTCGAGAGTGCGAGATGAGACTTCAGACGAGATATCGATAGGATTGTAGTTGGAGGGTTTTTCTCCCTAGACCCTAGGTGCTTAAAAAATCCATTAACATCAATGTAAGTTATACATTTCGATTCTTTTCCCTCACCTCCTTCCCCAGCTTACACCACCAGTTGGAGATTTATTTTCGCCAAAGAAAATGAGTTGGAGATGGTATTATAATATATCCAATTGAGCTAATTAACAGTTATGTCAAATTGTAAACTCTTGAAGCTAATTAACTTAAATTAGCCATTAATTTCCTAGGTATTGTATTTTGTGTTAATTGGCCCAATATTTATTTATATTAATTTTATATTAATAATTTTACATGTACGACTCTCACGGCCATATTTATACTCTACATGAACATAAATAATTTTGTGTCTAATTCTATTTTTCAATTCAATTTTTAGGCCCCTCTCCCATTTGATTTCCAGCACCATCCCTGAGGAGATGGACAAAATAAAATATTTAAAAACTTACCGGCAACCCAAGTTGCTCTGAATCCCCTGCGGTTATCTGCATGATCGGAAGTGAATTTCACTTGGAGCAAATTTGAGGCACTTAATCCGACAATTGGAATCTGCTGGCCCCAATATTGACCAATTTTCTCCCGATTGTCCAAAGAACCCCTGATGTCATAAACACTGACTGAATCAAAATAAGGCTCGGTTTCCATGTCTGTAAACTACAAAACACAATAGTAATAAAGTATTATTAAATTTATGTGAATGTATATAAAATATCATTAAGTCATATGAATGTATATAAAATCATTTATTTGTAAAAGTGAATGTAAATAAAATATTATGTTACATCAAATTATTACATCTGGTCTTACTTTAAAATAGTTGAATTTTTTAAATTGTTGAAAAAGTTAATTTTTTCTTTACCAGTATTTATCAAAAATGAATTCCTGTACATGTATATCCAAAATAAATTTTCTTAAACTTGTATCTTTACTCAAACATCCCCCCCCCCTTGTGACACATATGGTGAATGTTTGAAATGAACTTACAGTAAGCTGGACTTTGTACCCAAGGGGGGCTTCAATGATCCATTCACAGTCTGCATATGGTTCGTAGGGGTTTGGGTAGTTTGGGGACTCAATAGTGCCCTGGAGCCCTTCCTGTTTGCCACCACAAGATGCTGTAATGCAACATCAAAAAAAATGTACAGTAAAACATGTATATCCTCATTATCCCGACACCTCATTATCCTGACACCTCTCTAATCTGAAAACCTCTCAGTGTAAATCCTCATTTGGGTTCTATAGACATCCATGTTAAAAATATTGGAAATATGAAAACCTGCTAATCCGAACACTTTCATGGTATTCAGATTAGATAATTTATGACATCGGGGCTGCTGGTTGGAGATGATAATTTAGGTTTTCTTTTGATGTTTCTCAACATGTAAGAACCAATATATTTTATATAGCTTTATTGATCTTTCCATTTTGTACCATACTGGATAACTCAAAATTGGTGAGTTTAATATAGCACCCTGTTAAGAACACTAGCATGTATTGGACATGTACATGTATTTCTGGCCTGGTGGCTGAATTGGAAAATAAAGTTTAGGGGGTTGTACTTTTTTAACCTATTTACTTAGCATCTTGGGAGAGATTTCATGAGATTTAAACTGTAGGGCATAAAAAATGTTTATTATGAATCAACCAATGAGATTGCATGATTTCAATAACATGACTATTATTTCCATATATCATAATTACTCACTTGCACAGTTGATTTCATCAGATCTATCATCGCAATCCTGGAATCCATCGCAAACCCAGGATGCCGCGAGACATTTCTTTCCATCCAAGCACCTAAACTGACCCTCAAGACAAGCTGTCGTCTCACAAACGAAGAACTTCTGCTCCTCACACTCCGTGAACGACCAGCGGAACTCTTTGCTGATTTCTACGCCTGTATCTACACCCCCCACAGTGTCAGACCAGGAGAAGTTAGCTCCATATTGCATGTTTATATCAACACATTTACCTGGAATGAAACATTTTGTAGACATATTTATTTATGGGGATGTGCCAACAATATTGCTGAATGATGGAAAAGTGTGCAGTGCCAAATTAGACTTATTAATCTTTATACTTAAAATGATACTTAATCTAGTATTAAAATACTACAAAATGTGTAAAGGTGTAAGAATAGACATATCTTAATCTAAGTTATCTGTCAAACTCTTAAATCTACAAAGGGGTGCAAATAAATCAGCCATCATTGGTAACTACTAATTCATTCTAAAAGTATTATAGTTTATATAAATATGTATATAAAGTCCCCTCTTACCTGTGGCCAAGTCAGGTTGTCCAGTCATCCAAAATCCATCATAAACACTGGCTGTCTCTCCTGTTTGCCATGTGCAGCCAGTTGAATTGTTTTCACAATTAAAGCCTAAAATTAAAAAGAATCAACTATTGATTGAAAAATCTAAAGGAATTCTGGATTCTGGAAAGTTATAATGAAAGTATTAACAACATGTGTTATGTGATAAATTTTAAACAGATTCTATTGCAAAAATCCATACATGTACACAGTGTACAGTAATGTAAAACACAACTAGACCTATGTTTAAGATTTTTAAGATTATGCTTCACTACCTCATAGCTTCATAGCTGATTAAAAGGATGCTAGATCATTAGTCAGAATATCAGTTGAAGTTAAAAAGCAATACAAAAAATGCTCATTGCATTGCTTTAATAAGTTCTCGACTAAACTAAATCAAATCTTTTAAAATACCACACATTTTCATATTTCTCCTAGAAATTTTCACCGAAAAACTACCTGATAATACAAAAATACACCCCCCTCTAAGGAAAAAAAGTTGCCAAACTTTTCTAGGGGAGTGTATGTCAACTAACCTGACCAAAAAGAGCTGAGAAGGTTGTTGACCTCCGACTCAGTTTTTCCCTCTATAGTGGTAGAGAGTTGTCGAAAGAAATCCAACACGCCCGTACCAACAAATAGATTCTTGTTCTTATCATTGATCGTCACTAGCGTACTGCCATACCTGAGTAAAATGAATAATAGAATGATAGCATAGATGTCATCAGAGACACTTGACAGGACTTACATATATTTTGGAATTATACTGTAAATACTTTTTTGAAAATATACATGTTTCATTTTTCAAAAGAAATAAAGTCGGGTTATCCTTATTTGTCATTCAACTCTTAGTTTTTTACCTCTGTATTATGTAGAAAGTGTGAAAATATATTCTTATTATTCAACTATTATTTCTTGTGATTCTTATTATTTTCACAGTGCCACTATTAACATTAAGCAAAAGTCACATGGTTTCAAACATTAACAGGGCTTTTTTCTCATAAGATTGCACTTGTAATAATAGATACAAAAGTAAGTTTCTGATTTCCATGACTTCCTAAAATCTGATGTGTTGTATAGTTTGGAATAGCCCAATAGAACTAAAATAAACCTATGGCAGGAATGCTCCAGAATTCATAATGATCTTCATAAAATGGAGAATACATAGAGAGAGGTTCATTTATAAATTTTGGGATATTTTGTCCTCTAAATAAACCTACATTAGGAAAACATTCTTACCTGACACATGTTTCCCTGGCCTGTTCCCAGGATATTGAAGTATTGAAAACTTTAAAACATTTGTTTGCCCTGGTGTCCCAGCCTGTAATAGAAGTAATATACATTATTATATCATTGCTAGAAATCATGTGATTTGATTTGCTGATTTAATGGAAGTAATAAACAATATCAAGGTATATCTGCATAGTGAGGATTTTTAGGAATTTTTATAAATATACAAACTAATAATTGATGAAATAAGTAATATTTTTCAACTTTTATATTGGTATCACATTTTATATGGTAAACAGGCTAAATTCTTCAAAACCTAAAAAACCTAAAAAAATATTTTAATCATATTTTGAAATAACATTTTGTGAAACGGTACACCTATGTTTAGACATTGAGGGCCCATTTCCTTTTCAGTAAAGGTGTGTCAGTAGATCTGCAGTGAATTGGCTTTTAGCTAAATAAAAGTGGACTTTTCATCCTCCCCCGATAAATTACTTAAAAATAAAAATAAGTAACAATAAATTGGGTTCCATCTCTTGCGAATGAAAGAAAAAAATCCTGGATCCAGTCAAAATATTCTAATGAGCAGTCAAAATATTCTAATGACATAAAATTAAGTGCCAAACTGGGATATAAATTTCTAATAATTCATTTGTCAGGAAAATTAGAAGTAAACAAGCATCATATACTTGACCTGAGTGAAGTAAATCTACTTAATTCTGCATTAATTTCAACAACTAAGATATCAAACACTTTAAACGATTAAAGAAAAATAACCTTATCAACATAATTGTATTTAATTTTGTTCTAAACATATTCCCAAGAAGACATCACAATATCCATGTCTTCAAGCATCATTGATTCTTCACACACAAGTGGTTATTTGCCACATTAATAGGTAAGACTCACCATCAGGGCACTTGAAAAAAGACTGTCCATTGTAGAAGTCCAAATCAAATGTGTACTGCACATCTTGGCACTGGCTCTAAAATCAATAAAACATAAAAGTGAAACAATTCGGATCCCAACTGTCAATCCACTTTTCAGTTTTGTCAACTTCATTTTGAAATTATGAGGCTAAAGACAGATAAGTTTTAGGGGATAATGACAGAGTGACTTTAATTTGTGGATTTGCTAAACCAGATAATTAACCATGGACAACATGTTGCACAAAGGAAAACAGGAGTCTTCTAATGTAATAAACCAGGAACGTTCCTTTCAATTTTAAAATGAGTTGTAAACCATAGTCTATTAGATCTATTTTTAAATGTTAAGGTTTTAAATTACATGTATAATCTATTCAAATTATATCACTGTTGAATTATATATCTGCTTCATATGGGCTTACATACCCCCATAAAGAGGCTATGGAAAGGGTTTGGGCGTGCAGCGTTTTAGTGGATTTTGATTGAAAGAGAAACGTGAAATGCAAGTCCTGCAGGCCCATGCAGACGTTCATGAAGTTAACCCCGTGCATCGTGAAGTCAATAAACATTGCCTAATATATACATCGTATTTTGAATTATGAGACCTCCGTGACTCTGTTCAGTCTCGTTATTTCGTGCTACTTTTTCAGAATAAATGAAACTTCGTTCAGCGAGAATACATTTGATCCTACGTTCACTTTTGTTATACACCAGTGATTTCGCTGAGTCTGTGTTTCGCCATTGGACGGTTGGTTTAGCGATTTATTTAATGCTGTGAAACGTGAATGTAATGATATTTGATCTTCGTGAAACGTGATTGTAATACTTTGATGATCAAGGACGTGAAATGTGAAAGTAATTCTGATTTAGTAACGTGCCACGTGAAAACATATTATCACCTGACGTGATTATGTGACAAAACCCCCTTTCCATAGGCTCCATAAATGCTCATGATAAATGTGAGGTTATTTTGAGGTTTTTTATTATTTTTAAAATAATAATTTTAAAAAACTCATTTATGGGGGTAGGCTTACAGAGACATATAAAACATGTTTTCTGTCTCTGAGTACAGTGGGGGACAAAAATAAAACTCAACGTTCACAAGTTGTCACAATGAGCTAATTTACAAGATTCGTGTCTCAAACTCTCCCAAGCAGTAGATAAATAATTCCTGTTCACTAAAGTAGCACAATAAATGAATCCAAAGCTTCATACCTGCAAATAATGGATAAATCCCTACCAAATCGAATGAATGTTTTCATGAATCGCCATGTTTGTTATCCAAGGACGGTTGACTCCCAGAATGCAACATCAGTTACCGTATTTACTCATGACAGGTTTCAAAATGGCGGAACAGCATTTTGAAAGCTGGCACGTGTCATGTTGCATTCTGGGAGCCAATCCTCCGTTCCAGCGCAATCGGGCGACAAAATCACCTCAACATTTGAAGAGTCGGCATAACATGTGAATATCAACTTCAACTTTTGAAGTTCTTATTTGTCGTTAGGGACACAAATTCCACTATATTTGGACTTACTCAGACGGAGAAAATAGAGCACTGAATACACTGAGGTAAGAAGGTAGTACATGTGCGACAGCATGTAATTTTCATAGCTTTTGCAATTCTTTATGATCCCCACTGTAAAGCTCATGCAATGTAAATTCATGTTACTGATGCAGAGTTTTTACTGAATTCACAATAGTACCCAACGCACTGAAATTCCAAAGTTGCAATGAAAACCACCAAAATACTATTTAGTAGTCAGTCAGAGGCACGATCGGACTAAATTAGTGCTAGGAGACTGGTATTCATGCCCATTATCACCCACGAGTTTTCAAATTCTTTAAAGTATATAATAAATCATGCGTATCGTGAGTTATTAAATTGCAGGGAGTAAAAATTACCATACCTCGTATATTCAAAGACTTATAGAAAATAAAGTTTTTCAAAACTTACGCAGTAGACTGTATAAAACTATAAAATGACGAACATTTTCTCGGAAATATTTTTTCATTTTTTTCCGGCCAGCCTCGTTTTGAATTTCCAATTAGCCCGCGAATTTCAAAACTTTGCAACTTTTACTATTGGTCTTTAGATTAAGACTTGACCATACTATGTTTCGATCTTCATGGGCTTTCAATAGATTCCATCTTCTATTAAATTATCAACGTGTATGCAGATAATCATGTTTTTATTTTTGGGTTATTTCTTTAAATCGTACATGAAAAGCACAAAACAAGATTTTCCTTGGAATGTGAAGCATTTCTTCTATAATTTTGAAAACCCAAGACAATGTATGTATGCAATATGGGAAGTTGCCCACCCTTCTATTGAAACCCCGTGTAGTTACCTCTATCAAAGAAGGCTGTGGCTGATTCTCATACATACGTTTCAAAATCTAGCATGACTCTCGAAGTAATATAAGTTAATAGTAGTAATTGTATTCTTACTTCAGATGTAACTTACAGACTCCATAGACTTGAACATAAATATTTTCTGTCTTCATTAACGTTTAAAATCCATACATGTAGAACTATTGAAGTCATTGCCTTTTGAAACTTAAAAATGTGCAAGTAGTTTTTTTCAACTTGGAAATTGTTCTACTGCTTGCAAGGAAAATCGATTTTCTCAAAAGAGGGTTTCTATTCAAGTTCATTGACTTTATGAGACTTACAAGCACTTACACTATAAGTCACATATCAATATGAAATAACATGTTTAGGACTATAAGGATGAGGAACACAGCTTTTATAGAATACGGCCCTTTAATCAGCTGTGAAACGTAACAGAGAATAAAATTCAAACAACAAATTGACGGTCGAAATATTTTATTACATCATGTCACAAATAAAGTCATAAATTGATGTCAGATAGTGGAGTACCACATATTTGAAACAGCACTTCTCAATAACGTACACCTTATCTATCAACTCAAAACGTTTTCCTTATTATTTGTAGACGGTATGCCTCGCTGTTCAAAAAAAAGGTTTAAGACCCGATCTTGTGTGGGAAGGGATAGGCGTTGAATAAAGATGTTGATGAAGACGAACATCTAATCTACATGCCATCTATATTAAGAGGAATCTTAGTTGAGTTACAAAAAGACATACCTCCGTAGTGTACTATAATCTAAATATTAAACACAACGCATTTGATAATTGAAAATTGGAAAGAATAAAGTGTGTACAATTTTGGAAGTAATATTTTCAAAAGTGCCAATGATTCTCAGACAATTTGATTCGGTCCTTTTCAATATTCTGAAATAAAGCTGACACAGATATTTGAATATACAGTAAAACCTGTCTTAGTGAACACCTCTCTCTAGTGAACGCCTGTTTCAAGTGGACGCCCTTCCTTCGCACATACTGACGTGTCGCAAAAAGGTGGCGCATTTGTTTTTTAGGGGTATCGCGTGAATGTAACTTTGATTCCCCGGATTATAAAATAATATTCTAATTAAAGTTGTATATCATTTTAAAGCTCTTTCGATGAAGTTTTTAGATCAACTACACTCCGTTCACAATTCTTGCGCGTTCTTTTTTAAAAAAATAGTTTTTTACCAAAACATCTGGCAAATATTCCCTGTTGACACGTTACATTTTGAATTATTTTTCGTCTTTAAACGCTCATAACTCAAACAATATATGACTATTATACTTATTTTTCGTCTTGATAAAGGTAGATAGAAGTTTTATTTCAAAGGATGAATTTTAGTAAGCGTCCCATATTGTGACGTCATAGAGTTTGAAAAATAGAATCTGTTGACAGCGACCTTTTCTGCTCATTTTTTTGTTCCCTCAACTTTTCAGGTGTACATTAAACAAAGAATACGAGATCAATTTTTAATAAATCATACATGATTATTTTGCTCCTTAACTCTAGTTTATTAATAAATAGTTGATTTTGTTCGCAAAAGTATGTGTTTTCTGTTGTATGTGGAAAAGTGGAGGACGAAAGGTTTTCAAAATTCATCAAAATAGGGCTAATTTACGCCATTCGCCTATTTTCAAGCACAGCAACACGTATATTTATTTCACCTAAAATATCAATTGATTCGTGTTTTATGATGCTCCTAGCCCATTAACAATATATATATATGATATCAGAGTTATTCGTCTAAAATGTTTTGAGATAGAGAGGTAAATGTGGAGGACGAAAGGATTTTCATTTGTGTACATTTTTCTCAAAAACGTCACATTCTACCATGCTAAAAGCGAGGATCCTCTGGATTACGCCACAAAATGTGTAACAATGCGTGCGCGAGCTTTTTGCGATACATCACTATATTGACTTCTGCAAAAATTATTAAATTACCCTCCCTCAACAGTTTCACGATTTAAGGGTAGTAGCCAAAATTTGGATTTTTATTGTACGTATCTCTCTGCAGTAAACACATATCAACACTTAACATTTTTCCCGGCAAAAAAAACTTTGAAATTCTGACTAATTAAAAAAATAGTCTAAAAACTTACCTGGTATACAAAAGTAAGCAGGAAAATACACACACATCTTAACCCCCATCCGGGTCCTTCCATAATTATTTCTTTAGTTCACGTCGCTGCAAATTAAATAATTCCATTTAACATGGCTTTGGCTTAATTATTGGTCCACATAGTTTCAAAAAGTGTGGAAATCCTCATGCGACCATGATACATTATTTCACTTTCGGAGCAACTCCACAAATTCACTATTAGTACTTTTAGTTCAATGCAGACTCCAGTGTCACAAGTGGTCAATCATGTTCTTAACAAAGATATTACCGAATTTTGTTTTTATATCCAAGTTCAAATTTTATATTCTTCCAATATTTATTTTCCGACTCTTATAAGTGCTTTTTATGTTTTCTCTCCATCCCTTTGTAAGTTAAAACCCGTAACTTTATTAAATGTTACAATGTGTAACACCTAATGTGTTATTACAAACTTTTGATACCAAAATCGCTTGCTAAAATCGTTAAGGAAAATATTAATAGAAATTGCTAAATGATTTTATAAGTGTCCCAATATAACCACTCCAAAATCGTGAGAGTTTCATGTACAAAATAATAATATAAGTGACTTTTATACTTGTCAAAGTAAATATAAAATGCCAGTAAAATATCAATGTAAAAATATATGCAATAAAAAAGGTTTCTTTATAGATTTGAAACGTTATAATCGGATGGCAAAGAAAGCTTAGCCAAGCGTTTTGTACTTACCAAAAACGTATACACCTTTTTTAATCCAATACCGATTGCTACATCATCCTTGCGTATAAGTCTTAAATACGTTACTATGGCAATAAAATCCTCTTTGTTACTTAGGGAACCTCGGATCACGAACAACTCTCAAATGGATACAACTAATTGCACAATATTGGCAATAACCTTTGTACCAGTTTTAAAGTCAACGTGTGCTAAAATTGTCACAATAAATTCCTAAGTATCCAAGATCTCTGTGCTTTGTTCTTCTAGCACTAACTCCCGGAGAGGTATTGATCTTAGAACGATGGAAGAAAAGTAAACTCTTCAGAAAATTTTCGATCCTTTGACGTCAATCAATTAATCAAATAGGCTCTTTGACGTTTCGGTAAAGAAATGCCAAACTGGTCAAACATGGACTAAGCACTCGTGCCTTTTAAGACTTTACATTCAGGGTGTGGTACTGGACATTTTACTTGGCTACTATCGAAGTACTCAGCTTTATTTGTCCTCGGAGATAAACTTGGGAGATTTTAATACGAATTCCTGCTAGTATCATATCTGGGGTCATAAATAATTGAAATTAAATATCAATGTCCAAAATTGCACTTATTCAAACCTACCATTTTGAATTATCAAATTCAACTTAATGTACTGGATTTCATAATTTTCTCATGTAATAGATGTATGTTATATGTGGCTGATGTTCTTCATTGAACCTATCAATCGAATTGGTGATGTTTTAACTGAGCGAAGCGAGTATATACATTTACATGAATAAAGAATTTAATTTTCAAATAAAGCAAAAGAAAACGTTCTTATCAATTATGCCTTTTGTTATTTATGCTTGTATTTTTGTAATTAATAGAGTCGATGCCACTTTTTTAATGTCACATTCTATTGTACGCTTATCTATGGTGTCAATTCCATGACAAGTTTCAGATAATGTTAAATTAATCTGCGGCTACTTTATTTGATACTCCACCTAGCTACACATTTAAACGTGAGGAATGCCATTTCCCATGAAGATATCTAACTTAAGAGGAAATCACGAGGGAGTGCTTAAATGTAGTATGGTACAAAAGTTCATTTACCCTCCCAACACTTACACGGAGAAACATAAAACATACGATTTCGTAAGTCAGATAAGTGGATGAATATTGTCGCATGTGTATTATGTATAGCTCTGTTTTAATATATTTTGGTCAATGATAAATCCATTTTACATAACATTTGTACTTCAACCTTAAGACAAATGAATTTCTTATAAATCAAGATCGTAAGATATTACGTGTAATGGAACCCTGTTTATGACATTATCAATTAGAAATATCTAGTTTTATGAATATATAGAAGTCTAGCTACAAGTCCCTGTGAGCGCCTCCCCCCACAAGACACCTTCCCACAAGTTGTGTTTTGTTGGTGAAGTCTTGAAGCAAGACAAAACATAAAGTACATCTGACCCAACCAACTCAGGTAGCATATTTTATTTCCGTGATCGGGTCTATCACCAAAAGGATCATTCAGCAGTTCAAAGGATTCTTACAGACTTCTAGCAAGCAAATCACTATTATGTTTGATTGTGTCTCTGAATAAGTCCTTTCCTTGTGTCCTGTTGTACAATATTGTCATACCCTGGCAGAAAGTGACACAGGTTCTGCGCTTACAATGTGACGTAATTACTTCACAAAATCAATAATTTTCCCCGAAAAAGGTGAAGGAAATGTCAATAGAAACAATGTCAATATATATTCTGTAAAACTTATATTAACAGATGCACATTTATTACAAAAAAATAAGATTCAAACGTTTTATCAATATATTTAGGCATTTGGAAACAAATAAGTTCTGCCAAACTTAACAAATCTTTCACCAGAGGAGTAAATGTGAGTGGATTAAACATTGGTCTTTAAATAAAGACCTCAATGCCCACCTTTCTTTATAATACCTAAATTACATATCTTTGTACTGTTAGAATAGACCAATCTGGTAAGTCACCTAGCACCTATTGTTTATGATGTCATTTTAGTTTCGGGGCAGAAATAGGATTAACGTATAATTTTCAATTTTGTTCAGAAACTTGCAAAGTTTGACATCACAAATCTAGTCAAACTAGGAGGTGAACTTTAATTGTTCTCATGCTTGAGTTGGTTTAATTTTCTTACTTTAACTCCTGATTTTGCAATAACGGGTATTTATTTTCGTAGATAATGCTTTTTTAAAATGCCAGTAAAGAATGGAGTGTAAAAATAAATAAAAATAGGCATGACGCATGACGCGGAATGTCCCGAGCAAAAAAATATTGTAATATTTTGATAATATTTTCAGCTCGTCTTTGTTGCCCCTTTGTTATAAGTGCACATCTATTTGTAGTCTTTTGAACAAACAATTTCTCATTTATTCAAGGATTTTCTGAACAAGTTCTTTAAAACCTGTAATGGGAAAACATTAAATCAACGAAGAGACAATAATCAAATAAACGTATTTTCAAATATGTGCGAAATGTGATTCTTGCAAGAAAAGTTAAGTTCTTGTTTGTGATATTTCAAAGGGACAGAACGAAATTCATTCATATCCTAGCGAATGTTAACACGAGGTTCCTGGAACTTTATTTGCTGTAGATTAAAATAGAATATACAATACTTCAGGCCCACACTACACAGGCAATTTTTTCCATTACATTTTCTGTAAAGAATGGCTATCTTTAAAAAATCGTTACGGAAATTCATTAAAGAAACTTTGCAGATTTGATACATTTGAAGAATCTGTACAGTTTTTATTTCTTTAATGATTCTGCAAAGAAATCTCATTACAGAAAAAATACAAATTCATTGCAGAAACTGTGAGGGTGTTGATCTGTAAAGAATCAATAAAGAAATTCTCAACAGATTCTGTAAAGAAATAACAACATTGAAAATTCTGTAAAAATGTCTTTGTCATTGAAGATTTTGCAAAGAATACACTTTACAGAAAAATAGATTAAATTCAAAAAATGTATGGATGATGATCTCAGAGAAGCAATATCCTTTGATTATTGTGTATAGATCAGATGAGGCCCATAACCCGGGGAAGGGGCTCAGTCAACCCTTCTGATATCTCGTTAAAGATATGTGGACCTACATTTGTACACCTTTTGCCAAAAAAGTGCTGAAGGGCCTTAAAGTGCTGAAGGTCCTTAAAGTGTTGAAAGGCATTAAAGAGCTTTTTGGCCTTGTTTTAAAAGAAAATTGGCCTTATTTTTCAAAAAAATCCTTGCAAGCGCAGAATATGGTTTGCCATTCGGTCCCCTCCAAGATTTGGGAGGGGGGATGTTAGACCTCCTCCATACCCAAAGCTGGCTGAATATCACTTCTGAAACTATCACTTTAATGGTTTGGGGATTTTTTGCTAAGATTATATATGATAATGATATCTTGATCCACATATCATGAAATATATCTTCACGTGATATTCGATGTATATCCTTGCAACCATGGGATTAAAGGTAGGTATCCACCACAGTGGCGGATCCGGGGGGGGGGGGTCCATGCCCCCCCCCCCTAAGTTGGGCCAGAAAAAAAGCTGGTCCTTAAACAACTTTGGTCCAAAAAGGCCTTAAGGCCCGAAAAGTGGGCCTTTTGGTCATTACTGGGCCTTCTAAGGCCTTATTTTTTAATTTCAGGCCAAATTTTGAAGAATATGGGCCTCAAAATTTGAAAATTTGGGCCAACTATTTTTCTCTGACCGTAAATTTGACCCCCCCCCCCTTGTTGGTTCCTGGATCCGCCCCTGCACCAGGAGGGATTTGATATGGGGAATATCAAAAGAATGATATCAAGAGTTTCATTGTAAAATTATATCCTCAATAAATCAATTGAAATTGTAAAAATTGAAATACTTAATTAGGGTAAGCATTTTTTGTAGTTTTAGTTTAGTTTTTTTTAAATTTTTAAGTAACTATTAAAATGCTTAACAATGTTTTACTTCATATGATATTAGGTAAGCTTTAATTAATATTTATTTAGATTCCAGAAATGACTACAAATATTTTTTCTAAATACTGAAGTTTTTAGTTTTAGTGGGAGAGAAATCCCCGGGATCGATGTCTGATATATAAGTTAACGTTTCGTTCAGTACACACATCCTGGTATCTGGGAGTTGGAATATCGCCCATTACAAAATCAACTAAAGTTTTATCTTCGGATTATACATTGATCCAGAAGGTCAGTTTATAAGGTGTCATAGATGGGATTTAGTCGTCAGACAATATGACTAACTATCAGGAACATGTAGGCTTTAGGATTTTAAGCTGAAAAGCACTGACGGAGATAATATTACAGATAGAAGTCAGAATATTCACTGAACAGCGGAAATTCCCAAAAATATTCGTAAGCTTACAACGTCCTGAATTTCGCGGAGGACGGGAAGTAAACTTTATGCTTCACAGATCAACTATGTTTCCTGTGATATTATGATAAATTGAACTTAATGGTTCACAGTTCAATGGTACAATACGAGTGCAAGTAGACTATATGACTTTGCTACCCGCCCCAGGCTACCCGCCTTACTATTAGATCGCTATATTCTAGTGATCATGACAAAGTTTACTCGACCTTCGGATTTTGAAATCGAAAGATAGCAGAATGGCTGACATGGTGGGATAAAGTCTAACACACAAGAAAACAAGCATTTTAGTACAAATCCTTTCAATTTGCTGAACCTGTAGAGTCTGTGGATATTTTATGGGGCATAACGACGTAAGTAGATACTTGCTTATTTTATTGGTACAGTGTATATCGTTTGCTCATTTCAAAGGCACAATAGGCATATACCCGTTTATTCATATCATTGGTACAGTGCACGTTTAGCTGTTTGCTCATTTCATGGGCACAGTACACATGTAGCTGTTTGCTCATTTTATGGGCACAGTGACATGTAGTGTTTTGCTCATTTCATGGGCACAGTGACATGGAGCTGTTTGCTCATTTCATGGGCACAGTGACATGTAGTGTTTGCTCATTTCATGGGCACAGAACCAACGTAACTGTTTGTTCATTCATTGATAAAGTGCATATTTAGCTGTTTGCTCATTACATTGCTACAGCAGGGTTCGAACTTAACTTTTCAGACTGGTAGTGAAAATAGTTACCTGACATTTTTTCTAGGTAACTAAATTCCAAAGTAAGGTAGTTTTTTTACCGGTTGAAAAAATTTCGATAGACACAGTTTTCCTTGACACTAAAAACAAATCTATCAATCTGTTGATCTCAAGTTTATTATAGTTTACAAAATAAACCCTCCCCCTTTAATATGACATTAAATAAGATATAAAAAGAACTGGATCATACAGGACTATCCTTCTTTCCAGAATGATAGATATAGATATATTTGCCTCAAAAAATAGTATTTTTCTGACTCAAAAGTAAATAGAATTAGCTTTAAAAGACCTTAGAAGAATGTTTCAAGTCAATCAATTCAGAGAAAAGATGTTGTCTTATGAGAACATAAACATTGGTAGTCATGTGATCAGACCAAATTATAATAGACCAATCATGTTGTTTCAACATTCAAATTTAAATTTCCCACTATAATAAACATTCCTAAGTGGCTCTAAGTGAAAGGTCAACCTGCTTAATTTATGCAGCTGTTGCGTTTTAGAGTTTCCCTCCCCAAGATTTTATTTTTTTATTTCAAATCTACATGGTAAAATGGTAACTGCAAACTTTATTGAAGGGGGTATGCTTATTAAAAGCAATTACTAGTATTTTTCTCAATAGATGTCTCCCTCTCTCACTAATCAGGAAGTTAGCAATCTTCAAAAAGTATCTTAATAATACGGTGATTTTACCTGAAAATTGCCGGTTTTTAAGACTTTATTTTAGAAAAATAAGAAACTGTATGGTAAGTAAACACTTTATCTTAAGTTTTGAGAAGTTATAGCCTAAAAGCTGAAGTGAAAGAGGACGAAAAGTGCCAAAGAAAAAAAGTTTTATCACGGCAGCATATTTTCATTCTCAGCATTTTTTCAATTGAGAAGTTGAGTTGACGATCGTATAGAGATCTTCCCATAAACCAGGAAACTGTTTTCGTTACTTGGGCATGTTGCTAGGTAACGATTTGAGAAAATGAAGGAACGAATCGTTACTTCCGCAACGCTAATTTCGAACCCTGTACAGTATGCATGTTACTGTTTGCTCTGTCTCAGAGTCAGATCTAATGTTACTCTGGGTAGTCAAGAAAAAGTATATCAATATTATATTCAGATCAAAAGAATTTAGAAAATATCACAATTTTTATTTGACTATATGATTTTTGCCTTTGAAACTCCTAGGATGAAGAAAAGAAAGGATATGCAACTCCTTATCCCCGGGGAAAATGTTATGTTATAGCATTGTTATGCTAATGAAGCGCAGAAATATTGCGCAGTAGAATATGGGTCAGCGCGCATGCGCATTTTGACATCCTTTACGGAAGTTAAATTTAATAAAATATCAATCTTGAGACTTCACAACAATATCTATGAACATCGCCTAATTGATTAGTTTACGAGGAATTGAAACAATTACACATTTTTTATACTTAGTTTTCTTTTATATATGATGTATCACTAAGCTTGAAAAGGAGAGTTAGGTTTTAGGATTTCGAAGTTTAGCCCAGCGCTAGCTAACTTTGTATTGCCATAGACGTTTAGGCTATCATTGACTTATTTAGACTACATAGTCTAAGTTTCTATGAATCAGTATCATGAGTGGTGATTACATAAATTGGGACGACCCATTGCTCGACATTGATGGGCTATTGGAGGGAGAGTTCACTGATGATGATTTCAATTCCAGCCTCAGTAGCATCGATGAGGACGAATTGTTAGATTTGAATGAAGATGATTACAGCAGTGAGAGTGATGGTGATTTGGAACCTACAGAATATCGCTCTCCTTCTAAAAAGCGTGCCCCAACAGTGACAAAGAAACCAGCCGGAAAAGAGCACAAATGCGCTGATTGTACAAAGGCATACAAAACCATCACTGGGTACAAGAAACACATTCATTCCCAACATGGAAGGAAGGATGTTCATGGTAAGACCGAAACTTGGCAAACTTGCATGTGTCATATTTGTATTTGATATTTCTCCAGTTTAGTTCACAACTGACTCCTGTTATTAGTAGGTTATGATTCATGCTGTATAGATCTATTGTGTTTTAATATTCAAATGACCATAGTCATTGGCTTGTGGCTTTCTCTTGAAGGCCCCTTGTATAGCATTATATAATTACAAGTTTTCGAATGTTATAATACTTTATATGCTAATACTTACCTACCTGCTATGGCATTATTGTAATAAGTGACCAGTGATGTACATGTAGTTTAAATCTTCATGTCCAGATTGGTCAATACAAAGACCATGGTGATTTGAAATCCTACATAATACATGAATAATGTAATATCTAGATACATATATTATTACATTTTGCTTTAAAACATGAATGTGTATTTTTCATTCTGAAATCCTCACTAAGCAAATCCAGGTCTTATATATTGACTAAACTGTACATTGTAAGGTCATTAAGTGAAATAATTAAAAAATTGTTTTTGTACTTCCAGTTTCAGAATGCAGCGATATAAGAGTCCCAGCTTCAACCTCTAATGCTAAAGATACCAAGCCCAGTCAACCAAAGGAGACTTCTAAAGGTGAATATTCTTAATTATTATATCACTGTCATATTCCTCACTCTCTGATTGGTTTATACCCTACATGTGACAAAAAAAATAAAGAGATGTGATATGACTTTGAATGGCCTAAGACTACTACATTAAAAAGCATAATTGTATTGTACCTTCAATACATATATGTATATACAAATGTATATGTAAATAGACTATATCAGGTAGAATGTCATTCAATCAACCCCAATGAAAAGATTTCCAATTTCTGGATACAACTAAATGTTAGATTTTGGATTTCATCAATATCCTGTCATAGCCCTAAAATGTTTTCTACACTAATACAAAATTCCCTGACATTTCCAGCATCTGGAAAAATAAACCAATTTCCCTGACATGTCCATGTGTGTACAAGCCCTGTTTGTATGTTATTCCATTAATGTGAATGTTTGCAACTGTTTGCATTTATTATATTGGTCATACAGACTTGGATATAGACCAGTAAATCCCTTGTTCTAGTAATTGTGATGTCACATAACATATAGTTATGAAAATTTATTTTCTTCATTTTAATTTCAGATCTCTTCCTTGCAAGCTGGCTTGAAGACAACTGGGACACATCGTATGCAAACAGCATCAGCAAAACTCTAGAAAATCCAGACCATAATGCTGGTTATAGCAGGTGCGGGGGACAAGTCCTCAATGTGGCGAGAAAGTTAAAGGGGGACCAGGAGTTCAAATTGAAGTTAAAGGATATCATTTCAGATGTTCTCATTGAGGCAAACACAACAACATTTGCCCTGATTAGGGAAAACATCTGTGCAAATATACACACACGAGTGTACTTGAAGTTGATGGAGGTGAATGAACTGAACAAGCTGGTGGAATCCATTGACACTAGATTGTACGGACTTGTTTTTGTACGTGCTGCCATCCTCGAAATTGCCACAAACTGTGTTCAACATCTCGTTACTGTAATGGGTGAATCATTGCAGAAAAAAGCTATTGATAAACTTGGCTCACTTAGTGACAATGAGCAGCAAGTCCTCATGTATATAGCTGGCTATATGTTGCGGGCTCTCCAGAATATATGCAGGAGATATTCAAAGAATGCTAAATACATTCCAGTAAACACGATTTTAAAGCAGTTGGTGCGTGACAATGATGGGGGAAATCCAACCTACCTGTCGAAGTACAGAAATTGGCAGGAAGCCATCAACAGAGGGGGGCTGACATCTGCCAGTGACAATTTTTTTCTCTTGGTGCGACATTTAGAAATATGTGTGAGTGATCATCTCAGCACTCATGTTCTTGGGCCAAAGGTTTTGGAGCGCTCAAAGCTAACAGAGATTGTGCTCCAAAACCACTATGTAATTTTGTATTGGGAGAAACTCATTGGGGGAAAGTCCAGTTCAGACTCTGGTATCCTGACATTGGAACTTTTGATTAAGACATTCCTTTCCGTTAGAGGCCACACATTGGCAAAGTTTGTGAAAAACAAACTGTCTAAGAGTAACAAGGGTGAAAAAGGTTTAAGGAAAAGCTTAAAGAATTTAACAAATATAAGATAAATTGTATCTTTGCTCGGTATACAGAGTCAAGTTATATTGTTTGAATAAAAGAAATGAGTGATGTTTCTAGTACTTGTCTGTATATATGTATATAGAAACTGAAATGTTAATAAACTTTGTTCAAAGGAAACCAGTATTATGTTATATTATTTCTACAATTTTTATGATTATGAGAAAATATCCAAGTAAGAGATTTGAAACTGGTTTTACAAAATAATAATGCATTAAATTCAGAACTGTTTCTACTCAGTCTCCAAGTAAATTGATTAAAAGTTGTCTTATAATTCCTGATTGTAAGTCCATTACAAACTGATATATATAGGTTATTTAATGGGGAGGTGGAATATGAATTCTAATCTGAGGGAAAATATGATATTGGCCAAGGAAAATATATTGACTGAGGATGATAGCCCAGGTGTCAATATGATATTTATGAGGCCTATGTCATATTTTCTCGAGGAAAAATTTCATATTCTATCACAACCATCAATAACCTATTTTTATTCTATAATAATTTTCTAAATTAAAATTGAAGAGATTACCAGGAATAATTATTAATAGTATTAATTCGATGGGAGAGGTTTTTTGAAAAATGATTTTGACTTTGAAGACCTAAAGATGAACCTGAAGGAACGTATCAGTCTCTGTTAAATGAAGTAAACAAATTCAAATAAGAACCTAATTTGAATTTTTTGCAAGAACTCTGATGAATGTGATGGGGTGTAGTTCCAGTTATTATTGATTGATTTGAAAATTCCCATCACTGCCACCATAATTATATGATATTTGCCAGTACCAGTTTTACTAATATGGTAAAATAAAACAAACATGTTCGTATTTGCGCAGTATGTTTTAAAATGTTTTATTTTATATCCAAAAAACATACAGAGGGTGTCTTAAACCCTATTCCGAAGGTAAGCCAGACATCGGAATTCAACTGCTTTCCATAGTGCATTATATCTTTGCCTCAACCCCCTTAATTATTATACATTACGAAAAGCAATGTATACTGTAGATTGGGTTAATTTGATGCTAATTAATTAAGCCATTTTGGCATTTTGGCGGCTATTTAATTTGGCAAACACAAGGGTTTGGACATTGCTGTGGTGACACAACTTCCATACACACTTGAACAAAATACATATAGTGATACACCTATTGTTGCAACTCCTCTGAGCCAAAATTGATATGTGCTGATTATCACTTTTATCCTTTCCAGATTTTGTAAAAACTAAACCAGAAGTAATTTAAGGTCAGGGTGCATGATGGGATATTTTCTGCATTCCTCAATTGAGTCACATGTTATTTTTCAAACAAGAATCACTCCTTCCCCACATTGACTATATCTTCCAGTTTTGCACAAAGAGAGCACTTATGTGCCTAGAAAAGACTTGTGAGAAGAATGTTTTGGTAAAGTGTATAAAAAACAAGAAAATTCAGTGAAAAAAATCAGAAAACTTTCAGAATTTTTTTTCACTGAATTTTTCCATCTTTTATACATTTTACAAAACAAACTTCTCACAAGGCTTTTCTGGCACATATGTGCACTCTTTGTGCAAAATTGGAAGATGTAGACAATGTGAGGAAGGAGTTATTCTCAATTAATGGAATGCAGAAAATTTCCCAACATGCACCCTGGCCTTAAATATACACCAGGCAAATTCCAAGGGATCCTTTTTAAACTTTCGCAAAGATGTAAACATGCAATTTTTACAATTTTACCAAATTCTCCAAAATAAAGCAGGTACCAAATTAACCCAATCTACAGTATGCAAGAATATAAAATAAGACTAATGTCTGAATCTTTTAACATACACCAGGAAGCATTCACCATATCATAAAGAATCTGGAATCTACTTAAGTGGAATACAACAATCATGGGTTCATGCATGTATTCACCCAAATTATTGTGAACACTACACATATTTGGCATAGTTGAATAAAATGATAAAAAAACCATCTGTGGTCTAAACTTACACAGTACATTATGAGATTATATGCCTATATGCATAAAAAAGCAACAGCAATCCATCTCTTATGACACTAACATGTTATAGCATTTTACATCTGGGTGAGCAGCACTTTGGCTTGAGCCTCACTCACTCTATACTAATATGGCAGCCATAGCTTCACAAAATTAATGTTGAACCGTAAGTGAGTGATTGCAATAGCTCACCACGTAAGCTAATTAAAAATTACATAGCTTAACCTTAAATTCAAAGCAGCATTTTTTCCATATCTTGAAACATATGACCACCATATGGTTGCCTTTATCTGACTATGGATCCAATATAGGTATCAATCAAATAATAGTAATAATACTACAATATTACACATCTGCCTGAGTATCATTTTGATATATGAATCAATATGGATCAATGTGTGACTATCATATTTACACATCTGTGAGCACCAATTACATGAATAAATTCATCTGTGACTATCATATTTACATATCCGTTTGAGCAACATTTTAGCTTGTGGAGGTTTCTGTGACTATCATATTTACACATCTGTAAGTACCATTTACATGAATGAATCTTTCTGTGACTATCATATTTACATAATGTTTGATCAACACTGTAGGTTATGGAGGGTTCTGTGACTATAATATTATCTGTGAGCACCATTTACATGAATAAATCTTTCTGTGACTATCATATTTACATAATGCTTGATCAACATTGTAGGTTATGGAGGGTTCTGTGACTATCATATTATCTGTGAGCACTATTTACATGAATAAATCGTTATGTGACTAGCATATTTACATTATGTTTGAGCAACATTTTAGCTTGTGGAGGGTTCTGTGAATATCATATTTACACATCTGTGAGCACCATTTGGATCAATAAATCCATCTGTGACAATCATATTTGCACATTTGTGAGCACCATTTACATAAATATCATCTAGGATGAAGAAAAGAATCATCCTAGATAAAAAACATCTGTGACTATCATATTCATGTGCAAGTTCATCATACTGAAATGAGCCTTGTGTTTTATACTGGTAAAAATGGAAAGTACCCTTTCTAATAAAAAAATGACTAGTATATAAATGACCAAGATAACATTATAATAAATAGTAAATTAGCATGGGTGCAAAGTCATTATTTACACAAGTACTTTTGTTGCCTATTTGGGCAGAACAAACACATATATCTTATCTGGGATTTTGCCTCCGTGGCAAAGCATCATTGTCAACCTGGCGCTGTTGACCATTCTGCACATTACGCCCACGAACATTATCAAACCTTGTAGTATTGACAAGCCTAAGTTTACCAATCAGTCGATTAGCTTGTACAACATTTGGATTGTCATGGGCCCCACCACGCTGTCTGAGTGCCCCGAAATATTGTTCCAAGTAATCCTGGGTCAGATGACGAGGTAAAACATACTCTGCCCCATTGTTCAAAAGGAACAAAATTGTAGCTTTGATAGATCGGGCTGAGATCTCCAGCCCCCGTATTGACTGATATGATATCATCATTCTGTTCCTTTCAGTCCTCGAGAACCCAGGCCTATTCTCAACTCTCTCCTTCCATTGAGAAAAATATTCCAAAAATTCTGTTGTAAGCCACTCAAGACGTGGATCATTTACATCTCGATAAGGAGCTCGTAGGGGCTTTCTGGCAGTTATATGCTCATTTGTATTACTGGCATTGACAGTGTCAAAAAATCGGTCCATAATTGTAATAAAATCCACTGTAGCTTGAACCTGATCTCCTGCTGTTTGTTGTAATCCAACAGCTACAGTATTTGACAACACTTGCGCAGCCATGGCAACATTCATCTTGCCAAAACTTGTTAGAGTTATATGGTTTTGAGTTAATTTTGGGGCCATTCTATAGAGTCCACTGCAATGGTTATGAAAAAAGTCAACAATGTACATCCATGAAATTGTTTGTCCATTCCACATGCGGCGGCTCAATTTGTGGCTGTAACTGTTTGCAAAGACATTGCGACATGTCTTAATAAGGTGTGGAGGGTCCGAAATGAAATAAATATTTCTCGGTGCTGTAGGTTCAGCATATATATTTGGGGTTGAATGGCAAAGATTCGGATCTCCATTGCCATTCCAATGAAGTTTGTAGAAGCGCCTATTGGGAGATGCACCATCACCTGTTATAAATAGAACATGCAGCCCTACGTCTACCTCCAATATTCGGATAGCTTCCCATAGCAATATGTAAAGTAAGTCTGATGTTATTCCATTTGAAGCAAAATGGGCCAATGGAAATTTTAGGTTGGATGTTACTCCTCGCACCATGATCATTAGTAGATATCGGGCCAAGACAGGTCCTGTTCCCGCTCGTTGTTCCTCCAACATGTCTAGGGCATTTCCGAAATCTCCAATGTTCACAAATCCTGGAAAACATGATGATAGAAAGTTTAATTTATTATTCAAATACTTATTTACATGGATTTGAACACATGGAATAGTTGACTATCTACTCTAAATTGCTTTTCATTTGAGGACTGTAGATTGGGTTAATTTGGTGCCCGCTTTAATTTGGCGAATAATGGAATTTGGCGATATTGAAAAATTCACCAATATAAATCTTCGCCAAAATTTTGAATGAATCCCCAGGAATTATCTAGGGTTTTTCGTCCAGTGTATTTAATACTCGGGGAAAACTAGAAAGGAAAAGCGCGGAATAGTAGCAGAATCGATCGAGGGGCAAAATGAAAAGGATGATCTCACAAAAATGTACAACCGTGGTGAATATCGCCAGTGCTTATCCGCCAAATTAAATAGCCGCCAATATGCCAAAAATGGCAAAATCGCCAAATTAAGTAGCACCAAATTAACCCAATCTACAGTACACAAAAACATCTCAAAATTAACACAAATTCCAATTTTCTAGACCCCCATACATACATGGCCCCTGGGTAAAACACATGGAATATACCGGATTTTCTCGCATATAAGCCCTGGGCGTATAACTGAAAGAAGGGGCAATTTCATCTGTTATTTTACCTCTTATTTTTCGCCCATGGGCGTATAAGTGTACTACTTTCGATTTTTGGCCCAGTGGGCGTAAAGGTGAGAAGAGCTGATGAATACAATGGAATGTTAAGTTGTTAATGAATGTTAATACAATGAAACAAAGTACGACAGAACGATCTGC